GTTTTTTTTCCATTTTTATCTTTTCTTTTTCTTTTTGACCGTTTAAGCTAGTATATTTTCAATGCAAAGTACTTCATGTCTATGTAAATACCTTTGATATACAATGTATTTTCAACTAAATGAACTTTGTGAATGATAATGCCATGAACTGTATATATGTAAACTGTTATAATTGGGAGAGGACACTCATAAGCTTTCATAGCTGACTGCAAAATCTCAAATGTATTGTGTTAATATTGTTCATTATGCAAAATGTAAATATTCTAAATATGTTTTAAACTAACCATAATGCTACATTCTACAATATGTAAGCAAGAAAGCAAATGATTAATCTTCATACAGAGACAACCTTTTTCTTTCTCCAAAAAACTACGTGACAATTCCAGCGATTAATTAATCAAGTTTTTAATAGCCATATAATTCGGTGGTCTTTTAAAGAATAACATATACATAAAGTTTTTGAAAGACCGACAAACATCAAAGCCTAAAAAATGTAACATTTTAAGGAAATATTTCAATAAATAAATATCAACAAAAACGCTACTCGAAAATGTCTTGCTCACTATCATTTAGAATTTATAAGAATTACCTGAGAATCTTCACCAGTTTTAATACATGCCTCATAATCGCCCGTACCTCTAGCACTGTCCTCCCACATTGGTGTCCAAACATTACCTGGCGAAAATCTGAAGTCACAATACCATATAAATAACTAAAATTTACTACGTTATAATATAGTCAGGAAACACCATAAATTATGGCGAATCCAATCACGAGACAAAATCCAACGTGATTTAACCCTAACCCATAACCGGATGATTTTTTTAAAGGACCTGGCCAGATTCGATGTTTTGAATTTTTTATATTATCAACTTTGGGGATATCAAAATGAAAAATTTGACGTTGTTTAACCAGCGGAATAGAGCATGAGCATACAACGTGGGTGTTGTAGTTCGGCTTATTTGCGCACGTCACCAGAATTAACTATATGGCCCTGAACGTCTGCACACATGCAAGTCCGGTAATCGATCCCTCTTCAGCTGGGTATTTGAGCCGTGTCATGACAAAACCATCATAATGGGTTTGCGACCAGCATGGATCCAGACCAGCCTGCGCATCCGCGCAGTCTGATCAGGATCCATGCTGTTCGCTTACCAAGTCTATTACAAGTAGAGAAACTGATAGCGAACAGCATGGATCCTGATCAGACTGCGCGGATGCGCAGGCTTGTCTGGATCCATGCTGGTCGCAAACCCATTATGTTGGTTTTGTCATGACACGGCTCATTTTTTTTTTACCAAATGTCTTCCTCAAGCCCATACTTCGTTGGAATGTGGGCAAGCAGCCGACAATTCTTCCAGGGCATCATGGTTCCATACTAAGCGCCACTCTCCCGAGTTAGTTCAGGCTTGCCCGGCTTAATACAGGGTGGCAAAGGCTTATCATGTTTGGGTTAATTATTGAATTTATTCAAAACATTTGAATGACAAAAGGTAACAGCACAGATGTATCCGTATTTTAATCATTTTATTAGTTAGCCGATCTGTATTTTGATTACAATGTTTGGCTTCATGTCATATACTTCATCGCTGTTATAAACAGGAATGAATCATGATGAGAGTGTAGTAACTTAATGAACAACACAAACCATTTTGCATCACTCCAAGAACACGAGTTATTTTTCATAATTTTCAAATAAAAGCATCAATTATACTCTACCGGGTATGATTTATTCAAACTTTTATTTATTCATAGTTTAAATATTAATTTTATTTCATTTTGTATACTAGTTACAAGTTCAATTTGACTCACGTATTCACTCTAACACCATGTTCAGCTTCATCTATTGCCAAAGCCTTTGTCAAAGACGTTACTCCACCCTAAAAGTAAATTATGTAAAAGTTGAGAAAAAAACAACAACAACAACATCTTAACATCTAAGGTCGCTCTATTTGGGCTGTTTAAACTCTTATTAATATTTAACAATTGCTGGACAGTTCCAGTAGCAAAAATAGAAAACAGAAAATATTGATGAGACTTATAATGAGGGAATGATGATAATATATTATTGTTAATATTTTCGAGCAAATTTTCAGGATTAAAGAACATCGAAATCCGGTTTATCATAACAATTAACTGTCACGTTTATAGAAAAATATTGAACAAATGCAAGAGTCCGCTGTCATATTATAACTGTCCGCTGTCATATTATATCTTATAGATACATGTACTTTTGAAATGTTATATGGTTCAGTAGAATCGGATATATAACAAACTACTGTTATATAGATTGTAACTGGTTATATGGTCGTGTATAACTGAAGTTTGCAATATAACCAGAGTCGATTAGTCTTTAACCGCTAATATTGGACCATATAACATGTCAAAAATATTTTAATAGAAGGAGCCGATTTACCTTGGTTGCAACGTAAGTACAAGCCCCTGGTTGGCCGATCTCTCCAACAAGACTGGAGTCCTGGATCAAACAACCTTTTGTTTTTCGGAGATATGGCATGGCATACTACAATAAGGTAAAACAATGTCAGACAGTCTGAGCCCTCATGGAGCATTAACTGTCTGGTATTTCATAGAAACAAGACATGCAGTTATATTACATGCTTAACATTAATTTAAAGAACATTTCAATTTTTTTCCAAACGATTTCTATTTGTTGATTGTTTTTACTTGTGATGTAAAGTACTTGTATGAATCAATTTTGAACATCATATTTGAAATTCCCATATAAGTTCTTACGTTAAACAATAGGGAAGCACCGGATACACATTTGCAACAATTAGAAGTATACAAAGTTAGAAAGCAAAATCAAATACTCGAATATCTTATTTCCAAAGAAACTAAGCAAGTATGTACATAAATTAAATTGTATATGCTCCCTTGTTACAAGAACAAATGTGTTACCTTGGCAACTAGGAAATAACTAACAAGATTCACGTCTAGAACTTTGCGGAAATCATCGGCGGAAATTTCATCAATTTTCATCACGGGTGGATCTAAAAATGACAAATAAATAATAAAGCTTCAAACTGTCAGGGGAACGTGCTGAGCGACATCTTACAAAATGTAAATTGCAATTAATGGAATAGGATAGTAAAATAATTGTAACAGATTTGTTCCCCTTGATTTTTAAGACCTTCATTTGTTCTTATGTGGTACCGACACAGTCGATGTCATACATGGCAACTTTCCAGCTTCTGTGGTGGAATGCTCCTTCATTCATTATTTCAGGCACGAGCAGGCACCTTAGTAGAATGTTCTACAAGACATTAAAACATTTATAACATCAATGAAGAACTTTATTAACAATAACCATGAAATACTTTGTTTAGATAAAATATTGTTATGAAAGTCAGAATATAAACTAGACTTACGTTGTCCGGCATTGTTTATAACACAGTCAATCTGTCCATACTTTTCTACTGTAGTTGCAATTAAATTCTGGAATAAAGAATATAAATTTTTCATCTTGGTTGGGTTCAAGTCATCCCATTATGCAAATTTTAGTATATATCTTTGATACTTATAGAAAAGACTCTGGGGTATTCCATTAAAAAACTTTTTTTCAAATGTTTATGAGGGAATATACTCATTCATTTATGTATGTCATTATTTCTTTATGTTATGCCAATAGCTTGAATTCGAAAACGAAAATCAGCATTTCATATTGAATGCTGCCAGCTTATCTGATTTACCCGGTTTTCTAGAAATTGTGAAGATTTAGCGTTATTTTTCTATAATTTTGAAAGAGGGTGAGTGATATAAACAAAATTGTACAACTCCGATTTTCCTTAAATAAACAAGACATAAAGGCTTGAGATATTGTGAAATGTTTATATAACTCTGGTTTCTTGTAATTATTTTACAATAAGAGACGACGCTTCTCAATCTAATTTTGAAATTCTGTTGTAATACTGTTTCGTGACTGAAAATTAAAGGTACATTGTATATACATGTATTTTTCGATTATGAAAGTGGCATTTCTTTTAGTTGTTGCATGAAGACCCTTCTTCAAATTGTGAAGGGGTCTTAAATCGGCCCAATGTTATGTAGTGAAAAAATCCCTCATTGCTAGCTTTTTTCTCAAATTGTCCATTCTCATATAATTTATATTTCTATGTGTATGATGGTTATCATTTACCTTTATATCATCTTCTTTTGTCATATCACATCGTACAAATAATGCTGAACCAGGTCCCTTAGCGTTCATCTGCTTTTCTAATTCTCGACCTTCGGTTTCTGTAAGAAAAAGAAAATAAGAACACACGCATCCTGAAGATCGTTGTTTCATTTCAAGTCTAACACTACTTGTTTTGGGGGTTTGAACTTACATGTATTTTTAAAAAAAATTAAACATTAAAGTTTTTAAACATTACTGTCCGCCACTCTCCCGAACTGTTTATGTCTACATACTAGTATGTTATTAATCGAGTTAAAATTACGATAGAAGTTTTATGACAAAAAAAACTTACTAGTTCTTTTTAAATTATTTTAACATGTCCTTGTTATTTTTTAACTTGTCGGGAAAACATAATGTAGCACCAAACTCAATACATATAAACCGGAAGTTAAACTTAAGAACATGTTTTTCAATAGCGATGAAGGGGAAAAACGAAAGCAGTAAGTGCAAACTACGAGGTTCAAAGAGTAACTGGACAAGTTATTCATTTATCTTACCTCCTCGTGAACAGAAAACAACCTTTGAACCATGTTGTACTGAAAGAAGAAACATGAACATTTAAACTTATTTATTTCATTACATGTTAATATCAGACTTTAAAAGTTCAGATCTTCTCTCTTGTACCATCGTCGGTTACCGACGGTATATATTCTGTACATGTACATGTACCCACGGTATATATTCCGTACATGTACTCGTACATGTAATTTAGATAATGTACTATGACTTTACTACCGTGGGTAACCGACGCTGACTCTCTGCATCCCGATGTATGTCAGTGTCAATAAGAAACTGAATTTATCAATGTTAATTTTGTGACATGAAAAAAAGTTTAAACATACATGTAAAATAAAAATTTTAAGTGACTCATGCACAAAACAATTATTACTGAGATCACAGTGATAAATTAAAACAAAATGCTATGTATGTACTTGTATTAATTAAATTACCATAAAACTTGTCAGAGTCAGGCGAGGGTATCATTGTTCAACCGATTTTTCGCGAGAAAGATTTTCATATTACTTAAATATTTGAAATAATTTAAAGTTACCCTGAAGACTTATAAAGAAAATCAACATATTTTCTCAGTTATAGGAACACTATGCCCATCCAAGAGCAAATGGTGAATGTACAGGTAAAAATAAAAGTAAGTTAACATTTTTTAATGATTGTGTTCAATTTTATCATGCAATTTTAAATAATAAATAAGCCACGTAACACACGTATATTTTTTTAAATAACGTTCGGAATACATTGGTAGCTTTCAAAGAGTGGAACAGTCCTTTATAATTTAGGTAGTTTTTACTTCAATTATCAACATTTTTCATTATTATTTGTCAATCAACAAAATAAAAGTCAATCTACATATTCAGCTCAACTTGACAGCGAAAAATGAGCATATAATGTCACTTTATGTCAGGAAAGTCTTACCGAAAACTTCGACGCAACCTTTACCAATTCCTTTACTGCCACCTGTAACTATGGTAACTTTGTCTTTGTATCTTAGTGCTTCAGCCATTTTGTGTGTAATTACTAATCTTTGAACTAAAATGACCATAGGTGTTGATATTATCAGTACATGTATATAACTAGAGTGAATGTAATAGTTGACTTACATGTATACGAAATATCAATTATGGTTAGGTAAATATTAGTTCACGTTGTTAAACTTCGCTTTCTGACAAGTCAGTTATGAGAAAATGATATAATACAAAACTTTAAAATTTTATTTTAAACTTCCCAAAAGATTTCACTAACAGATTAAAAACGCTAAACATATTTATTTAAGCTCGATTGCGAAACAAGTTCTTGCACTTTATATTAATCACTTTCGAGTCCGCTTCCTGGAACTAACCAGTACTGGTGTCATATGAAGAAACATGGTCGTGACCCGGTTAGGGCTCGAACGCATGATCCCTGCATGGGTTAAGAGGCAGACACCTTAACCACTAGACTACCTCGTGAAGTGCTCTGCAATGCCAGAATAGCCAAACGATTGTCAAAGTTCAGATAACTCACGACATAATCAAATACACAATGTGTACATGTACTTAAAACCAAGTGAGACAATATTACGCCTATCTTCTCCTTTCCTTATACGCCCCTGCCAATATTCGATAACGTGTACTTTGTTTTATTTTATATCTATATACTAAAAACATTTGTAGTATATACGGAAGTGAAATGCAAATCAGATATATTTAGCTCCAGTTTATAAAACAAATTTTGCTATTACATACCTTTGACAGATGTTCCGTTTCTCTCAAACACACACGGCTATCTATTTACTTAAAAGGTCCAAATTTCGACAGATAACAGCCACTAAACTGTATCAGTCAAATTAGTCGTGCTCTAACATTTGCCTCCCTTGAATTCAGTGACGTAGCCTGATTTTGTACCAGCTTGTTATTATTTAACCGGAAAACGATGCAAAAGGTTTAAACAATTACTGGCGAACAGTTTTTTTGTTTAAAGTTTGCGTAGCACTAAAATATCGAAAATTCAAGATAAGATTTTAAATTAAATCGATATGTACTAGATCATTACCGGATTCGCAAAATTGTCTCAATTTTTATCTTAGGACCGACTTAAGACTCCATGAAACGCAGCCCAGTATTATTTCTTTCCAAAAGTAAAACTTTACAGTAAATCATACCTCTAACAATATCTTTTGGCAGTAACCAAATTGTCTCCCAAAGGGTGGTTGCTATACAGAGGTTGTAATTTACTTACAATTAATATATACCACGGATTTATATTACAAATATATAAATCCGTGTATATACTTAATGTTCTATTCATCTTAAAATAAAACTATTTTTTCTGCAGCATAACATCATTTGAAAGAACATATATAATAAACATAATTTTAATACAGGAAATAAGTGTATTCAATATCAGCTGTTGTGCTTAGAACTGTGAAGTTTTTGATTTTGGTTGATTTTAAATGATAAATTGGTTGATTTTAAATGATTAATTATTAACAAAATGTTTCATTTTTCTGTTAAGAATGTGATATTATAATCTTATTACATGCCCATTCAATATTTTTTATAATTCTGATGAAACATTTCACAGAAACACAGAAATAAATATAAAAAATAATGAGCAATTATCATATTATTGCAAGCAATATAAGTCCTCTACTGTTTAGCACCCCAGCAACATTTGAAGGCCTATGTGCTAATGTGTCAACATTTCTCTATTTTAATTAAATTTGTTTGAAAAGTTACAAGTTCTTTAATTATAATCGAAGATATAGTTTTTTGGGATGGCCAGACAGACAGACAAATAGACTTAAGGCAAATTTTTTAATATCCCTGGTTGTAACCAGAATATTACTTTAACACTTATAAAAAAAGCAAAATTCTTTCACCAAAGAGGAGATAGCTGAGCCGCGCCATGACAAAACCAACATAATGTGTTTGCGACCAGAAAAATATTTTTGTCTGAAGGTACAAGGCATAGAGTTTTGCTGTTTGCTATATAATATCATCTATTGGTCCTCTTCCAAAGCTGTTCAAAATTTTCCCCTAGTGTCAAAATTGGCCCTGCCCGGGGGCATTGATTCTCATTATATACACATAGTAAAATCAGAAACTAAAACAAATGTTTTCTGAATTGGAGAAAGCTACCGCTTAGATATTTGATATGAAATGTTGTTTGGTGGACCTGTATCAAGATTGTTTTGAATTAAACCCTTGGGTCAAAATTTTGCCTTGCCCAAGGGGACAGTGACCTATTTTCTTGTCCTTTGATGTACAGCAATAAAAGTTTGACCATGTGCACAGTTTTAGTTGTAAAATTGAACTTTGATATCAGGTGACCTAGATTTTGATAATGTGACCTACTTTCTTGTCTATGAAATTTGAACCATGTGCTTAGATTAAGATGTAAAGTGAACTTTGATATCAGCTGACCTAGATTTTGACAAAGTGTCTTACTGTGTTGTCCTTTGATGTAGTCATGAAATTTAGGCTGTGTGAAATATGACCTGCACCACCAAATTCACTAGACTCAACTACATTGATATATTCCTACTCTTATCTTTTATTTGAATAACAATAGATTTGACCACTAATCTGATAATAAGAATTAGATAGGTCAGGGATCTATGCATTATGACAATCTTCAATTGTATAGAAACAAAAAAGATCTGTTCATACACTACTATTTAGTGTTGTATTAATGCGGTGGCATAGCATTTTTCACAAATGCAATCTTGTTAATATTTTACTTTTGGCGGGAAATTGTAATGAAATATACTATTCAACTTTTGCTAAGCACCATAAGTTAATTTTTATATTATCACAAGTATAAAACAGATTTCTTTCCAATTTTGAAAATTCAGATTTGAGATAGCCCCATGACATTAATCCGTGTTGACTTATCCTTTACAATTCGTCAAGGTAGCATGGAAAGCATGCACCCGAATATTTTCATGTTTTTGATGGGTTGTGCAATCACATGTATTGGTCGTGAATTTCCTTTTAAATTTATTTTATAATCCAAGACATTGGAAGAAAGAACACATTTACTAGTGAATATTAATTTATTTTATAACACAACACGTTTTAATCCATTTAAACTATTTTATTTAATCATCACAAATATAATCCAATTATTTGACTTTAATATTTGACTTAAACAATTTCATTTAATAATCACAAATATAATCCAAGTATTTTGATTAACAACTTTTATTAACAAATCAGTTTACTAATTTTATTTCACCCACCTTTCCTTATAAAATTCCCTATATATATATATATATATATATAATATATAATATATATATATAATATATATAATATATATAATATATATATATATATATATATAATATTATATATATATATATATATATATATATATATATATAATATATATAGCAAAACTTTCCAGCCTTTACAATTAAGTATGGCAAGAAAAGCATGTAAAACATGAAAACATAGATATCTCGTGCACAACAATTCACCGTCGGGGAACTAAAGCAATAGGTTTACTAAATGCACGTGAAAAACACTGAAGTGGCTGATAAAACACGTGCAAAATTCTACTATATCTTCACCGTCGGATAACTTTAATGGCACGGTGATATATGATGTATCTTACTACGAAAATGGTTCTTGATAAAAATAGTAGTACATGTATATAAAAATAAATGTATATCGCAATATCTGCGACATCTTTTGTTATACGGCGACATTACCGACTTATTGTCATTCAGTGGATTCTGTCACTTTGATACGGCGAATGCTAACATTAGATGGCATTTGAGTGAAGCAGGGTTATGGAGGGCTGTAAGGATGGTGCAGCAGGGGGCCACCCTCCGCCAGATTGGTGCGGCCCTTGGTGTACACCACACCGTCATCACCAGAGCCTGGGAGAGATACCGCCTACATGGTACACCCGCCAGGAGGCATGCTGGAGGTCGGCAAAAGGTCACAACACCAGCTCAGGATCGGTTTTTGGTCGTTGCACGTTGTGTTAGGTTCGAAAAGACCTTGCTAATGCTGCGGGGGTCTGTGTTTTTTTACGCAGGCGGCTGCATGAAGGTATTTTGCTGTGGAAAAGACCTTGCAAACGTATCCCCTTGACTCGTCGACATCGCCAGGACCGTTTGGAATGGACCATGGAGCAGACACGGTGGACCATGCATCACTGGAAACACATTGGCACTTGACAGGTCAGCGATACATAGACGACATGTTAGACAACCAGGTTAGTTTGTATGCTGGAACAGTCGGCGATCAGTTCATTCTAATGGACGATAATGATCGCCTCCATAAGGCCAGGGTGGTCCAGAACTACATCGTGAGGGAGTCTATTGAGAGCATGGACTGGCCAGCACGCACAACTGACTTAAATCGTGGAATGAGCTGCAGGTTAGAATTTCAGCTCGTCAGCTGCAACCAAGAACCAGCCAGTGGCGGCGTGGCCTAGTGGTTAACGCGTCGGACTAGTAATCTAAGGATTGCTGACCGCGTGGGTTCAAACCCTGTCAGGGGCAAGCCGTTGTTTCCTTAAGCAAGAAACTTTACATTCTTTGCTTAGTACTGGTTGGTTCCAGGAACGGATTCGAGAGTGTTTCTATAAGCTCATAGCTTCCAACACAATCGAACTAAAATAAATTTGTATAAACTAAGAACCAGCCAGGAGCTTTGTTGGTCCAAGAATAAGCAGCCATACCCGTTAAAACGAGAGTATGAAAAGGCACTACCAAGCTGTCATTGATAGTCACGGGTGACACACACACATGGTATTAAGTTTAAAACTGTGAAAAAAACACAAAAAACACAAACAACAATTTAACAAATTTGGAAAACATGCTGCATATGTTCTGAACTCTTCAAAGAGGGGTGGTGTCATCCTCTTATGTAAAGCTCATTTGAGCCGCGTCACGACAAAACCAACATAATGGGTTTGCGACCAGCATGGATCCAGACCAGCCTGCGCATCCGCGCAGTCTGATCAGGATCAATGCTGTTCGCTATCAGTTTCTCTACTTGTTATAGAGTTTGTAAGCGAACAGCATGGATCCTGATCAGACTGCGCGGATGCACAGGCAGATCTGGATCCATGCTGGTCGCAAACACATTATGTTGGTTTTGTCGTGACGCGGCTCATTTATAGGGTTAAACTCGTCATTCAGTTGAATTAATAAAACAGTAACTCAACATTTAAAACCTTTCGCACGGCGTTAATAAATTAATTATCCCAAAAAATATTCACACTCAAACATATGGTGCTTAGCAAAAGTTGAGTAGTATATTATTGCTCCTATTCATGTCTTTTATGCTTTTGTATATTTTACTTTTGGCGGGAATGTGTGCGGCAGAATCAATATAAAAGTAAATGGATTTAACGAAAGTGTTTAAATACAAAAGTACTGTGTGTACAAAATTAAAAAGTGAATTTACAACATAAAAAATCCGATGTGTTAAAATTCTCCACAACGCTTGCCTGCTTGAAATTATTTTTAGAAATATACATGTACTGTTAAATCAGACTGTACATGTAGTTACAAATGTAAATATTTTACGATTCATTTGAAAATACTGCAGTCTAATTAGCCAAAAATTTATTTCAAACACTTAATTTTAGAAGAAGTTTCCCAAGAAAATGAAAGATGAAAAATCGTTTAGTGTTATAAATTATTGTTGTCCATTAGGATTGGAATATTCAAAATGAATAGTACCACGTTTACTTTAGTCCAGTAAATCTAGTACATAATTTCATTATAATTAGTGTTCATTTATTAAATTGAGCGGCTAATCTTATTTGTAAATGCCTCCTACTAAACGATACATTGAAGAACAAGACCTATAATTTTGTCACTTACAAAGTAAAATACGACATAGACTGTAACTGACAGAGTTGATAACAATAAAAATCGCATGCAAGGTGTGATTTGCAAAAGGATAAAGTGGTTTAAATTAAAAGATAAAATTGATTTCAAACACTTATATACGTATCTATGTCATTTTACGGCCTTTCAAGTAAATATAATAAATTGTAGCTCACACAATTGTTTACATCCCGATCTTGCATAAACTCAAGGGGTGAAAAACGACGCTTAAAAGATTTTAAGTCACATCGATACTGTAAAGTTCACATTACGACATTCCTGGCGGAAGTAGGGTTCAGATGTCTGTATGCTTCAGATGCCCCTTCGTGCAAACTCTTCCGCACGAGTTACTGCACGCTTTGCCACTTGTTTTTTTTACAGATCAGGGGGAGTAAACGCTGCGTGAAGTTTGCATTTCTGGCGAATGCAGACCATGAACAGAAGCACCAACCTTCGGTTAGCTAGCCGAACATGACATGATCCAAAGTCCCGGACGATATTGGAACCTACAGATATGAGGGACAGGGTAATTAATCGACTTTGTGTGACAGATGCGTCAACATCCGAATTAGATACAAGAGCCGCGCCATGACAAAGCCAACATAGTGCGTTTGCGACCAGCATGGATCCAGACCAGCCTGCGCATCCGCGAATTCTGATCCATGCTGTTCGCTATCAGTTTCTCTACTTGTAATAGAGTTGGTAAGTAAACAACATGGATCCTGATCAGAATTCGCGGATGCGCAGGCTGGTCTGGATCCATGCTGGTCGCAAACGCACTATGTTGGTTTTGTCGTGACGCGGCTCATAATGTTTTTAGTGGACAGATCTTTAATTTAATGATAATTAGCTCAGGCTATTGGTGATTATTGCAGTCCATTCAGATATTTTTCTACAAACCAAACGGTGGTTCAACAGACAAATCTACAAGTCATCAGTTAGATGATGCTTGACTTTCAAACTCGAACATCATTTTATATTAAATAAAATGTTAATGTATATAATTATGGACATGGAGTTCTCTCTTTACACAGCAAGGGGAGGGTGTATAATTGGTTCCGCCTTAAAAGTTTCAATTTATCTTTTTGGTACAGTTTTACAGACATATCAGTTCACGGTATTAATTTAAACATAAACTAAATAAGAAGAAGCCATAAATAATGTTTCTCATTTTTTAATATGTCAAATTTGCACTAACAGTATAATACAAATGTATACAAATTTTAACAATATAAAATAATACAAAAATGGTTTGTTAAACAAATATATTGTACAAAAATTGTTTGAAAATTATAATTTGATTTTCAAATTTTCTGTTAGGAACAAAATGGATTCTAATATTTGTTAAGAGTGTCTGTTAAAACATGGAACAACAATACCTAATAAATGCATTTGTTGTTATAAGAACAAATTATGAGAAAACTATTTGAGCCAGAAAAAATAGTAAGAAGGATAAACAAATAATTCATTTCTGACCATTTTGATATGTTTAAACATAAGAAACTTGCAACCAAAAAATCTTATTATAAAATGGATGCTGTGTTTGTAATTGAAGTAAAACAATCAACATTTGAAAGTGATTTATAGCGAAAAAAATCTGTGGGAACACATATGCACAATGCACAAAGGAATTGAAAGGACTGTGCCTAAAAGTCTATACCTATTTTATATCATAGACTTAAATGTTAGAATAATGTAACTGCACCATGAAAAAAAGATATCACTTTAACAATTGGAATCATACATAAAGGTATCAACCTTCATATGATCAGTTTGTGACAAGGGAGACAATTGCATATATTTCAATTCATGATATATTGTTGATAATTCTAGACTGAAAAATAAATATATCAAGAAATCGTAGAATATAATTGAAAACATATTACATTATTTCAAAAATATTCCAATGTAGTTTTAGTCTTTCAGTTTCATGAAAATTATTTCATAAATTCATACAAAGTGACCTCCCCTTACAGTGTTATGACTGCCAAGGGAGGTAACTACTGCACAAGAAGTTGGAGCAGTTTAACTTGAAGATGGGGGTATTATTGAGGTTCCAGACAGTTCCATTCGCTTGATCTCATTGGTAATGGTGGTTAAATCTTGAATAAACATCTGAATCTGTAAATTGAATAGCATAAAATTATATGAAAAGTTAGTGAAAAATAATTCACTGAAGTTAGTAACTTCCCTTTTAATAAAAGGAGTATGTTAAATGTATTGACTGACAATTTGTGTGCTTAAACAGACTTATGGACTACATACATAATGACCGACATTGGTCATTTACTACTCCTGATTAACAGAGCTGTATATAAACAACACTTTCAAATTTAGGTAATTTTTCATTTCTTCTCAGGACTGTAAAACTGCTTGTAAAATATACAGACAATTGCAACCCCTGATAAAGATGTTTTTAAACTGTAATTATAGTCCCTGAAAAATATCGCCTGATATAAAAAAAGTTGTGTGAACATTATACTTGCAGAAAACTGTTCAGTTACTTCCCCTTAATAAAAACGTCAGTGTAAAATATAGTAAGTGACATTGGTCAGTTATTTCCCTTTATCAAAATGTACATCTACTTTTAACTAAACTGACAAATACTTGTCACTAACACTCCCTAGTCAAAAAATTTGTGTACTGTTAACACTTAATAATTGGAAAAAAATATTTTAAAAACATTTTAATAAGATGGATGAAACATTCAAAATTTAATATCATTATTAAAATAAAGGATATGTTTATGCTATGTTTGAGAATTTAACCCATTACTTCATATACACGCCTTTTTCACCCCCCCCCCCCTTTTTTTGTTGTCTCAAATGATGAAAAATGCCTTATTTAGGCCCCAAACACTTGTTTTTGTTTGAGAAATGTTGTTAAAAAAATTGACCTCTTTTTCGGCGCGGCCCCCCAACCAAAAGATACATCAGGGGGTTGCCAGAAGGGGGATGTGCCCCCTTCTGTTTGGGGGGGTTTGAAGGGGGGCGGAGTCCCCCTCATCGCCAAGAAAATTTTGGACTTGTGAGAGGCTGTAAATGACCCCAGATTGATCATAAGGTAACATGTAACCAACGTTGAAAAGCATTTGACTCTATCTCAATCCATTGAGAAGTTGCAGCACTTTGAAATCAATTTTGATGGAAAAAATCAACCCAAAATAGTGATTTTTGGCAATTTTGAGATGTCCCCTCGTTGCCATGGTAACAGAAAATTTAAGCCTGATCATGTTGTTGCAAGGGCAATGGTCCAGTCAACATTTGTGCCAAGTTTGATTAGTGTTGAAGCAGTTTTTATAGTATTATAGCAATTTGAACTTGTAACGGGAGACTTTTCAATGAAAACAGCCATTTTTCACAAAATGCTCATGAAGTAATGGGTTAAAGCAAAAAATGAGCCAAATGTTAAAGATCAGAGTTATGAACCCTAAAGAATAAGAAAAAGATGGGTTTTTATTAAAAAACAAAACAATTTCTACCAAAAATACCTAAATTTTACATCTATTGAAACACACACAAATAGTATTCCTAGGTTAAAGGGAGCTGACAAATTATAAAAAAAATTTATGTCAATAATGTAAACAATGTGATAAGCATATTGACAAATCTGTGTAGATCTGAGATCATTTAACAATCAGCCTATTCCAAGGTTTAAAATGTATCCACTTTCTTCATCTTGGAATTGAATATTCCCTTTTGAGATTTTGATTTTTGCCTTACAATTATCACTATGTATCACAATAACAACAGATTACACATATGTTGACTGTCGGTGTAGCATATTTATTGTATGTTTACAAGAAAAAAAATCAATAAAACTTGTTCTTATTTTTAATAGAATAAAAAGGTAACTATGTTGAGATATTTTTGCAGTAATGACTAGAGTGATGTTAGCTGGATGACGTGGGTCCCACTGAGGTGAATGTCGTATCTTGACGTTTAAGTTCCCGCACAATGTCTGAAAGATCCTCCAGAAACATCTGGATCTGAAAAATAAAACAAGAAAAAAACCCATAAGTTAATATGTTAATTGAAAAGTAATGCTGCAAACTATAATGGTGTATATCTATCTTTAATATTAGTTTGGAAAATTCTTACACTTTCTGTTCATCTCAATTGTGTGTGATTTACCAATTGTCACTGTGTTATAACACTAAAATATAATGCAATTGACTGCTTGTAAAAGTAATGAACTGCATGTATAATGTAACCACTTTCATGTAAAGTAAAGAATGAAATGATCTTCATGTTATGTAGGGTCAAACAGAACTTTAAAAACAAATAAAATTTACAGAAGTAACATGTTACAAAACTTCCTAATTTTGCCTATATGAAGAAAGTAGTGATGTTATAATTTTAAATTTTGAAATATTCCAGTTTCTTAACCATTAATTCAACATAAAATGAAAATGTATATAAACATTACATTTTTGCTACTTTTCTATTCTTGCATTCTAATTCTAATACAATTGTGTCTATTATAATTAAATGATACTAGTATTATTTTACCTACAATTCATGCAATAATTAGCCCTTATTTAAGGTCATTCTGATGATATCTAATTCTCAAAAAAAAAAACCACCTTAAATTCTCATGATTTATTAAGGAATATCTGTTTCATTTTGAACATGGAGAAATAATTATTGCTTAACACATAAAGATTTTCAAGAAATTTTGATATTTCAGGGACTTCTGATGAAGATGTGACTCTCTATAAAGGTTTGAATAATTATCAACAAAAATGTAAACATCCGTTATAAAATTTCCTATATATCTAAACAATAGTAGTTGCATGTAATCTGGTTAATAAGCAATTTGAAACAATTATGCTAATCATGGACATATCTCTAAGTCACGAAGAAAACCTATCGCAATATAGCTATCATAGTTGTATAATTATACTTGGTGATACAAAATTCATTATATTTTTCTTTAGTTTTGAAGTAACAAAATACTAACAATTGCAATCAGGTCTGAATTATGTGAGATAATAAGTCTTCATTTCAGTTCTTATTGAACTAGTTTTTTTTACTACTATGTACGTCTTTTTTGGTTTGATGTCAAACTTTTATATTGTTTTGACTAAGTCATTATAACTGCATACCATACTGCATGTTGCTATATTTTATATATTGTGTATACTTGTATTATATATAAATATAATACAACACTAAAATGCTCTACTTAGACATACAACAACAACAACAATACAACAGTTATATCTTCATATACAAGCTATATATGTATATAATATATATGAGCTGCGTCATGACAAAACCAACATAGTGCGTTTGCGTCCAGCATGGATCCAGATCAGCCTGTGCATCCGCGCAGTCTGATCAGAATCCATGCTGTTCGCTTACCAACCCTATTACAAGTAGCGAACAGCATGGATCCTGATCAGACTTCGCGGATGCTGATCTGGATCCATGCTAGTCGCAAACCCATTATGTTGGTTTTGTCATGACATGGCTCATATATCAATTCTAATGAAAATACTTCTATCAAAACCTTTATATTTATAAAATACTGACCTTTAAAACACTGCATTGCCAGTCACAGCTCTCAATTGGACCCACACATAAGATTGTGATTTAAGTTTTAGTAAACCATTAAATGTGAAAGGAATATATGTAATAAAAACTAGCACGTGCAAAAATATCTAAAAAATAGGTGTCCAAAAAAGGGGGTCTCCATGTTAGTTAGGGAATCAGTGTGTTACTAAGATATTGGTCCTTTATAATGGTCATTGAATACTTTTAAGAGAGTGTCTAAATTTGTAAATTAAAAATAACTGAGCAATTTATTCACGGCAGTTTGGTATGATATTAAAAACCAAATATATGATAATAATAAATATGGGAACCCAAAACCTAGGAAATAACTATATGAACTGAATATACACCTTCATGACTGTATAATAAGGCATATACCAATAACAATATAAGTTTGCTGGTGAAAAAACTATCAGTTATATATAAAAGTCACTCTATTAAAGTCCCCAGTATGTTATATTTCAGTTCAGTAATTCTATATAACTGAAGAAAAAAAAGAACTTTGGACATATTGTTTAATAGTCTTTTTTAAAAATTTTATCTCATATATTTCTAAGGAAATTATATTTGAATTTACAAGCAGGAGACCCCATGCTGACAGAGATAATAATTTAATGGTTTACCACAAAACTATAGAAACTTGACAAATTTACATAAATAAATTAACATAGTTTTGTGTTCAACCCTCAAATTTTAAAGTTTTAAAATTACTAATAAGCAAGAGCAAGAATTATAAAATTGAGACTGGTTATATGATTGTACAAAATTTAATCCCAGACAAATTTGCCAAAACCTAGAGTATATTTTTATTTCTAGCACAGCCCAATACCTAGCCCTCTACATGCACATAGCTAGTAAAACGATCACCTATTGAGTATTCTACTTCCATGATGCATGTGATAAAGTAATACAGTCTAACTTGCCAATGCAACCATGTGTATTAAGCGACTTTTGCTCATTCTTTGTCTTAAGAGACCATTGTATTAAACAACCATTTTTAGTGTGTTCCTTAAGTGGTCGCTTAATACAAGTTTGACTGTAAATACATTTTACTTGGACATATTTGAATTCTATTAAAATACATAGTTTTTTTCTTTCTAGATCTAATTCAAAAGATGATTTATTTGTCAAAAATTCACACTAAAGTTGTAGAACAACTAAAGTGTACAACATTAATACAACTACAAAATTTATATCAGTTCATGAAGAAATTTTACCTAATTTAGGCCATATTCTTAAACTTTTGACAGGATAGCTTTTGTGGTGTCAAAGAATGTTTTCTTAAACAGTTTATAAGCAAAAGACAGAAATAAAGTGTATCATGTTTATAGATGTCAAATTTTGCATCTCTAAACATTAAAGATAAGAAATAAATTTTAGATTATACCATGTTTAAACTACTGTTCCAATCATTCCTCATTAAACGAATACAAGAAGGTAAATTTTTGATAACAACACTGATGAAAGCCAAAAATTCAGTAGCTAAAAGAAATTATTTGCCAATTTGGACTTAAAATATCAAGGGTTCCTCAGAACTTTTCAATGGCCAAAATTGTGACAATATGAAAGACATTTTGTGTACAGAACAAATACATATACATTTATGTTATGGCAAAGAATGTTTGAACTAAAAAGAGAACAACTTTTGTTACTAAAAGAAAGCCAAATTTTCTAGTTGCACTTTTATGCAATCTTAGCAGACACTAAATTTAGAATTTTCATTATGACATCCCCAATATCAATAATGGACTATTCCAAAACTGTAAACTGGACTAGTCAATTGTAATTTAACAGGTTAAATGTTAATCACATGTTATCTGGCATTCTGTGAAGTATAATATTAATAAGCAGTAAATATAACACATGCACTATTTCACAGTCACATTGTGATCAAACCAAAATAATGTATTTTTTTTATTTTTAACACAACAGTTATCTTGCTTTTTACAGCAAGAAAATCTGATTTCATTTTTTCTAGAGATGTCATCTGTTATAAAAAGATAAAAAGACCTTTTTTTAAGAGAATATAAAATTTTATTGGTTTTGACAATTTTGATCTTTTGAAGATGAAAATGAAACCAAATGATTTTATTTATCAATGCCCACATCAATTATAAATCTGATTGCCCCCCCCCCCCCCCGCTTAGGTTGAATTTCAGGGTACCAATGTCAATATTCCTCTCTCCTTTATGAAGAAGAGAAGAATAGCACTGGTAAATCTGATTCTACTCATATCTTATTCAAGACAAAAGGAAGTAAACAGGAAATAATGACTATAAATTGATGTAATACAACCATATCCCACTGACTGTATTATTTTAGCTGTATATAATATTGTGATTTTCTAGCATATATAGCAAAAGTAGAGGATGGTAACATATGTTTTTTTCTGGTTCAGTCACACCTGGCTCAAGATCACTTGTCAAGATTTAAACAAAAAATCAAATGTCTGCATGATGTGATTTAACTGGGAAAAAAAAACATGTGTCAACACCATTCTTTAACATTCTAGCACAAAGTGTTGAACATAGAAAAGCTTAAACATATAAAATGTTTTGTTTTATTTTAGATAATCCCACTCATAATATCGTTACTTTTGTCTTTTAACCATAAAAAAAGCTGTTACACCTTGTCAATTATCATGACATAAACAATATAAAGAAAAGAGCAAACAAATCTTGTTCATATAGATAAAGCATTTCTATGCATCCACAAAGTCAATGTGTGCTAGATTGCAGATTTCCATAGTTCTTAATGGCTCCTCAATGCGTGAATTTACTAAAATTTGTTGAAATTTTACCTTCAAGCTTCACTTAAAAATTTCAATTTATGATTCAACTGTTCTTTAACTATAAATTACATATTGTATAATTCAGAATGTAGAAATATATTAACATTAGAATTAACTTTTTTCAAGTATTGAAGAACCAAAAATATGATTTACTGTGAAAATAAAAAGCACTAAAAGCATTAATTACAACAGCACTAGATATAAGATAAGTTTTTTTATCTTCACAGTAACCATACAGTATATAACAATTATCTAAGAAATAAATGTGCAAACTACATTGGCTTAAGGCAAGTGAGCAGTTAAAAAGGTGAAAAGAATATGTTGAATGAAAATACTTGGACCTGAAAAAAATCTCAACAAGACTTTATATTAACACAAAACTTTACACAAACAAAAATATGCAAAGCATAATTATACCAGACTGACTATAATGTACACATTTTCTTATTTACTCATAATTGTACACATATTACAATTGTACTTTCAAATAGTTTAGTGATGCTCTTTACCAATGCTTTATTGTGACCTTTGTTAAAACCTTGCTTTAGCCGGCCAAAAGTTCTCAACATTTCAAGCTTAAAATTCAGATGTAAAATTATCAATAATAAATGTTAAAATTGCTCTGAATTTCTGGTTAGAAATACTAAGTTCAGCCTAAAAATGTGTAAACTGTCTCAGATAATAGTACCTTAGAGTACAATATGAACTTAGACCAAAGAATCAATCACAAAATTTAAGATACATGTGAATTTTAGGCTTAAAATGTTGTAAAATATGAGGCCAGCCAATAATCATCATAATTCAGAACTATTTTTTTAACCTAGATTTTGTTACAATCTAGGATCCATGCCACAAGTAGGCTTCTTACTTTGGTATAGCAGTTTTTAAAAGTGCAATAAAAAAACTTTAAGCATCAAAATAAACTCAATATTAAATTTATGATAAATTAATTATTCCACACAGAATGATGCATTATCTGTTAGCAATCATACTCAAACATCAAAGGTATTAAATCTATAAATTAAACAGAAGCTAAGGGTAAACAGACATGGAAATGAGACAGTAAAAGATAGGTAGAATTGAGGGAAGGTAAACAGGACTTTAAAGTTTCATGTAGAGCTTTTACTCAGTGTTTTCTGTAAATCCTCAAAATTTATGTTCCAAGTATGAATTTTTCCATTTTTGTATCACATGATTTTCATCACAAATGCCCGCCATACTTCACTTTTATACTGAATTAAGAAATGATACATATCATCTTGCCAGCTAGGTGGAAACAATGCCCTTTCTGTATCAAAGAGTAAATATGTCCAAAAATAAAGATAACAATAAATTGCCTTACAACTTCACACATCATTCTATGTAGGGCTTACATAACTGGGACAATCAACAAAGTGTATAATGAAGAAACTAGAACTGTTTCAATAAGACAAGGATGCCCTGACATTATGCTGTTTCACCAGATGGACAACAATATAGCATGACAATAGACATGAAGGACAAGAGAAAATCTGCATACCTGGTGACCCCCATTCCCAACCCCCTACCCAAATGGTGGCATAAAAATAGGGTAAAACTTAACAAAACATAATGACAAAGTAAAGAAAGAAGATACTGATAGTGAAAGGTAATGAAGGAAGAAGAAAGGGAGAGAGTATACCTGGTTTAATTGGTCTGGGGTCTCCTCCGCCTGGGCAGCTTGTTTCTGGTGACGTTTCACAAGTTGATACAAGTTATGAGTTGCCCTGTTTGAAAGATAAGTGTTATATACCTATAAATATACATGCTCAAAAATGTAAATTGTACTGTATAATTTATACAAACCATTGAAAAGTATGGAACAGGTGTGTTTGTTACAAAATTAACATATCATCACCTAAGTGCAATAACTGGTTAACTCCTATTAGAATTAGAAGGACTTAACCCATTATTGCACTAAGGTGAAGATATATCTTCATTTACATATATCTTTAACAATGATCTAGTCAAAAACAGTTTATAAAACCACTGTTATATTGTATCATATATTGTTTTTTTGTCTCTATAAAAATAATATTGCAATTGAAAAAGTATTCCAATTGCTAGCGCATGTGTTCTCAGGGACTGTGTGCAAAACATTCATAACTGTTACTCAAAGAAAACAATGATCTGCATCAAGCTTTCAAGTCATTTAATTTTACATAAAATAAGACAAACTTGAAATGTTTTCAGATTTTCCTCTCTTTTTTTTCTGTCCCTTAAAGCTGCGTGCCTCCAAATATTAAGAAAATCAAACTTGAAAAAAATGTACTAACATTTTCAGAAAAGTAAAAAAAAAAAGATCCAAATTAATGTATGTAAAATTTTTTACATGTTATGATTAATGACTGATTTTGCAATTTTTACCACAATATTTCTACTGCATGACAAATGCAGTAAGGCTTATTTTTGTATATTTTGACCTCTTTTTGGAAATTTACGTAGATTGTAAGTGTTATTTGTAATATGTAAATTACTTTCTTTGTTCACTAATCACAATATTTTACTGTTAAATACATTTTGAAAATTTTCATGAAAATAAGCATAAATCTGGAGGCATGCTGCTTTAATCAAGAGGTCTCATCAGTGGACATATCAAAGACACACTTTAAAATCATCTAATCTTCATACAGAATGATCAAGCATCTTAAAGAAAACGTACATTTTGATTCTTCCCAATTCTAATGTTTTCTTGGCAGCAGTATTTTTGATATGTGTCCACTGTGACTCCCACTTGACAGCTTCACTCTGTGCTACATCAAGACGGGTCTGTAAACTTGATAACTGGTTGTTATATGACAGGATCTCATTATCCTTGTCCTGTAAACATCAAATTAACAAATGAGGATATATAATTTAGTTTAAAGTGAATATATAGATTATATCTCATCATTAAATATTCTCTGAGTGAAATATTAATTTAGCTTCCTTATACTTGGGATATTCTTATTATTTAATCAAAATTTTAAAAAATCATCATTTTTAAATGTTTTACTATTCAATTAAAATAATTCAATAATAAATGAGTAATTTAAGCAAAGTTAAGTGGCCTTGTGGTTAAGATGTCTTCCAAGTGCATCAAGTTATAGATCGTATGTTGCGTTCTATGTTGGAGCTTACAAACAGGGGTTAGTTTTCAATATTAGTGACTATCACAAAAGACTGTTTGATATAGATAACTCTCAATGATAAAACCTTTAATAAACAATATGTTTCATCACCTTTTATATTTCCATGCTGAAGTAAGATTAAAATGTCATTTAAAACTTAAAACATACTGTTTAGTTTTGAATCAACATTGGGATATTGACAATAATATCTTTAAATCACATTCACACTTACTTCAATATATTTATTAAGCTGTTGTCTATGCCTTTCAATAACTTCTTGATTCTTTTGGTCACTTTTTAAAAGATCCTGAAAATCAAGAAAAATTATATGGATATTATTCAGATAACCTGTTTACATGATGAGGAGTTGATGTTAAGAATAAATATTCTGCTGGTTTCAAAAAATATATTTTATTCAATTTCACAACCAATCATTTAATTGTAAGCAAAAAATTTCAAATTCTGAACGATTGGCTCTGAAGTCAAATCACTGAAAAGCTAACATACAGAATTACATTTGTTTTAAAGACATGAAACTTCAAGATCAAATGCCAAGTTTACCATTTCAATGTCAAGATCAAAATCTTCGATAATTTTTCATATAAATGTTACATGATTATGCATTATTACAACCTGATTTTGGTGGCAGAAATAAAAGGTCAAATGAAGTTCAAGGTCAAAGGTCATATTTACCTCATGTGTGGCAGTAAGTGTGTCATATCTTGCTATAACATCTCTCATCTCATGAAACTCTTCTCCTCTCTCTAATGCCTTCTCCATGTACTTATGAAATATGGAGTAATTTTCTAACTTTCTCTGTAGTCTGTCTTTAGTTCTTCCAAGATCACCTGTTTCTTCTTTTAATCTGTTCAAAAATTGGACATTTGTTATTTCCATCCAGAGTATATTAAATAAAATTAATCGTAAACATCAAAATAAACAGATAAATGCTACATTCTGTGAAATACATTAGAATTGTGTAGACATTTTCCAGCATTTTCTAGCAGCCATTCCAGTAGCACACCAACTACTTTATCTTGTTCTATTGGTGCTCTTCTCAGATATTCCAGAAAACAACCAATGTAAATGTGTCTATCAAAAAATGTTAATTAACTCTGACCTGCTGCTAGCAACAGATTTATCCATGAAACCAGTTCAGACCAAGATCAGCAATCACTTCTGTATTGTCTGGTCACATTGTTTACACTGTTTGCTATTCAGTCAGAAAATATTTTGAAACTTTCCCTATACATATGATACATGTAAATGGTATTGTCCAGACTGAAAGATGGACAAGTTCATGTGAGATACTTAGCTTTGTAGGGTTTAAACCTTTAGCTTTAAAACATATCCTAACTTCTGGAAGTAGCTCAATTATTTATAATGAAGAACTCTGATAGAATGTCATACTTTTCAATTTCCTTTTCTTTCTGCCTCTTCATATCTCTCTCATCATTGGCTTTCTTTACTGCTCTTGCTTTCTTAGAGTCATTGTCCTACAGGAAAATACAAACACAATGTTTTTAATCTATTTTATGTACAAGAAAGTTTATATTCTCAAAGCATGCCATGAATTCTAGACATAACATAGTACATGCATGTATGCATGTCTATATTTCTATGCAAAAGTTTTTTTTAAAAAAAGGAAAATGTTGTGAAATGCCTTCATTTTATCTACTCTGGCATTTAACTGTGTAAGATAATAAATTCAATTAAAAACTATGTATCTATTATGACAATTTCTATGCATCTCTAAGATCTTTCACTTTTATACATGTGTATATTTGGATACCAATATTGCCTCTATTGCATGAAAAATAAAAATGATAGATCATTAGAATATACCAGTATTAGTTGCTATAAGCTAAATTATATATTTAATTACATAAAAACCAGTAATATAAAACACTTCACAAACCTTTAAAAATTTGTCAAACTGTAAAAGTGATTTTTTAAGTTGATATTCTTTCCTTTCCAACTCTTCTCTCCTTTGCTGCAAACTTTCCATTTTCATTTGAAATTCCTGCAATTCAGAAAGGTAGTGGGTTTAATATTTCAAAAAGGTAACCCTCTGACAGAACATGCTTTTTAATTTAAGATTAACATACATGTATTTCTCATACTTACAAAATTTAATAATATATTGAATCTGAAATCATTTGCAATAAAGATTAAACTTTAAAATTATGCACAAGTCTATTATATAACACAAGCCAAACACAATACTGGAACAGTGGAACTTTGAAGTTTTGATTACCAAAGCCCTGGTGAAGAATATTAACATTGCTGGGACAGTCAGTAAAATCTACAGTATAAAATGCCCATACACTGCATGCTGGTGCCACAAAACAAAGATTTTAACCACTGTGTTAACCTGGCATTGTGAGGAAAGACAGACACTAAAAGTTGTATTTCATTTTCCTTACTATCTCACAGAGTACTGGTGACTACTGTAAAATGATTGGCAAATTTTAAAATTACCTCTTTCTGTGCAGCCAAGGCCTGTTCCACCTCAGCCATTTCTCTGCGTTTCTCCAACAAGCGTGTGGCAGGAGTGAGATGGTCATCTTCACGCTCTGGCATTTTACTGTGAACAAATAAACAAACATAAATAATACTAAAGATAAGTAGAAATATAAAAAAAAATATATATTAAATACACAATATATTAAAAATGAAGCAGTTGGGGAATTCTGTCTTGACCATTCTGGTCACGATAATTACTGAGAGATTTCTACCATTTAGCCGATTTTAATGTGATTATTAATTTTTACAGCAATTAAAGTCAAGTTAAGCATTAATTTGCATTTTAAGGAGAGAACTTTTGCAAAAATTTAATTAATACAATATCTATCAATTTCATTAAATAATCTAATCTTGAAATTAACATGTAATTAGAATACTTCTTAAATCTGTTAAGAACCTCTCAAATTTTAAAACAATTGACTGAACTTGTATTTACTTGTTGTTTAGTCCATCATCAATTACACATCAACACTTATATAACACAAAGTCCTGAGAATTTATTACTTTTACAATTTTGTGACATTTTATTTTGCCTCCCTGTACAGCACTTAATGCAAAAGAAAACTCATAGATATCAAATGTCAATTGAAAATTGTGAGTACTGTGTTTATTATGAATACTACTTATTTCACCTTAAGTGTTCGGTAATACCCACACCTGCTCTACTTTCAGTGTGGTTTTATTGGTGTTTAATGCAAGAAATCACCCCTTAGAATATCCCTGCTCTCATGCAGCATATTTCATAATTTAGATTATCATACGGGGAAGTCAAAGACAGGGTCCACAAAGCTGGCCCGGGCTTTGGCTTGCCCGTCAATATACTACACATGAATATTTAAAAGAAAATCAAATAAAAAACAATTAAGAAATATATACATGTAGAATTCTATACCTATCAATGAAATTTTCAGTGTCAGTTTAATTGGAGTGCTGACATTTTCAATGTAACCCAATGATAATAGGGGGGGTATTCTCATAATGGAACAAATCTCAACTTTTCAGATTACTTTTAATAATGGTTGAGTGTTCCGAGGAAAAACGGAAGCGGTCGTATCGTATCGATTAATTCAGGGAATAGACATATACACATACAATTTTATCACAGATATCAACTTGCATATATATAAAAACACACACATAAATGCAACAAAAATAATTATAAGATTAATTAATGAGTATGTTCTATGTAACCCTAGGATTGCCCATTGAGCTAAAAGCTTATTTCCAATGGGGTCCATTTTCTGTAAAATTATTACACTAACATACATAATTATTAATGAGTTATAAAGAAGTTAAAATAAATGACAATTTTCAACAATCAAGACACATTTTCAATATAATAAGACAAGAACATTGTACACAAATAAAATGAAATAAATTTCGTTTAAACTAAAACATATTAAGTACACATAAACATGTTACAAAACCTTATCATAAGTTACACATCAATTTAATAATAAATAAACATATTATTCACTTGTTTATCATTTTCATTACTTAAAAAAAGTTTTACTTTCGTTTTAAATGTTTGGATATTGTTAATTGATCTAATGTTGTCTGGTAAAGAATTCCAGTCTTTTATGGCATTGTAGAAAAATGTATTTTTAACATAAGAATCATTTTGAGGCAAAACAAAATTAAAATTACTAGATCTTAAATTGGATATTCTACAAACCTTAAACAATTCCTTTAAATAAGAAGGACTTTTTGTTATAGCGGTAGCTCTAGATTCTATATAAATTACCGAAAGACACCTTTAAAACAGAAAAATGAAAGGATTTTTTACCGACTTCCCCGTTCATAGGCTTTGCCTAATTTCATATTAAAGCATGTATTTTTTAAATTTCAAAATTATTCTTTCAATGATTCTGAGTCAGTGAGTGTAACTGACAGTAAAGAACCAAACATTTGTGATTGGCATAATATATGGGAAGCATGCAGATGGCTAATACTGCAAGATAGCTGAAGATCTATAAAGTGTCAGAACCAATCTTATAGCTATGTGGATTGCAGCCTGTGTGGAATAGAATGCTGGATAATGATTTTCATAATTTTGCACGAGTTCTATGTGTCCCATTTAATTTGTGTTTACGCATACTCACACGAGGAGCTTGTCCTCAAATGTTGTTCTAAAATAATCTTCTAAGCTTATCGCCATTTTTGCTGTTTATTCTGCGATCCTTATACAAAAAATATCCCTAATTTCGAAGTTTTCGTTCGTCTCTTATGAATGTTTACTTCTAATCCGTAATGTCCGCCATTTGTAAACTAATCTAGCTTGTTGCCATGAAACGTAAAATTTTACTTTTTAAAATCATTTAAAATCATATACATTTCTTAATTGTTTTCATATTTTGATAATGTATTTTTAAATATATTGTTACAGAAATTTTAAATTTGGTATAATATCTTAAATGAGAGAAATATTTCATAAGTCGTTTTTATGTTGAGATTATATGTCAAAAATGGCTGCCATTTCGATGCGAGCTCGGTATCTTGGAAATATTTTCCAAAAAAGCAAACAGGTTGTTTGTACATCCGACAAATGCAGGTGAGAAAATAAAGTTAGTGAATGAAAGTATCGAATAGATTGAAAGATTTAAAATGTCATGTTAAAATTTAGCAAATTTGTACATGTCCTTTTCTGTCCTCTAATTCAACTGTTGAAAAAAAGTGGGTGGGGTATAGATAAAATATAACCGGTTTTACTATGTCATTGTTAACGAGCGTTGGTATAAGCAGACGTGCATCTTTTCATAAACCCAAGACTTAATTAAATGTGTCGAGCTTTACTGACATGATAAAATAGTATTATTTTGCTGTCCAGTTGATATCATTATAGGTGTTTGGAAAAGAGTCAACTCGGCCCTATACCAACTCGGCACCGGTCAGCTCGGCACAGGTCAACTTGGCACGGGTCAACTCGGCCCACTTTACAAAAATATATAGGCCTATAACGTATTTACTTTTCTTTGCATGTTGTTAAGGTAAATGAATAATAAGAAATATTTTATTATTATTATATAAATTACAAGAAAAGCATTGATGCAAAGCATCAAAGGGCGTCCAAGCAGCAGGTGCAGACGAACTAGTAGATATATGATGACAAGATATTCTTATAAACTTTTCAATGGTTCATTGGGTTTTACCAGAATTGTATATCACTTATGAATGAACGGACGAAAGACATTGTTCATTATTTATAACTTTGATTGGCATGCTAGAAATTAGAATATTACTTGTTATTTCTTTATGATCGTGGTTATTAATAGCAACGGATATACATGTATACAATCATTTATAATCCATATGTGTAACGCATGATCAACACCATACTTGTGTTATTGTCCCTTATTATGTTATCGCTATTAGCGAGGACCCCCTCTTAAGGTATCTGTTCACAATATCATGTTGAGCATAATTGTTTATTATACAATAATTGTAATATCTATTTTAATAAAAAAAATACAGATTTTATGAATATTGTTTTCTTTTCTTTTTTTGTGTTTTATGCGCTATTTTAATACTGAGTTTTTACGTTTACTACTATTTTAAGAATTCAATTGTCATATTGACCGACGATTATAAGTCAAAACTTAACTGGAAAAAGTCAGTAAATCATGGTTAATCTTTCAATATATAATATTGTTTATTCTTAAACCATATACATGTACATTTGTATTTTTCTTTATCATTTTTTAAATTATCAATCAATTGAATAATTCATAAAATCTGATTTGTAACTTTGAATAATTCCTCGGCATCTTTACTAAACACAAATAACAAATTGAATAAAATGTTTCAAAGTTGATAGTGTCATATTAATGCCATAAAAATGTACATTTTTTCTCAATTATTGTACATATTTATTGTTTTTATCTCATATAGATAAAAAAAAACATGCGATTTGTGTTGTTGTTTTTTTTTCGAATTGTATGTTTATGTATAATAATAATCAATAAATTTGAGAGTTGATCTGTGTTTATTAATTATTGTAGCCAAACTATGTGACAAACATTCATTTTTGAAAAAAAGCTTATTAATCTGTAAAATATTTGTTCTGTTCTGTATCGATATCAAACATCTACTCCAATTCCGGGAGAGACCGGACAATAAACGTGTGGTACTAATCGCCGGTCACTAGTAAATCCCGGGAGAGACCAGGAATTACCGATAGGAGTACATCCCTCTATAAATAGATTTTCGGAATATTTAGGTCATCAACTCATCATTCTATTAACAGCTTTCGGAATAACATACCATAATAACCCACTGGTACTACAAAATGATAAACAAAAATACCCCGAAGAGCGCGATTTATTGACGGAAAAGGTTATTCATTTGAAAATGTTTGCATTGCGAAATTCTCCAGTTCGCCATTCATTGTACATATCGCGATTAATTAATAATCAAGCACCCTCATACCGATCGGAATGATCGGCTTTTATTATGAACAACTATAAAAGGCTCGAGAAGTTGCTGTCGCCCTTTCACAAAAACTGATTTCATTCCATAATAGGCGCCGCGCTTCGGCGCGGACGCCAATAATTATACATTGTACCACTGCTGATATTAAGTATATTTAGAATTTTTTTTTATTTATTTGTCTTGCAGATTCGACAAAATTAATATAGATACAGGTACGATTATCAGACCTTGGAAGAAAAATATGAACAGATTGATGAAATAACTTTATATTTTTTCTTCCCAGGTCCGATACTTGTGCTTGTGAATATAGATATAATAAAAATGTGTTTCCATAGATGCATTTTGTTTGTAAAGTAATTTTCAAAAAATTTGAAACAAAAATGTGTTTACTTAATAGCATAAGCTTCTAATTAATTGCAGGTGGTTACTAATCAAATTTGAATGAATGAGTCAATCATAATTATCACCTAATTAATCGGTATCTTTAACATACACATTGATTGATAACAATAGGAGTCCTTTGATGTCCATTACCCATTTTTAAAAGTTGGCCGAGTTGACCCGTGCCGAGTTCGAATAGGGCCGAGCTGACTCGGGGTGTGAGTATGTTTTAGGGCCGAGCTGACCCGGATTCTAGGTGTTTGGCGCGTTGATTGGTCACTACCCCCGGTCCCCCTGACCCACTCTACAACCCTCCTAACCTCTCAAAACCATGTAAACTGCTGTTTTTTTCATATGAAACATGTTTTAATATTTGGTTTATGCTTTTAATTCAATTACCTTCATTTCCCACAAAAAATAAAATTGTGATATATCCTCGACTGATGTATATATGCGGTATTATGCACATTTGTGTGAAATAATGTGGAATAAAGATATATAATAAATTATACACATAATGTATGCTTACAATTGGCCTTTTACAATTTCAAGTCAGTTCAAGTTTCACCAACTTACACTTGTATTTGTCAGTGGTAACTTTAAATTATAAGCGTTTGTCACAACGTCCGCCATATTGGAACTGTATTCGTGGACGACTACAATTACGTCATTCTAGGTCAAATCAGTTCACATGACAAAAATTCCAATCACTTTAAACGGATAAAATATCAATTTTTCTGAATAATGTTGATTTTTGTATCTATTTCTTATTTACAATTTTATTTTGTAAACATGTGAGAAGTTGTAAAAAAAAAACTTAAATAGCGGATAAATTCGATTTTCATCTCCCCTCATGACCCTCATTTCTGGCAAAAGATTTAAGTAGGTCAAGTGCTTGCACATTGCAATCTAAACATGTGATTACATCTTAAAGTATGATGTTGACATAAAAGTTATTATGTCACTTTTAAATATTTTGGCCAAATAGGCTTAAATTTAGACCTAATTATTTTTTAAACGAAGGAAATGACACTTTTTGCATTAGTTGATATGGGTATCCAAAATTGGTCAAGGCCATCCTTAAAAAAATGTTCGTTTGCAGTAACGCGACCGACTCACAAAATTTGCCCCTACTCAAAATTTTTTTTCATGGTCTGGATAAAAATTTATTTTTTTTTAATCAGAAAATTATACCTTGTGCTTTGTTTTCATTCTTTTAAAGGTTAATAGAAGAAATAAAATGTAGGTCTTATTAAATTAGAATTCAGTTATCAATTTATTAATTGTTACCAGATTATCAAAGCATATATTGTCCAGCATTTTGAAATTCCATGTTTATTTGGGAGTACAGTTCAATAATAAAAAAAAAAATCGACCTACCTACCCACCTTGAAAATTCTGGGTCGGGTTACTGCAAACAAACATTTTTTTAAGGATGGCCCAATAGATATTCATAGCCTCGTTTTGGGAAAAAAAAACATGGCCGATGGACCTTCACATCTTGAAGGAATTTCCGTATGTGGGGCCATCCTTAAAAAAATGTTTGTTTGCAGTAAGCCAAGAACCTTAAGACCTAGGAACTTCAAACTTGGTATGGTGATTGGTCATGATCAGTAGATGACCCCTATTGATTTTGGGGTCAAGGGGTCAAAGGTCAAGGTCACACTGACCTCTTGGGTAAAAACGGTTTCCGATCAATAACTAAAGAACCCTTAGGCCTAGGAACTTCAAACTTGGTATGGTGATTGGTCATGACCAGCAGATGACCCCTATTGATTTTGGGGTTAAGGGGTCAAAGGTCAAGGTCACATTGACCTTGTAGGTAAAAACGGTTTCCGATCAATAACTAAAGAACCCTTAGGCCTAGGAACTTCAAACTTGGTATGGTGATTGGTCATGACCAGCAGATGACCTATTGATTTTGGGGTCAAGGGGTCAAAGGTCAAGGTCACATTGACCTTGTAGGTAAAATCGGTTTCCGATCAATTAACTAAAAACGCTTAGGCTTAGGAACTTCAAACTTTGTATGATGATTGGTCGTGACCAGCAGATGACCCCTATTGAGTTTTGGGTCAAGGTGCCAAAGGTCAAGGTCACATTGACCTTGTAAGTAAAAACGGTTTCTGATCAATAACTAAAGAACGCTTAGGCCTAAAAACTTCAAACTTTGTATGATGATCGGTCATTGCCAGCAGATGACCCCTATTGATTTTGGGGTCGAGGGGTCTAAGGTCAAGGTCACATTGACCTTTTAGGTAAAAACGGTTTCCAATCAATAACTAAAGAACGCTTAGGCCTAGGAACTTCAAACTTTGTATGATGATTGGTCATGACCAGTAGATGACCCCTATTGATTTTGGGGTCAAGGGGTCAATGTCATATTGACCTTGTACTTAATGACGGTTTCTGACCAATAACTCAACAACTCAAGTTGCCTTGGTTGATATTTTTATATTAAACTAAAAATGCTTTTGGTATACACATTTGAAGGTCTTATATAATATAACAACTTGGCTGTCATTAATGAGGCCTACATGATTCATAAAATTTATGCATATATTATTTGGTAAGATTTGTAATAACTTAAATTGCTGCACACAACCTATGGGGTCACAATAATTATTACCTTGTGACTAGTCATGACCAGTAGATACTAGATAACCCTAATTAATTGTTTGTTCACTGGGTCAGAAGTCATGCATAATAACCTGATCACATGACTAATTGGCTGCCGATAGGGGGCATACATGTTTTACAAACATATCTTGTTATAATAGTAATAAACTAAACAATGGTCTGAATGACTAATACTAGCCTTTGTGATTAACATATGCTGTTGAATGATAGTATTGGTTGTTTTTTTTTTCCTCAATTATTATGATTAAATTATTCTTCCTACCTGTAATAAAGTTACTTCAAGTGTTTGAAAATTTATAAATATTTACTGAATGGGAACTATAAATAATGTTTTACACAGCATAAATAACAAAGTTTGATAACATAGAAGGTAAGAGAGGTCATAATGTATAATGTTGGGATGTTACGATCATGAACAGATTTACCTCTGTAGTGAGATTGTAATCTATTTTATTACGGCATATTTTAAAGTTTAAGGAGTAGAATGCTTAATATAAAATCAGTGATTTGTTTTTTGGAATTTTTGAAAAACTTTCTGAAGAGGAAAATTAAGCGCTATAAATCAGAAAATCTAGAAAATCTGAAATCAAATACCAACAGCTGAAAATACTGCATATTTAAGCCATATATTTATACAAATTTTCAAATTAATTACAGTTTAACATGCAAGGTACTTGGCAGAGGCAAAATAGACAGCTTTCAATCCATTAAATATCATATCAACCAGCTGGGTCTAAGTCAACTATTCTGGTGACAAATGTGCACAGTGACAATTTAGGCATAGCATTTCTAGCAGAGAATGAAAATTTTTTTTGGCAAGGGGAAACAGCTTGTATAAAAGGGTTGGTCTTGAGATTTATAAGTTAAAGGTTTTTATGTTTTTGAGGGCCAGATATTTTATTGACAGACATTGCTTTCTTTCATGTGTGACTTGATTTTTTTTGGTCATATATAATAATTTCAGAAGTCACATATCTCTTTGATTTAATTCTACAGGTGACAGTAAATATGAAAAATCTGTATTAAATTACAGAATATACATTGTAGTAAGTTATATCTGAGTGACCACTCAATGTCTCATGCCAGTAAAAAAAAACAACAAAAAAAACTACCGTAGGTCAATGTAGTAAAATGATCATTCAGGGATTTTTTCAAAGATTTTGGGAACATGACCCATTCCAATGGAATTGGGAATTTCAGTAGTTTTGTTAAAAAATTGGGGAAAAATGTATGTCTGAAATTTTGCAGTGATAAAATGAACACTGTCTAGAATGGCATTTTGAAACATTAAAGCACTATAACAGTGAAGATTAGCCCTTATTTTCAAAGATTTTAGAATTCTTTATTCAATATTTTTATTTTGTTTCTTTGAATTGGGAATGTTTTCCTGTGGATTGGGAAACTAATATACTATTTTCAATTGGGAATATGACCCAATAATGGCTATAAAATAAGCCCCCCAAAAAATCCCTGTCATTAGACATTTCTCAATGTAACTGTCGATTTTGACTTCAATGAAAATATAAGAATACACTTGTACATGTTTGTTTGTATGTTTATTTTCAGAAGTTTCAGTACATCAGAGGTATGGAGGAAGGAGGAGCCACCAGTTGAAGTAGATGTTGATACACCTGTAAAGAAAGGATGGTTTGATAAATTACTCAATGTTCGTACCATAGCTCCCAGTAAAGAGTCCCACGCCAAGTCACTGTCAGATAAACAGAACCTGTATGAAGTAATGTGTAAGTTTCAACATTTATAATGAGGTTTCCTTATTGGCTTCAAAGGTTGCATGTCTTGAATGTTTAAGCTGTCTTTGAGTTTGTGAGAAGAACCTAAGTACTGCTCTTCAGTTTTTTTCCTTCTATAGCAGCCCGGGCAGTTTAAGGGATGCTTATTCTCATGCATTTTTCCCCTAGAGTTCATGTTTTTCTCTTCCACTTTTGCAAAGATACTGTGTTATTTTTTTCCAAATTTAAGGGAAGGGCCCTTAATTTCTCTATTTGTGATAAAAAGCCCTTCAGTTTCTTGTAAAAAGATTTAAGCTGTTAGCTTTTAACATGCAATGTCATTATACAGACTTTACTAAAATTGTACACTGGTTCTGTAGAGTCTATGTAACTATGTGTGCCTCTTTGTGACAGGATGTTTATCTTTAAAAAAATTATTCTTGTTCCTTGGAAGCTAGAGGTTCACAATATATCCAAATTGAATAATTATGTTTACCAAGAAATACAATGTTTATATAACACAGTCATGTGTCACCTCTGTGAACAAGACAGTAATTTGAAAAATTTGATGTACATGTATATGTATTTGGTGTACAAAGGTTGTTCAACTTGAGGGAATCTTTTTATATGAATTTCTTTAGTGTTAGAAAGAAAGTCCGAGATATTTTCTCCTCAGGATTTGTTAGTAGGTGTTTTATTGTAAAAAACTTGAGTAAAACTTTCAGTATTCTGAATGCAACAGTACCCTTCACAAGTTACATGACTGCAAAATGTATTCATAATTGAGTTGAATCAAGTTTAATTAAAAATATATCAAATGAAAGATAATTGTTAGAACTTATACTGTCTTCTAATTATGTAAAGATTACTTAATATAAAAATAATGAACAGTTTCTGTACTCGGTAATTAACCAGTATTTTATATGTTTACTTTCAGTTCATTCAGTGAAGCCAGAATACATGGAACAGTATCTCAAGCAGTTGTAAGATATTCTTCTATTAATGCAATATAATTTGTATTGTTTTTTGTAAGGGCTTACACTCATTTAAAAAGAGTCTTATTATGTACCTTGTTTCTATTTTTCCCAGTAAGTATGTGTGTAACCAATTACAAAATTCTGAGAGTCTGAATTAGCAATCATATTAACTTTTTTTGAGGCCCCAACAGGGTAACCCCGTATAATAGGTATGAGAGGGTTGGGGTCATTCAATTATATTAACTTTTCTACGCCATCATTAAAGAGACATGCCACCAATATACACTGACTGTTCTGTTTGTGGGGGAGCAGTACTAGCCAGTGGTATAACATCCACTATGATATTGATAGATCCTGGATTCGAGTCCTATCAGGAACACTGCTTATTTCCTTGAGCAAGAAAATTACTTCACTTTGGTAGAAATGGGTAACTGAGAGGGTAGTTCATTTGCATGTTTCCATAATGTAGGCTGCTGTAAGTGTAGGTAAATACTCTTCAGGGAGATTGATATATGGGTTATACATGTAGTAGCCTAATAACCAAAGATAATAATGATCAGGGGTAAATTCTGTAAATCAGTAAGTGTGTCATATCATCATATAAACTAAAAATGCACTTTATTTTATACTATTGATAACTCAATTTTCATGTTTAAATTTTGAAATCCCTCAAACTAAGGATTCAAATTAATAAATAAAAGAAATGTAAGCCAAGCAGTGTAAGTTTTAAGAAAATTATCTGTTTTCTATTACAGTGAAATCTACCAGCATATGATGAATGAGAAAACAGGAGCCACATTGAAAGGAAGTTTTACAGTAGAAATTGGCAACCAAGATGAAGCAAGTATGGCATATATTAAAATATTGCATGTTTGTAACATCACTTTTCATTGGATAATCGTGACGTTTATATAGTTTTATAAACACCACAACCGTAAATTTATGAAGAAATCACACTTTTCTCTCAAAATAGGAAATTTTGTAGAACTATGTGCCTTGTATATGCAAATTTTGACAGCTGTGACCTGTCCCACACACAAGTCATTAAAGTCTATAGCAGGATACATAATTTAGCTGAAAGTAATTGGATGTCGCCTTTCATGTATTTACATAATGATAGCAAACAAAGCTAAAGGGAATTCTTTATAAGGAACAATTTATTTTTTGCCCAAGTTCTGCCTTTCTTTATTAACTAAAAATGTTGTTATTGCAAACAATACTGAAAGGAATTAATTCTTACATAATAAGGAACACAGACAATTACATAGTGAAAATAATAATTTTTTTTAATGAAATACTGTTCAAAATTTAGTACAGTTGTAAATGATTAGTTATAAATGACTTTGAAAGCTATAAAAACATCTTATATAAAGAAGTAATTCCCTGTTATATAATATGCTGACAAGGAACTCTGGATATAAGGAACAGATTTTACATGTCCTAGTGAGGTAGGGTTAAAGCAGAGCTTACTTTACATACATATGATATCTATCAGTTCACATGATACATAGTACTAGTATTATTTCTATAAGCACAGGTGAGGTTGCGTACTCATACACACATACACAATTAAATTCAGTAAATTAATTGCATTTTCTCATTATATACTCATTATTGATTTCATGATTTACATTGGTTTGTCTTTACATTTATATTATTTGATTACAGTACATATATGGGAGTACACAGGTGGCTATCCAGCACTTAATCATGCTACAGAAGTCTACAGAAAAGATCAGGTATTTGTAAATTCACTAATATTAGTGTTGATAGATAATTAAAGTTGATCAAGATCACTAAATTTTCCCAAAAAGTCTGTAACCCTTTGGGGGGGGGGGGGGTCAAATTTTCCTAAGGAATGAAGTATTCCTGATCAGTCTGTGCCTTGATCTATGTTTTCAAATTAATGGGTATTAAAAGTTTCACTTGAGAAATTTGTTTTTGTTGGGTTACTCTAGACATTTTCAATCTTTGTCATAGAATTATTATTCTATAAGCTAGAACCATGGAAACAACCTTTCTCTATGCAAGAGCTTGGTTTATACAGAATTTATTTTAGTCTGATGGAGAAGAAAGCTATAAGCTTATAGACACGCTTTCGAATCAATCAGTACTGAGCAATGAGTGTAAAAACACTTGCTCAAGGAAACAACGACTTGCCCCTGTTAGGGTTTGAACCCAAACAGCTAGTGATCATTAGATTACTAGTCCGACATTTTAACCACTCAGCAGAGCTTGGTTAATATATGACTAGCCACCTAAATTCAAAGTCAAAGTTTCAAAATTCACTTCTGATATATAGACCCGTAAGTTATCACATAAACCACAGAGCAGGAGTGTAATGAACCCATTTAATAAAATAATATTACACTAGTGTATTAAAACACTTTAGCATGGCATCATTTGTGTAGTACACAAACATAGCTTTAAAGCGAGCTAATGTTAACATTACACTATAGGTGTATCAACGAAAAATTACTTGTTCATATTTTAGATGTGTTATAAATAGAATGTTATATTTGTGTAGATTTAATACTAAATTTATTACAAAACAATGATATTATTTTACACTCTTCATTTTCAGGATTTTATTGAATTTAGAAAAGCTAGAAATAAAATGTTGAATGCAAGAAGTAACCAGATTCTTCTAGCCTTTAACTTCTGGCCAGAGCTTGTACCACGAGAAGGTCCAAATATCTATGAGATGAGAAGTTACACATTAAAGGTAACATTTTTTGTGGGTTTTTTTAAGGTTGGGGGGGGGGGGGTAAAATTTCTGTGCCCTTTGTAGTGTACATAAAGGAAACCTTTTTTCTAGATCATCATTTTTATTTTGCAATTAGAACAATTATTATATTTGTAATAGATATCCACTTGTTTTAAAAGATAAATTTTCATCAAGTTAAGTTTTTTCATTTACTTGATTCATGCTTGGCTAATCAGTATTCAAAAAAGTAGGTATTACTATATCATATTTATTTGAGTGATGGGCTATTGTAAGCTTTGTGCTCAACTAAACTATTTACTTGAAGATATACCACGTCTTATCAATTGTAACTGTAGGTCTTTGTTCAAGAATCGTTACTCTACCATTGATTTCATCTGAATTTTTTCCCTTTTGTGAGCATAAACAATTCACTTTTAAAGTTTTGCTTTGCAAGTGTTTGGGTCTATTATGTCTATGAAATATAATGAAGGATTTTAAATTTAGTTATATAGAAGGTCATAGACTAAGAATAGACTCCAATCTAGAATTTCACTGAGTCATTGTGCTTCATCCACCTGATAAAGTCAGTCAGAAGAGCACTATTCATCAGGAAAAACAAATCACGGTGTCAAAGACCTTGAAATTATTTATAATGCACGAAACATTTCATGATGCAGACAGGAAATCTGTTATGCCTTAGCAGCAAGTATAGAATCAGGCCAATCTTAAGATAAACTGGTTAAGGCAGACCAAATTCTCTATCTTAGGCCAACTAGTTCCCAAGGTGAAATCTCTATTATAAAAAATAGATCAATTCAAAATGGTAGACAATTGCATTTTTAGCTCGACTATTCGATAAGAATAAGTAGAGCTATTGCAGTCACCCGAGCGTCGGCGTCGGCGTCGGCGTCGGCGTAACCACTTATGTTAAAGTTTTTGTAATAGTTCAAATATTTTCAAAGTCCATTGACATATGGCTTGAAACTTTGCACACTTGTTCACCATCATGACCCCAACCTGTAGACAGGAGGAGGTAACTCTATCAAGCATTTTGACAGAATTATGCCCCTTTTTCGACTTAGAATTTACGTTAAAGTTTTTGTAATAGTTCAAATATTTTCAAAGTCCATTGACATATGGCTTTGAAACTTTGCACACTTGTTCACCATCATGACCCCAACCTGTAGACAGGAGGAGGTAACTCTATCAAGTATTTTGACAGAATTATGCCCCTTTTTCGACTTAGAATTTACGTTAAAGTTTTTGTAATAGTTCAAATATTTTCAAAGTCCATAGACATATGGCTTTGAAACTTTGCACACTTGTTCAACATCATGACCCCAGCCTGTAGACAGCAGGAGGTAACTCTATTAAGCATTTTGACAGAATTATGCCCCTTTTTCGACTTAGAATTTACGTTAAAGTTTTTGTAATAGTTCAAATATTTTCAAAGTCCATAGACATATGGCTTTGAAACTTTGCACACTTGTTCAACATCATGACCCCAACCTGTAGACAGCAGGAGGTAACTCTATTAAGCATTTTGACAGAATTATGCCCCTTTTTCGACTTAGAATTTACGTTAAAGTTTTTGTAATAGTTCAAATATTTTCAAAGTCCATTGACATATGGCTTTGAAACTTTGCACACTTGTTCACCATCATGACCCCAACCTGTAGACAGGAGGAGGTAACTCTATCAAGCATTTTGACAGAATTATGCCCCTTTTTCGACTTAGAATTTACGTTAAAGTTTTTGTAATAGTTCAAATATTTTCAAAGTCCATAGACATATGGCTTTGAAACTTTGCACACTTGTTCAACATCATGACCCCAACCTGTAGACAGCAGGAGGTAACTCTATTAAGCATTTTGACAGAATTATGCCCCTTTTTCGACTTAGTATTTACGTTAAAGTTTTTGTAATAGTTCAAATATTTTCAAAGTCCATTGACATATGGCTTTGAAACTTTGCACACTTGTTCAACTATATGACCCCAACCTGTAAACAGGAGGAGGTAACTCTATCAAGCATTTTGACAGAATTATGGCCCTTTTTCGACTTAGAATTTACGTTAAAGTTTTTGTAATAGTTCAAATATTTTCAAAGTCCATTGACATATGGCTTTGAAACTTTGCACACTTGTTCACCATCATGACCCTAACCTGTAAACAGGAGGAGGTAACTGTATCAGGCATTTTTTTTACTATCAAGCACTAAGAATAGTCGAGCATGCTGTCCTACCGACAGCTCTTGTTGGAAATACTATCTAAGATTAATGGGCGGGCTTAAAGATTTTATCTACATGTTATTATAAATTATGCTTGTTTATAGATAAGGTATACATATAAACTGTTTAAGCCAATGAATTATATTCCACTAGCTTTATGTCTATTGTGTTCAGAGTTATGGCCCTTGATAATGTCTAAAAACAAAATGACAGACAAATTGAAAGTTTTAGTGCAACATAATTTATGTATTTTACTTATTTCAGGCAGGGACTATGATAGAATGGGCCAATAACTGGTAAGCATAATCTTATATACAACCTTAACATATCAGATTAGGCAAGCAAAAAGCTTGTGTTTTACTGATAATATTATATTAATGACAAAGTCTTTGACTACATGATTAACTTACTCCTTATAATGTATCACTCTTGTGCCAAATTGACCTTATTGGTTTTTTAACATCTTTAATTTTTACCAATAACAATAAAAAAATTACTTCATAAATATATTCTGTACTATATTTTATCTTGGTATTATGTAGAGGCTGGTTAACAACAATGATATTTATATGACAAACAAAACCTAATGAAACAGACAAAAAAGAATTATTAAGTTACAAAGTAGAGAGTAAAGTTGATGTATATTTTCAGGTCACGTGGTATTCAACATAGACAATCTAGTAATCCTGTAACGGGTCTATTTTCACAGATAGGAGAATTGTACCAAGTACATCATATCTGGTGTAAGCTAAATCATTTAATACATTTTCATATATTTGATGATAGTTGTTGTGCCAAAACTAGTGTTCAATATATGTAGGGAATTTCATATTTATCAAAAGAAAAGTTTAAAATGTGTAAAAGACATTTCAAGTTTATGGAAGATATTTTGAATCAGGTTTTCCAGCAGTTGATATCCCTACTCTGTCAACATATATGGCGGCTTCTATGCCAAGTGGTTACGGTCACTGACTTTGAATTCATTTATCCTCAATGCTGTTGGCTTCAATCCCTCAAGGGACTCTGAAATCTTTTGTATGTGAAAGAAAACCAACTAGCTTACAGAAGGTTGGATTTTCTACGCTGTTTCCATCTTAAAAAATACATGGACAGGCACTTAATGTCTTCCTTCAACACATCTGCTAACTCACCACATAACCTTTCCAATTTTGATGTTTTCAGCATTTTTGTTTTCTTTCGTTAAAGGTTATGAAAATTTACAAATGCGTAAGGAGACTAGAGAATCTGCCTGGCAAAAACCTGGCTGGGACGAGGTTGTTCAATACACAGGTATCATGTTTAATATTCTATTATTTATATTGCCTGGTAAATCAGGCGAAAAAATTTGATACAGTTTGAATCTCAACAGCTACCTTGGATTCTTTCATATGAGAAAGATATCAAGCTAGCTAATGGAAAGTTGGTGGTTCTACTCCGGTTTCAGCTTGTGCCATAGATAATGCACAGACTGGGTATCTGAGGTCTTCCTCCAACTTGAAAGTAACATTAATTTGACATTTACAGTGTCAGTGTTACTTTAAAGTCAACAACGACACAAAAACAACATTTCATATTCAATGTAAAATGGTTTCAACTTTGGACTTGAGAAGTTTAATAGTACAAATTTGAAAAGAAAATTATAAGAAAAAGTTGCAAGTTAAAAATGTGCTGCAGACATTCTATAACAAAATACTTAAGTCGTGAAGGCCAGTTGCTAGATGTGAATAAAGTTATAGTTGTTTATCAAATCAAAATGAATTTATTTGTAATTGTAGAGGAATTGTAGATCAACCATTCTGTTTTTAATGCTTTCAGTACCTCTCATAAGACACATGCAGTCAAGGATTTTGATACCTACGCCATTTTCACCTTTGCAATAGAGAGTATGTGTTTTCTGATCTTCTTCATTAGAGAGTCCCAAACCTCCACTTTGAAGAGTATTTTTACACAAACTGTGGTGCTGGAGGGACTTAAATTATACCTTGTTACAGCTGATACATGCAATATCAATGACATGTTGTAAATAAACCATATTTGTGTGAGGGAATCAATCCCACTTCATATTCATATGCCTGGTACTCGCATAATTCAAATATATGAAAACAGGAAAAAAATAAAAAATTCATTTGTGTTGGTTCATTTGTACCACATGGATTGTGTTTCGAGAAAAGATGTTATTATTTTAACAATATGCCTGAAGTAACATTTATAGATTTCAGGCCATTTCTATTTAGCTAGAAAATGTTATATTTTATTTCTAGAATTTGATTCTTAGTTATTAAATATTGGTTAATCATACATCTTAAATGTATTTTTATGGATATGAAATACATGTATTACTGTATATGTAATTTTACTGACTATTTATGACGTTTTCAAACTTTAATTATTTTGTTTTTGATGTTAAAAGATAGAAAATCATGATCCTTATTTCATGTGAATTAATGGAATGTTTTTGAAGAAAAATTTGGATGTCAATTGTTTAATTGATAGAAAATGTTGAGTAAATTTGACATTCTTTGAGGGAAAAAATGCCTATCATAAGAAAGGCAGTGACTTAAGATAAGATGGATTGATGGGGACAAGATAGTTTTCTTAATTTGACAGTATAGAAGGCATGTCTACACATATTCGCTCAAAAAGGAGCTTGTTTTGTTAAATTTTTAAGAACATTATCCAAACTGTATGGCATTATTCTAGCTTTATTGTTTGAGGCGTCCCCAGACATCTTGGTGAATCAACCACACATATGTATAGGTATGTGAAAAAGTTCTTTAATAACTTCTTTAATTATTTGTAAAACATATTATTCATTTATCAATCTTTATGTCCTTTGATCTTTAAGAATTTTAAATGCAGGCATTTTCATTAAATTTTGTTTTTGATTTATAAGAAGGCCAGGTTTAATCAAGCTGGTGATGGTAGGATCACCTTTATGACTTCTGATTTTCATATTTTATTTGTGGTTTAATTCAGTATTTAATTTATTTTGTATATCAATGTTACTGTTCATAGGGAAATATTGGCAAGAATGTTAATTTTGCTAATGTTGAAAATGGAACATCATTAAAAATCTAAAATCATGATAATGATGTGCCCTTTATTTGAAAAGCAAAATTAAAATTCTGTAAATATATTCCTATCTACCTACTACTCTTGGCTTTCCTAGAAAGCACATGTATTGATATTTAATGTAGTAAATTTTAGTTCTTCTGTTGTTTATGTAATTATGTATGAAATAAGTGCTATGAAATATTTGGTGCATTAATGTATATGTTTACTGTTCAACAATTTACAAAAAAAAAATCAACTATACAAATCTTACTTGATTTGCGTTCATGAAAATACCATCTTTATATCTTTTAAAATGAAGCTCATGCAAGGATTGCTGTGAAGGCAGTAATATATGTGCTGAAGTACATTTCACACTGCTCAAATGTGTATCAATGAGATTTAGAATTGTGAAAGAGTTATTGCCCTTGACTTAGTTTAAACTTACATATTTAGCTTGATAAAAGCTATATGTTTAAAGAAATCGGTCTTTGAGGTCGGTTCCTAGGATTAATTATTATTGATGTCATATGAGGAAACAAGGTTGTGTCCCAAATGACACTAAATCACCTTACTCCTTTAATCGGAAGAAGTTGTTGCCCCTTGCAGTGTTTAAATTTTCTAAACATGTCCTGGGTCTGTACTGTTATTGCCTGAAAGGTTGTATAGATCTTTATGAAAACTCAAACTGAGGAATAATGGGCCTGAAACGTTAATCCTGTTGAAGATTTCTTTAATTATTTTACCCATGTAATGTTTTCTGTCTGCAAAAAGAAATGCATGCGAAAGTACAAGTTATATAAGTAGAAATTATTTGAAAAACATACTATTATATACGATGTTATAAATTTTAATAATCTCGTTTGATATTGATGAATTGATATTTAAGTATGTGGATATTCTTTTCTTAAACATAAAGGAAAACGTCATTTTTATTTTGTTTTTGTAGACATCATAATATCAGGTGCTTGTGAAAATAGGTACATTGATTCGAAAAGATTGAAAAAAGTCATGACCTTTGAAATGTGTTTTCAGACTTGTAAAGTTTACATGATTTTAAAAGATGATTATTTATTTATATGTCAGAGGTAGATTTTTGATTAAATTAATTGAGATATCTTTCTGTCAGTTATCAATTGATAATACAGCTTATAGTTGTTGTTTTTATTCTACAAAAAAAACATTCAACCAATTCATTGAAACAGGGCCTCTATGCCAGAGTGATAAAAGTGGCCCAGTTTATCTTGCATCCTCTATCCCCTCTGGTTTAGAAGTCTGATACTATGTCACATGATGAAAGTTGTCCAGCTGATTTACTGGTTGCTGGTTCTAATAAGGCCTGAAATATTGCATGGAACGGCACCAACAGTTATGATAAGCAAGTGATTCAAAGTAAATGGCTTGAATCAAACCCCCAACAGAGGTTTGCAATTTAATCTTTAATGAAGGTGACATGGTTGACTAAGTTTGGTCTGAATTAATCTATTGTCTTCAAAAGAAACTAGTTCAAGTTGTAAATGGACTTGTCTATCTCTGAATCTGTTTAAGACCATTATTTGTTAGTATGCAGACAGTGGTTCTGTGTAGATTCTATAACCACCACTTGGCTACGAGTGTAAGCTCAAAAAGGTTTAAAACAAGAATTTTCATGCAAAAGTGATGAATAGGCTGAAAAGGTTTCTTAAAGGGACAACATTCGGAGTATTTGTGGGTGTGACTAATCAGTGATGTAAAACTGTCTGTTATAAACTCTGAACTATAAATAGCATGCAGTGTTAACCTGCAGAGAGAATGAACAGCTGATTTTACACAGGAGAGGTTTAATGAATGTTTTATATAACTCGAAGATTAATTAAAGACATTATCAAGTCATCTTGTCCAGATATTATTTTTGAAGTCGGTTGTTTTTTATTAGCTCACCTGAGCAATGCTCAGGGTGAGCTATTGTGATCGCCCTGTGTCCGTCGTCCGTCGTCGTGCGTCCTGCGTCGTGCGTCGTCAACTTTTCACATAAACAACATCTCCTCTGAAACCAATGACTGCACATCAACCAAACTTTACAGAAATGATCCTTGGGTGGTCCCCTTTCAAAGTTGTTCAAATGGTTCCGGTCTGTTGCATATGTAGGTCACAGGGCCAGAAAAGGATTTCAAAAAACACAAAATTAAAAAATCTTCTTGTCTGAAAGTACATGGGCCAGAGCTTTGATTTTTGGTATATGGTATCATCTATGGGTCCTCTACCAAAGTTGTTCAAATTTTGTCCCTAGTGTCAAAATTGGCCCCGCCCCGGGGGGGTCATAGGTTTTTCCTTATATGTCTATAGGTTAATCTAAAAAAATCTTCTTCTCTGATTTGGCAAAGGCTACAGATTAGATATTTGGCATGAAACATTGTGTAGTAGACCTCTATCAAGATTGTTCAAATAATCCTGTCAATGGAAACTGAAAAACGTCCCCCAAGAATAAAAAAAACATTTCCTGGCAACTGTGATGGACAAGTTTTCTTGATGTAACTCAAAATTATGCCTTGTTTTTTTAAATCCACCCATGGATAACAAAATTTATGCACAAACACAACAATCTATTCTTAATCCTGACGTTCGACAATGATGTGTGACCTTTAAGGTTGAGACCTAATTCTTGCATGCAACATGTCATATAAATGTGCAACACATACAAAACTATTCTAGAACATATCCCATTTGTTCACTGGACAATGCACTTTATTGAAAAATTCCTTTAAAATACAAGTGTGATCGTTAATTTTGACCTACAAACCCCTGAATCTTGCATACAACACAGGTCTCCAGGTGTGCTACACATTTATGTAAAAAATAATTCAAAATCATCCAGGAATAGTAAAATACACAAAGTGAACAAAGAGACAGACAATTCAAAATGTATTTTTCACTCTTCAGGGGGATAGAAAAATAAATTAAAAATCCGAGGTTTCTTTATCAGAGCTTCTATGGTGGGGAAAAATAAAAACAGTCGATACCTAATATAGCTATACATAATGGACCTACAAGACTAGGAACAAAATATGAAATAATGAACACAAAACACTATGAAAATACATGTAATAACAAGCAGCAAAACCCCTGTCCATAAAGAAAATTGCAATAAAACCATCACAACCCTTGTCCATAAAAACAATGTAAAAACAACAAAACCTTTAAACATCTCACTCTAGTTTTTTTGTATTTATTACATGGAACAATTGAAAAAAAAATTCTAAAATGTTACGTAAAGATTAAACGCAACCCCTATACATATATCATATATGCAAGATGTAAAGAAAGAACAGTAACCGTAACTAACTGTAAAACATGACTGATAAACAAAATGATGTACAGTACATATCTTCCCTCCACTGATTTAGTCCAAAGCATACTAACAATATATCGGATGAGGAAAATCAACATCAGATGAGAAAAGACATCAATATTGGATGAGGAAAATCAACAACAATATTGGATGAGAAAATTCAACATCAATATTGGACAAAGGAAAACTGACATCAATATTGGACAAAGGAAAATCCACATCAATATAGGATGAGGAAAATCAATATCGGATGAGGAAAATTGACATCAATATTAGATGAGGAAAATCTACATCAATATCGGATGAGGAAAATTAATATCATATGATGAAAATCGACATAAATATCGGATGAAGAAAATCAATATCAGATGAGGAAAATAGACAGTACACGGATAAAAGGAGTATTTTTTATCCATAAATCAATTTCATACCTGTTTTCATTATTTCAGTAAAATTTATGTTCTGTGCATAATATTATGATGCTGTTTGTTTGTAAATGCCCACAGATCTCTGCATGTTTCCTTTGACCATATTTTGTCATCACTACTGTGATATATATAAATTAACAAAACAAATCAAATCCATGAAGTAACACAGCATAGTTTAAGACATATCCTTTTGACAGGACATCTGCTCCTGTTTACGATTTGGATGGATTTTCATCATCCTTAGATTTAATAGAACATTTTAGTATTTAGTTTAAATTTTATATCTGTATCAATAATCAATCAATAAAAACTATCAGATCGTCTGACCAATGCCTTTATGATAATATTTTTTGTGCATGATCTAAAATTGAACCATGCAAATTAATATTAAAATGAACTAAAAAAAGTTACCTATTTGCCAGCTATATATTTTCCTATCCATTAAAGAGTGGCAGTAATAAATAAGCAATATTTAAATGGAAAATGGAGAAAATAAATACATATGATTTAAAAGCTATCCACCTGCATTTTTATAATAAACCTAACAAATACTCACTTCAAAAACTTCGTAATATGTATATGTAACTGAGTATTTGACATTTTGTAACTATCAAATTGTCATAATATCTTATAGAACATTGATACTTCAACAACAAATTTATTGAAAGACGTGAACTGTCAGTAGTATCCGCATATCAATAAAATTGGGGAAACAAATGGGCAGAAATCATTGAATAAGTTTAAACTATAAAATACAATAGAATTTCTTTACCCTACATAATGCATATCTTCCACCCAGTATATAATATACATCTTTATGATCAACTTTCTAAAAATGTTTTAAAAATTTGTTCACACAGTAAATAAGTAGCTTTGCGTTAATATATCCATCAATAAGCTTTTGAGATTTCAGCATATCTTGTTACAATTTAAATTATCATTTTAGCATAATACATTGTAAATATCAGGATCTACCAAAAATTTGACAACTTCCTGCTTACAAAATGAGCAATAAACATGGAAAATGTTAGCTGAATATATTTGACGGACAAGATTGATAATCTACCTGAAAAAAAGAGCTATATAGAACACCCAAGTTTCGTGTGAGAGGGACCAAAAAGTTTACTAAAATTAGCCCTATCTAACCATTAATTTGTACATGCACAACTTAAAACTGAGAGTTTACATCATGCTTGAGACTAGTTTCATCCTAAATATAATCTCATAAATGGGCCGCAAAGAGAAAAGACACAGCTATCAGCAGCCAGCGGTCATAACAAGGCATTAGCAGAGCCCTTAATGAGTTTTATATGGGTGAAATTATGATTAACCTTCACCTTACAGCTTAATATTCTAATTATTGAATACTTAATACACCTAAAAAGTTCAAAATCAAATATATTTTAAAGGAAAGGTAAGCAGATTCTTTAAATTATATATAAACAGCTATAAAGGTTTACTACAGGTATTTAAAATGATAAAATACAAATCCACACACATGCAGTAGTGGGCTTCAATTGAAGTACATTGTATGAAGTTTGATATGAAATTGAGAGCTTGTCCTTAATACAGAATACTAACTAGAGGACGCTTTTGTAAAAAAGCGCATGTCTCCCCCACTGCTGAGAATAACTGTGAATGGAAACAGGAATGGAAATGGAGATAAGATAATGTAAATACCCGGTAGTCACTTCAATGAAGGCTGTCTATGGATGGTTTCTATTGTTAAGGTTGTATGAGAAGATGCTTCCTAAACTGTTTGTTTTTAACCAGGTATTCAATTTTGAAAATCCTGGTTATTCAATCAGCGTATGGCAGGCGGGCGTCAAACGAAATTGCACTTGATGGTCATATCATATATAGTTTCACAAATGAAATTAAATGAAATTGTGTCTGCTCCATAATTCTTCAAACCTTTAACTATTGTTATCATCCGGAAAGGAGACATTAACCAACGGTCGCTGTGACCTTGACCTTTGACCTACTGACCATTAAAACAATAGGGATCATCTGCTCTATAAGACCAATCATCCTATGAAGTTTGAGGGCTGTAGGTCAAAAGGAACTCTAGTTATCATCCGGAAACGAGAAATTGACCAACGGTCACTGTGACCTTGACCTTTGAACTACTGACCCCAAAAACAATAGGGATCATCTGCTCAATAAGACCAATCATCCTATGAAGTTTGAGGTCTGTAGGTCTAAAGGAACTCTAGTTATCATCCGGAAACGAGAAATTGACCAACGGTCACTGTGACCTTGACCTTTGACCTACTGACCCCAAAAACAATAGGGATCATCTGCTCTATAAGACCAATCATCCTATGAAGTTTGAGGGCTGTAGGTCAAAAGGAACTCTAGTTATCATCCGGAAACAAGAAATTGACCATCGGTCACTGTGACCTTGACCTTTGAACTACTGACCCCAAAAACAATAGGGATCATCTGCTCAATAAGACCAATCATCCTATGAAGTTTGAGGTCTGTAGGTCTAAAGGAACTCTAGTTATCATCCGGAAACGAGAAATTGACCAACGGTCAGTGTGACCTTGACCTTTGACCTACTGACCCCAAAAACAATAGGGATCATCAGCTCTATAAGACCAATCATCCTATGAAGTTTGAGGGCTGTAGGTCAAAAGGAACTCTAGTTATCATCTGGAAACGAGAAATTGACCAATGGTCACTGTGACCTTGACCTTTGAACTACTGACCCCAAAAACAATAGGGATCATCTGCTCAATAAGACCATTCATCCTATGAAGTTTGAGAGCTGTAGGTCAAAAGGAACTCTAGTTATCGTCCGGAAACGAAGAATGGACGGACGGACGGACGTACCAAAATTTGATGTTTATGAGGCAAATGAGCTCATAAACACCACCTGGACCAACGTCCATAAGCAAAATAAGCTCATAAAAACAAAAAATAGCTCTTAATTTTAAATTTTATGAGTTTATGTTCTTTATTTAACTACGGAATGAAGCTCATAATAATCAAATGTTGGCTCGGACGGACTGACGGACGGACGGACGGACGGACAGGGCAAAAACAATATGTCTCCCCCCGAGGTGGGGGAGACATAATTATTTTAGCACAGTTACAAATCTACATTGCTGTTACATGTACATGTATGTATATATATTGTAAATAATATTCTTATATGTTTCAACATCAAAACATAAGTAAAAGATAACATCACAAAAAACATACTCTTTTGACATCATTTCCTATATGTAAACTCATACAATATGTAAAATATCAACACTGAAATAACATTATTATGCAATTATTACATGAAGATACAAAAAATTATATTTTTATGTAATATTCATTTTTTTTTTAATTTCACATATTAAACTTTTAAAATACAGGTAAAAATATAATGTACATAGCTTTTACTTTCTCCCTCTGTTGTTATACTCTCGTTTATGTTTAACACCTTTTTACAGTACAAAAATAAATTCAAAATCAACCTAGTATACATTGTACACATTATGAAAACAGGCTGTTAAAATTGACACCCCTGGTTATGGTACATAGTAAAATTAAAGCTGTTTCATTTTACTCCTGTGTGAATTTTAATGCAAATGATATAAAAATAGACAATATTCCTGACTACATATTGCAATAAATTCATGAAAACATCTGATGAATTATATCTATAGTTTGTAGCTGTATAAATATGAAAAAATTAATGTATACATTGTTGCTGATATTCACAACTCTATTAATAACTTTTATAGCACAGTATATTATTGAGATTCCTAGAAATTCCTGGCTATTTTTAGATCAGTAAATCTTTGAGAATTCAAAGGATATCCTATTTATAACATTTTATAGCACATCATATTTCTGGCTATTTATAGATCAGTAAATGATTAAAAATTTCCTATTTTTAAAAAGGATTTGCTATTTTTAACTTGTGAGATTCCTAGAAATTTCTAACTATTTACAGCTTAGAATAATATTTTAAATATTGAGACTCTTAAGCTTTTTATTGCTAATACAAATCATTTCCTGTTAGGAAATCCTATAACTTTTATAACTGAAAGTTAAATATTAGAATTCTTCATATTTTAAATCTCCATTATGCTTTTTCAAAACCATATTTTAAAGCAAATTTAGCACTTTATAAAATTGAGCAAAAAACATTTACATATACATTTCATAAAATCAGCATAACAAGTAATAGATTTATAAGTTATAACATTGCATGGAGAAAACATGTAACTAATATTGGTGCTAAGTAATTATCAGAAATGACATACAATCTTATGATATGACTGCATTAATGTAAAGAAGTTCATCAATAAGTAGTGTATAAAGTGGTTCAAATGGTTTTGTAAAGTGTGCTTTCGGTGTATTCAACAAATCATAATAAGATACAAAAAACTTATCTATATTATTAAAGGACATGTCAATACAGTCTTAAGCTCTAAAAAATTTCTTTTGTTGAAGAGCTTTCTTTATTTAAGATGTACAAAACACATCTGTGTGTAAAATTAAATATGTCTAAGTCTCTTTCAAAGAAAGCAATACAAAATCTTTCATTCATTTACATGCATATGTATTAACTGATCACTGATTCAAACTTAAATGTGACAAGTTGATATTGATTTAAAGTTTTCATAAAAAGCCTTGTTTTTATTTTTTATTGGCATCAAAAATATGTGTAATAATTTTAAAGTCTCAATCAGGTACATGTATACTAAATGATCAAAGTATAATGTATATTGCAAATGATAATGATGTTTTATCAGGGGTCACAGTACCTTAAATCTGTTCTTGACACACTAATATACAAAGTAGATTTTGATGTAACAAAAAAAAAACCATCAAGAAATTTCCCAGATAAGATATAAAATGCCTCAACTAATGAACAGCAGTGTGTTTGTGACCCCTGACCCCTGAATTATGCATACAACACTGATAATGCTTAGTCACATGACAGGTAATAAAAGGTCATGACCTTGATTTAAAGCTGACAAAATTTGCCACCAAATGCTTACTGAAAATTAACATTGTACAAAGCATGAACTGTTATGTGGTTTAAATGAACTGCAAACAACACAACATTATTTTTTTAAATATTGGATTGTTAACATTAATCAATTAATAACACAACACTACAAATGTGTATAACTTCCAAGCTTGAATGGTATAACATGGTAAACAAAAACAAATCCGAGGTTGTTATATGGACTAGAAAACGCCATGTACTATAGTGAAAATAAATATTGCAGATTAAGCAAAAAAAGTAAAATTCTTGTGTTTTAATTACTTATATGTCTACAATTATTATACTAGACAAGACTCTATATTTTCACTTACTTATTATTCACACTAAAATTTCAATTGCACCCTTTGGTTTGCTGGTGGCAACTGATTATACCCATGCAACAAGTGCAGATCAAGATCAGCTGGCACATTCATACCATATTATCATCTGATCATGGGCTGCCCTGTTCTCTATTCAGTCAGTACATATTTTAAAACTTTCCCTAAGAATAATTAATGGTTTTGTCCAGATTAAAAGATGGGCAAGTTCATTTCATATATTTCGCATAATACGAATCAATAATAATTAACAGTCAATAATTCTCAACATTAGATATGTGTTGATAAATGTAAAATTAAAAATAATTGAAAATGTACATATTTATCCTTTGGCAAAATACATAATAGTAATTCTCATATAATACAATTATGTAGAACTGTTATCAAAATTTAAATACATTAAGTAGCTGAAACAAAGTAAGGTAAACCCATAACATGCTAGTCGACATAATGTCTTCACCATGCAACTACTTTGTAGTATAGTTACACTGTTTTTCTCTGATTTTATGTTGATTATTACACTTTTTTTTTGTTAATCTATATCTTGACACTCAGCCCACCTAAATGGCTTACTTGGATAACTAAATAGTATTTACCAATTTCTCCGCAAGTGACTGATCATACCTGATTTCTGAATTAGCAGTGAAAGATAGATACAGTTAGATTGAATGTAACAGAGAAAGTTTTCCTATGCCACTAGTATAGTTACACTGTCATAATGCAGTCTTGACAAAAAATGATGCTCTTGGCTGCTAAATTTAAGCTCTTAATATAGAATAACAAACAGTTTCAACCTCAAAGCAAGGCAAGTTAAACGTAACTATTTTGTATTATTAAGTAAAGGGTTTATCATATATATGAGGCAAACACTAGATAATGAGTAGATAGCAGTATGGATAAAACAGATCTACACAACATTTAACAGTAATAGTGTTCTAAGATCTAAATCCATCCTACACAGAGTTACAGCACAGTTCCAATGAGACCTTACTATATTCCTACTTAATCGTTAAAACATAAGCAATGACAAAAAGAAAAAGACATTGAAGTAATCAATAATAATTTAAATATATTTAGCAGATCTATATAATATAAGATCTACTGAAAATTTTGTAATCGCAAGGTACTCCACTAATCTCAAATGGTCAAAGGTTATTACAGTCAATATCATCTTAAAAAATAAAACCTCATATTACAGCTCTATGAAATTAAATATAAATTCATTTTCATCCTTTTTTCAATCCATTTTTATTTTATCCAAGATTTTCTCGTTTCAGCTGCGTCTAAATCTTTAGCGAATTCTTCGAAGGCTTTTTCACTGACATCATCAGTTACAAGGAATGCCTTGTGTCCAAACTTTAAAGCTATATCAGTGTTGTCTTGATCATCATCAAATAAAATGACTTCATCCGGCCGGATTTTCAAGTGGTGATCTCTATTATAAAGTTCTGTTAATATTGCAGCTATATGAGCCTCTTTCCCAAGAAATTCATGGTTGTGTTTTTCCCGAAATGCAGCAGTATTGGCCTGCACTAAAATACGTTCAGCATCAGATCTATAAAGGAATAGAAATAAAAGTATGACATAGAAGAAAGTTGGAACCAAATTTTAGACATCATAATTTATGTCACTCGACTCACTCCATATGACTTCTATATGGATGTCTAACAACATTATAACAACTTATTAACAAAGTAAAAAACGAGAAAAAACAAAACGTGAAATTAGTAAAAAAAATATGACAGCACCTCAGATTTTAGTCTGAGTAACCAATTTGCCAAAATGGTTTTACACATTCACTTAGTAAGTAACTAAGCATGTCTTTGTGTCCTTTGCTTTTCATAGTGACCAATCAACGTGACAAACACCTGTGCTCTGTCCTTGTGTTATGTAACTTGGGTAATAAAATGTGTTTGTTTTCATACATGTGTTTTTATTCAATAAAAGCCGTTTTACAATAATTTTTCACTTGATAATTAATTAATGATAATATGTAATTAACTAATAAAATTTAAAATGGTAAAAATAAAAAAGGACTTCCTGTGGCAAATCATTATTTCTCTGTGAGTCTGTTGCGAATTGTTACATTACCAGTGTTAGTCAAATATATTAGACATTACCGGCTTTTTATACTTTATGATGGTCAAGCCCGACTTTGCTTTGACAAGAAGTAAAAATATCTCAAAGCAACATCAATTTTATCACTAAACCTGTGTATAATTATAATTTATAAATACACTACCTTCTGAACACTTTTTGCATCAACTCTCGTATAACCCATGGATGCATGAAGTACGTTACAATACACACATTCATGTCCCTATCAAGGCAAGTCTGCATTAAGTCTCGTATACATGGACGTACTTTGGACACTAGTTTGTCTACACTGTCCTTCCATACTCCACCAGAGTGAAAATTTATGAAAGTTTGATCAAAATCTATTGCTACAAGTTGTATGCCCTTTTTCTGCAACGTAGACACAAGCAAAGCTATACCAACTTCTCTATCACGTCTTCTCCTACTCATTTTTGAGCTTATTTACAATGTTTACTGAAATATTTCATTAAAATCTCAATTTTTCACTTTCTGCGGTCAATTTGACTCCATATTTGTTTTTATTAGTTACCTCCCTTAAAATGCTATGTATAATATATATTTTTACGGATATCGTTGTCGTCACCTTTTTGGATCAATATAAGCCTTCATGGAAAATAATTGCGGTCATTTTTCAAATCATTATTTTCTTCACAAATTTACATTAACTATATTTTATCTGGGACTTTAAAAGCAAGTCCCAGATTTTACTATGACTAGACCTAATTAAATAGGAGTCAGGACTTGCAGTTTGAAGTCATGGATCTTAAATGTTGCCATGTATTGCCCAGTAATTGTATTTTTTTTATATATTTGTAATTAATTAAAGGCACACATTCATATAATCTGATGTTTTGAAATAAGATTGACCTAGTATTCTTTAAGGATAAAACTCAATGCTGCAGCACTTTATATAAGCAAATTAGGAAGTTTTGACCAGTGCATGGAATTACCAAACGATACTGAAGAACCAAAAGATACCTATATTCTCTTCATTGATTTATGTTAAATGGAAGAAATTAATAAATGGTTAACACAGATGTTATAAACAACCATAAATTATATTTTCTGATGCACATGGCATATTTCAGTGTCCATTAAAAAGTATGTTTGTTTCTCAATTTAAATTTATAATTACATCTAAAACAAATAGTTAACTTCTCCTAACTTCTTATTTGTGAAAGTGAATAAATCATAAGGCAACAGTCAGTATAGACTTATAGTTTAATATTATTTGAAGTCATTAAATTGATGTCACAAAAAATACAACTCCTTATCCCTTTTAGTTTTTTTTTCATTTATTAAAAATATCTCAGGTACATTTTGGTTATATATCAGCAATTCCATGCTTAAATCTGGATTTTTATTTTGGTATCACTTAAACATGTTTGAAGTAGCTGAATATATCTAAATCAATGCAGACTTGTAGATCAAAGGCTATCTCCGAAGTCATTGACATTAAAATATTCGAAATACTGAATTCTTACACCTAGGTGTTGAGCATGTCACATATTTTAACTGTTCTTTATTATTACACAAATCTCTCCAACTACTTATAAATATATACGCATAGAAATGACCATCAACTTTTCTAGTACATGAGCTTATAATGGGCATCTCCAAATCAAAAGCAGTTTAAGTCTATATTTCACAATTTTAGGGATAAATTATACAAAATATACAACCTGTGAGTATGAAATTCTTTATTTGTATGTATTGCACTAAACATACAGTTATATTCATTTAAATAACAATATTTAAAACTGATAATACATTTTCACAACAAATTGTTTACTTTCATTCTTTGTTTTTGTTTTTAAAACCTTAACCAAAATGCATGTTTGTATAACACACTTAAATGGTATATGAAGACTATCATATATACATGCATATATATTTATGTACAGCAGGTAAATCAAATTGGTAAACCAAATTTTAGTAATCAGGTAATCTTTCAGGTAATTAATGATAAGTTAAAACATCATTTCAATAAATTATCTTAAATATAAGCACACAAAAATTTCACAACATCACACAAATCTAGTGGTCTAATAAATAAACAATATGTGTAAAGTTTAACTGTCAACTGTTTCTAAATGTATTCTTGCATCTTTTCAGGTGTTATCAAATATGACATATCATATACATGTTTAATTAAAATATCTAAAACGGATGCTCTTTAATATTACACAATTTCTATTCCATGATAATTCAATGTTTATTTCAATGATAATTCCTGTTAAATTTGTTGATAATTCCATTTCAGGTTGGTGATAACCCGTCAGGTTCAATTTAATGATAATTCCAGTTCAATCTGTTGATAATTCTAAATCTATTCAATTATTATTCCACTTCAATTTGTTGACAATTCAAGTTCTTCTTTATGATAAATCTAGTTCTATTTGTTGATCATTTCATGTTAACAAAATATTTTTGATGATAATTACTGGGTAGTGTACTATTTGATGATAATTTCAGTTATTTTCCATATTTTCCAAAAGATTTATAAATCCCGTAATGGATTTTTTTAAGCACTGGTCACCAAATCCAATAATGCATTTTTTGTTCTATATAAAATATTCACCAATTGTAGTTAATTAAAATGTTGTTGTTGTTTTTATTGGGTCTAATTATGTAGAATGTTGACATAAACTTGTCTGACAGCTTCATATACATCTACAGCTCTTGACTTTAATGATAACTGAAATTAGATGACAAAAGTTCATATTAGATCTTGGTGTGACATAGAATTTTCAAAGGCCCATTTTAGCTCTGATGTAAGTGACATGTCTCCAAATAATGGACCCCAGGAGTGAATTTGATAAATTTGAGTATAAACTTACGTATATGTCACAAACGTAATATAAGTTGGAGTTCTTGAATTCTTGCTTAGCAAATAAGTAAAGAAATTAGTCATGTGCTAGGCAACTGTGTTTTTAATAAACTGAGTACATAATGGTGACAAAAAATAGAAGTAGTGACACAAATAATTTGTCACAAAACTAGTTGTTGTTTTTTTCTGCCAATAATAATTGGTTGAAATAACTCGAAATATGGACAGAAGAGTATATTTCTGATAATCTGATAACCTCAAGAAAATATGATAAAAAAATTGGCTCTTCTTTCTTCTCTTTAATTTAAATTAAATGTTTTTGCCAATGTTATACTGTTAAAGAAAGGGAAATAATCTGTGTATACAACTTACCACAAATGTTGGATTAGAGGGCTGTATTTTGAGTTCTGCTAACACCCATATTCCGTTAGTTAATTTTAAGGACTGGTATAACATATCCTGACCTTCTACATTTCTCTTTGCTATGGTAAAAACATTGTTGTTCCTTAATTTCTGAGATACTGTATCTGTAAAACAAAAACATAATACAATATTTTTTTATTAATTTTTCTTATTCTTTGGTTAAAATCAGGTTTTTACATGTATTATATTATTTTATAGAGGATATTGAACGAGAGTAGGTTCAATACTGAATTTACTGAACAAGTTGCATACAGACTCACATAATCTTACTTTATTCAACACATTCAGTAATGAACCTACACAAATGGAAAATTCTATTTATCACATACACCCCCCCCCCCCCCCATCCTTCATAAAAAGACTGTTTAAAGTGTAAAAGAATTAGGCCTGGTGAACCACACGGATGTTACTCTGAACTTTTTTGTAATAATAAATATTATCTGCAACATATAACCAAGAGTGATTAGTCTTTGCCATCAGTGTAAAAGACAGACCAGATCACATGGATGTTGGCAGTAATATTTTTTAACTTTGATGATGAAATTCCTTAAACTTCGAATGGACTGATCCAAATTCAAAGCAGAGCAAATCCATTACACAAATTCAGCAAGTAGCCGGTTAATATTTTATATATAACAATAACATATACTAACCAGCACTGTGTTGGTCATTATTTATTGTGTACTGAACCTCGTTACTGGCTGGAATGTCTTTCCATGTAGCTAGGAATATTTTTTTCTCCATTTCTCCATCCTCTGCGAACAACACATGTAGTGGTACTTGTGTGGATAGGTAGAAAACATCTATATTGTTCTTAATGGCAACCTGCAATTAAAGAACATATTGCTACCTTATTTATAAAAAACAAACAGAAACTTTTACACATATTTTATAAAAAATAAATTATATAACAAAATACATTATATACTTTAAACATAAACCTAGAAATAGATGATCTTAGTACAGTTTCAAGTTATACTGGTACATTTTAGGTCATATTTCATGTTTCACAATAAATCATTATAATTTTTTTCCTTGTCTGAATCTTGGTGCAAGTGATCAGGCACTTACAGTATTAGGCATTCAAGAAGAACCACCAAAGTTCCATAATATATCTGGACACCACAAACAGCATAGCTCTCCATATATAAATACAGTCAAACCTTTTGGTGGCATTAACACATCACCATAGTGACCTATATAATTATTTAAAATCATCACAATTAACATGAAAGGAGAGCAGTGGCTTAGTGGGTAGGGTGTTTGTTGATCCCAGGATCTTGGATGGGTCACAACTGTATTTCTTACTATGACAAAAGTACTGGCTTGTTCCAGAAAGAAGACTTGGAACCAGAAAGTGGTTAATTTAAGATACAAGAACTAAAACTAAAGTTTAACTAAACTGAGAAATACAACACTGAAGATATTGTTTACAACATACATGCAATAAAGATGCAACAATGGTTAGAAACTGGTTAACCAGTAAGTTCACATGTAACAAGATATGTTTGTAAAACATGTATGCCCCCTATCAGCAGCCAATTATTCATGTGATAAGGTAATTATGCATGACTTCTGACCCAGTGATCAAACAATTAATAAGGGTTATAAAGTATCTACTGGTCATGACCTTGACCTTTGACCCCTTGACCCAAAACTCAATAGGGGTCATCTGCTGGTCAAGACCAATCATCATACAAAGTCTGAAGTTCCTAGGCCTAAGCGTTTTTAGTTAATTGATCAGAAACCGATTTTACTTACAAGGTCAATGTGACCTTGACCTTTGACCCCTTGACCCAAAATCAATAGGGGTCATTTGCTGGTCATGACTAATCACCATGCCAAGTTTGAAGTTCCTAGGCCTAAGGGTTCTTTTATTATTGATCCGAAACCGTTTTAACATACAAGGTCAATGTGACCTTGACCTTTGACCCCAAAATCAATAGGGGTCATCTGCTGATCATGACCAATTACTATGCCAAGTTTGAAGTTCCTAGGCCGAAGCGTTCTTTAGTTATTGATCAGAAACCGATTTTACTTACAAGGTCAATGTGACCTTGACCTTTGACCCCTTGATCCCAAAATCAAAAGGGGTAATCTGCTGGTCATGAAAAATCACCATACCAAGTTTGAAGTTCCTAGGCCTAAGCGTTCTTAAGTTATTGATCAGAAACCGTTTTTACTTACAAGGTCAATGTGACCTTGACCTTTGACCCCTTGACCCAAAACTCAATAGGGGTCATCTGCTGGTCACCACCAATCATCATACAAAGTTTGAAGTTCCTAGGCCTAAGCGTTTTTAGTTAATTGATCGGAAATCGTTTTTACTTACAAGGTCAATGTTACATGACCTTTGACCCCTTGACCCTAAAAACAATAGGTCATCTGCTGGTGATGACCAATCACCATACCAAGAGTGAAGTTCCTAGGCCTAAGGGTTCTTAAGTTATTGATCGGAAAGCATTTTTACCTACAAGGTCAATGTGACCTTGCCCTTTGACTCTTTAACCCCAAAATCAGTAGGGGTCATCTGCTGGTCATGGCCAATCACCATACCAAGCTTGAAGTTCCTAGGCCTAAGGGTTCTTAAGTTATTGATCTGAAACTGCTTTTACCTAAGAGGTCAATGTGACCTTGACCTTTGACCCCTTGACCCCAAAATCAATAGGGGTCATCTACTGATCATGACCAATCACCATACAAAGTTTGAAGTTCCTAGGCCTAAGGGTTCTTTAGTTATTGATCGGAAACTGTTTTTACCTAAGAGGTCAATGTGACCTTGACCTTTGACCCCTTGACCCAAAATCAATAGGGGTCATCTACTGATCATGACCAATCACCATATCAAGTTTGAAGTCCCTAGGCCTAAGGGTTCTTTCGTTATTGGTCGGAAACCGTTTTTACCTACAAGGTCAATGTGACCTTGACCTTTGACCCCTTAACCCCAAATCAAATAGGGGTCATCTACTGATCATGACCAATCACCATATCAAGTTTGAAGTCCCTAGGCCTAAGGGTTCTTTCGTTATTGGTCGGAAACCGTTTTTACCTACAAGGTCAATGTGACCTTGACCTTTGACCACTTAACCCCCAAAATCAATAGGGGTCATTCTACTGATCATGACCAATCACCATATCAAGTTTGAAGCCCCTAGGCCTAAGGGTTCTTTCGTTATTGATCGGAAACCGTTTTTACCTACAAGGTCAATGTGACCTTGACCTTTGACCCCTTGACCCATAAATCAATAGGGGTCATCTACTGATCATGACCAATCACCATACCAAGTTTGAAGTTCCTAAGCCTTAAGGTTCTTTACTTATTGATCGGAAACCGTTTTTGCTTACAAGGTCAATGTGACCTTGACCTTTGACCCCTTGACCCCAAAATCAATAGGGGTCATCTACTGATCATGACAAATCACCATACCAAGTTTGAAGTTCCTAGGCCTTAAGGTTCTTTAGTTATGATCGGAAACCGTTTTTTGCTTACAAGGTCAATGTGACCTTGACCTTTGACCCCTTGACCCCAAAATCAATAGGGGTCATCTACTTGTCATGACCAATCAGCATACCAAGTTTGAAGTTCCTAGGCCTAAGGGTTCTTTAGTTATCACTCGGAAACCATTTGGTCTACGGACCGACGGACCGACAGACCGACGGACCGACGGACCGACAAGTGCAAAGCAATATACCCCCTTTTCTTCGAAATGGGGGCATAATAAAGTTAACCAGTAATAAAGTTAAGTTAACTGGTAAAAAAGCTAACTTGTCATAAATGAACCAGTAATAAAGTAAACCTGTAATAAAGTCAACCAGTAATAATATTTACCTGCAATAAAGTAAGAGGCTCCATTTTTTGTATTGGGCCAGTAGTATTCAAAGGTAATGAAGTGCTAGCACTCTGGTTTGGTGGCAGGGGACTGCGAATATTTAAAACTTGTGCCGGCATTAACCCAAAACTGCAATAAAAACCAATTTATTGTACAGTGCAGATTTAGATTACATCATTTTTTGCTGTATCAGAAAAACAGATAATCACAAAACTCAACTCTATCATCACAAATATTTTCTACACTGTTAAATGCTAAATAAACTTTACACAATCCTTTGCTAATTTCCTTAAGTTTGGAATATATTTTTGTTTCATCTTAAAAACATATTTTGCAAAATAAACTTTGTTTCAAAAAGGGATTACTATTTAATGAAACAAATCCTTACCATACTAAGTATATCTTAAAATCTACCTGTCCATCTTTCCATATGGACAGAAACATTTATCATTTTTAGGTAAAATTTCAAAATAAGTATTGACTGAATAGCAAACAGGGTCGAGTGGTTAACATGTCGGACTAGTAATCTAATGATCGCTAGCTGCATGGGATCAAACCCTGTTTTTGGGCAAGTTGATGTTTCCTTGAGCAAGAAACTTTACACTCATTGCTAAGTACTTATTGGTTCCAGATTCCAAAGTGTGTCTATAGACCTATAGCTTCCTACACAATCAAACTAAAATAGATTGGTATAAACCAAACAGATCTGACCATGATAAAATGGTACGATCATTATCACCTGCCACCAGCAGGCTTATAGTCCAGTTAATATGAACTACATATTATCAATAGACAGATCTACAAATCGTATAATATAAAATTACCTATTTTTATTAAACTGTATAGCAAAGCCTGTCATAGGCTGCATAGCTTTGTTTGTAAAAGTCAGTTCCATATTAATTTGGTTATTTTTCCGTGCAAAAGTTCCAGTGATTTCCATCCCCTTTCCTTTCGGAGCGGGGAGCCAAACTTCTTGTGGTGGAATGTATGATTGAGACTGAGGCATTCCAAAAATATCGCCAAGTCCACCCAGCATATCTCCACCCGATGGTCCCCCACCAAGCTGTAATGAACATTCAAACTTTAAAACTAAGCACACTAACTTAACATGAAAATTTAAATACATTTTCTGTTACACTATATTTAACATTACAACAAAATTAAGATGTGAAACATAACTATGATATATAGAAGATCAGATATAAGGTGTTTTAAATATGACATAAAAAAATTCAAAGGAAGTACATGTTTACTCATAAATGACTAGATCATTTTCCAGAATCTCAAAACTGTTTTGCTCCAGATTGCTAATTTTTTTCTGTCATTTAAATAAATATTTCTTACAAGAATTACTTGCAATGATAGCATTTAATATCAATTACGAATTTAAGTTTTTGGGGAAGTGAGAAAAAAATAAAACAACAGAAATTTATGTCACCGTATCTGCAATACTGTAGAAATTTGCTAAAGTGAAAAATAACAGAATAACTCCTGCCTATTGTGTAAAGATTTTTACAAAGCCAAGGAAAGGCTGTTGTATTAATCAATTATGCAAAGGTTAGGTAGAGAAACACATACAAGATTATCCAGCCCCTCTCCGAAGATGTCCATACCACCACCACCACCACTGGCCTGTGTCTGTACCGGGGGTTGTTGTGGGTACATTTGTTGCTGCATCATTGACGGTCCTGGGCCGAGATCTATATCAAGGAGGTCACCAATGAGTGAGTCAGCACCAGGTATGACTGTAGTAGGCTGGGGTGGTTGTTGTGTGGTCTCTGTTGGTGCCGACATCTCCTCAACTGTGCCTTCTCTATATAACAAACATACAGTAGTCTTGAAAACATTTCATATAGGACTTGTAATCAACTCTAAATTGATTAAAATAACTTTCTTCAAATTATTTCAAACAGATGGGATAAACACCATTGACAAAGATAATAGTAACCACTATTAAGAACAATTATATCAAAATACACAGTACAGACATCTTGTTAATTAACTATTTATACACAACACTTTTCTTTTATAAGACATGCTTGTTTAACTTGGTTTACCATCTGTTTTGTTATAGTGATTCATACAAAATTGAATAAAAAAACAATATTCTTCTATTTAATGATTAGTGAACAATGGTTTAAGTAATAGACTCAAGAGTGTCTCAATAAGCTTAAAGCTTCCAACACAATTAAACAGAAACATATACATGTAAACAAAACTTTGAAAAACCTGAAGAATAGCAACCAATTGCCCACTACAAAAACAGTTAACTAGGAGCATTGGTATGTAGTTCATAATAGTCATTTAATATAAACCCTATAAAGTCTAATAATTGACACAAAATCTAAGGATCATACAAAATCTTATATTATCATTAAGCTTACTGTTGAGATTTAGCTGGTAAGACACGTCTTTGACCGCCACGTCCTTCAACAAATGCATTAGGAGGTTTATGGTAGACGGATGCCAGACTTGAGATATGACATATCAGTTCATCCAGCAACGTCGGCTCAATCAGGTCAGTCTCCTCCGAGATAAGAGGCTTCTCCGCAAGGACAACTTCCTTTGCAGCAGCAGGATCTGTCGACAGCAATCTCCAGTATATGTATCCTCTGTCACGCAAGTCAGGATTGTCACTGTCCTGAATGAAGAATGTAAATATGTTTTATAATGTTATATTTATATATAAGCTGTGTGTAAAACATAGATCCAATACACGATAGTCTACCTGAGGAGGGTGAAAAGTTAAGAGTTTTACACTGGCTACAGAACTGAATATAAAGCTTGATAGTAAATATTTACTGTGATAAAAAGGCTCTGCCAAACAGTAACCCAAGAGCTAGATAGTGCCCTTTTTTCTAATAGTAATGTAAATTTACAACTTCATTCATACAGATGGAATGACATCATCCTAAGCATGCAATTCATTCATCAAAGATGCGTTGGAATGAAGACAAGATTTTCTTGCACCAGTGCAAACAATAGAAAATCCTGTCTGATATGCAAGAAATAACATGTATGTGTACAATACAGTGTATTTTAATGGAAGTTGTAAAAGAGCAGGGAAAGGAAATAAAATAATGCTGTCATCAATCACTACGCTATTTAACGTTATTCATTGCAAACCTCCTATAAAACTGCTGAAGTTAACAGAAAGATTTAGCTAATCCATGTTTCAACTTCATTACCTGAAGACAATATAAAATAAAAGATCAATTTAAGTATTTCACAAACCTGTGTGGACAGACTAAGTACTTGCTGAACAAGCTCCTGGGTGTCTGTAGGCCTCTTCAAGAACAGTTTCACGATGGCTGTCAACAGTTGTAGTTGAACCTGCGTGTTCTCATCCTGGAATCCCTCAAGGAAACTTTCCAGAAGTTCATCAGCATTGTCAATACGTTCTGCATACTCTCCAATGATCCAGATCATTGAGGCGCGAGCTTCTGGCTCATCAAGAGTGTCTAAGTTCTCACACAGTGTGGCAATTATGCTTTCATACTTATTTGGGTATTTACGGAATATATCCTAAAATGATAAAATATAAAAATTTCTATTATTGTAACATGTGCCTGACGAAGTTGAAGAATGTTATTGCTAAAAATTTAAGCTCATTTAACACTAACCATACTAAATATCTTAAATGACTAATTTATCTTTCAACCTAAACAAAACCGATTATCATTTTTTAAGGGCAAATTTCAAAATATGTACTGACTGAAAAGTGAACAGTGCAGACCATGGCCACACAGCATGGTTGTGCCAAGGCCAGACCAAGGCTTAATGAACAGCATACCAGCAGAATTTTTAATAATGAATAAACAACATTTTTTGCTGAATTAAATACTTTCAAAATTTTGAAGTATCAAGTTTCCAACATAAAGTTAAGATTTATAATTCATATCATAAATAAAATGATTGATTGACAAACAAGAATAGCAATGAAGATGTAAAATCTAAAAAAATTCTTGAATGTCAAACAAAAGTATTTACATATTTTTTATCAACTGTTAAAAAGAGATAAACAAGTAATGAAAGAAATTTTTTACCTTGATAACAACAATAGCCTCCTGTACAACATAGTTGACCTTGGTCTGTATAAGATCTAACAATGTGCTAACACACCTCTCTGCCGCAGGCTCTACCTTGATGGCACAGCGACCAATAGCTCGAACAGACTTACGTACAAAATCTACATCAACTTCTGTGGCATATCTGAAAAATTAGAGAATAAAATAGAATTGTAAAACTAATATTACCATTTCTGTTTAGGTTTTTGTTTGGTTTTAGGTTGAGGCTGGATTCAAACCCAAAGCAACAAGGGCTGAGCAATCCAAACACATTAACCTTAACCACTCCACTACATAGTCACTCAATATCATTGATATTCAACCAAATTATTAAGAAAATAATAAAAAGAGAATTACTTACTTCCTCATTTACAAAATTTTAATTAATTGGAATTTTAATGTGATAAGAATCTTATTTTTTTAAAACATTCAGTAAAGTTTTGAATTTTCATCATGATTAAGATTTAAATCAGCTTCATAATACAATATTACTTTCATACAAATGTTAGCTGCTGTAGCAACATTATGGAAAGTACTATACTTACTCTTTAAGTTCAGCAAGGACCTGTGCGATGTTAGACTGGCTGGTTAGTCGTATCATGATATCTAGTTTCTCCAGCTTCACGTATATAGGATCATTATACTTTACAAAGAATACTTTCATCTCGTTCTTCAAGATGTCTGACCTGTAATAAAGAAAATAGCATAAATATACTTGACCTTAAATCTGCTGGAGTTTTTTTTAAATGAACTTTTTCAGCTTCCATTTCTAGAACTGTCCATTATCAATTTGGGGATATTGGCCTATTAGCTTGGTCAGACTGTGTGAATGGGCACTGGTGGCAAAGGCAAAATATTTGCCTGTATTTAATACATGTACTTATACTTTTTCATCTTTTTTTGGCTACTGGAAACCTAGTTCCTATTATCCTAGTAACAATTAAGAACAAAACTTCTGCATTATAAGACCTTCAATAACTATTTTTTATCTTAAATGGTTGTAGTTCGACTAGAAACCCTACACCAACATGTACAGAAAGCAGAAGTGAACAAAAACTTAACATATGAAAATCATTTTCAATGTTATAGGTTTCTGTAATATTTTTTTAACAGGTTTCTAGTAATGATTCAGACTTTCTGTTTAACTGATTTTGTCGTAGAACATCATGTTCAAGACAAGCCACTTAAACACAGTGCCATCATTTCTGGAAACTTTTTGGTTTGTATATCAAGCTCATTGCAGGCAGTTGGACAAAAATGTAACTTAACAACTTATATACTTATAAGTTCTGCAATACTGCACAAATTATTATAAAATATGGTATAGACACCTACCTTTTTTGTACAATCAAGTTGATATTCCTCAGAGCTACATATTGTATTTCTGGCTCGGCTGAGAGCAGTGTGACAAGGGGTGGGGCTAATTTCTTCACCAGTGATGACACGTAATCGCCTGAAGTGTCCAACATTTCCATCAGCTTCATCACAACCTAAAATATCAAAATAAAATATAAAATTGACAGTTTTTGTTATTTATTTCATCGAGATTCAAATCTTTATACTACATCAATACACCTTTCTGTGATGATTTAAGTATCACAACAACAGCTTGATTTCTTAAAGCCATGAATAATATCATCAATATCATTCAGTGACAGACCATAAAATTTTGTTTTTAAAAATTTCAGGCTTAAGATCCTGTTACAGCAACAATTATCAATAACATTTTTACTATTAATTTTTTTTATAATAGAAATGTCTGTTTATCACTATTAATACCATTAAAACAAAGCACTGCCAAGGCAACCATTATTATCTTAAAGACCCATTATGCCTTACAAATGCAATCATTTTTATTTTACAAAAAAATTAAAATATTTGTTATCTTGTTACAGTTCCTCAAAAATACTCATTTGCCATAGAGATGAACCACCTTTCTTTTGTTTTGTTGGCAATTGGTATTAATAAGCCCTTATAGTGAATGTCAATTTGTTTTGTTGAATTGGTATAAATTATAGTGAAGTCAAAATACTACTTCATTAAATTTTGCTTCAGAGCTACTTTCTTCAGCTGTTAAACATCTAAGATATTCTAAATCCATTATTAAAACATTATTAAACACATGTTTGACAATTCTAAAGAATTTAATAACTATGGATTCTTATGAATAATGTGCCTTTTAAGATGGATGTGGATTTGTTGCTTTGCGATAACGAATGACTTCTAGAATATTTCAGGCTTACCCTTGACAGCAGAAGAAGCCACCACAGCCTGCTATTAAGCATGGGCCCTAATCGTGGTGCTGACTCTCTCACAAATACTCTGCTGCCTCCCTCTCCATCTTTAGGTGTTAGTTGAGATTGAATTCCAGAATAAATACCTGACCCCACCTAGTAACAAAGGATGGAATGTCATATAATGGATGGCACATTATTGCGCAAAGGCTTAGAATTTTTGGTTCAGCCTATTAACAGAAAAAAACTATGGCAATAAGATAATAAAGCAAGCGAAAAAAGCACGATGGGACTTATCAAATTTCCATGCGCATTTTATGTTATAAAGTATGGATTTTCTTAAATACTTTGAATTATTATTTTTAGGTGGTTTTTTTTCCTCTGTATTCAATACTAAACAGTGTCAATTTTTTCAGATTCTGCTCTAATTGGTATTTTTAATCTCCCAGCTTTTCAGATAAGGAAAACTTGGGTTTAAACATTCAATTATCTATAACTACCTGTTAAAGCCCATCTTAAATTAAAGAAAATGTCAGACAAAATAAAGAATAATAGTTAAGATTGTACAAATTCAGCTTTACAACTTACTGCAAAATGAGAGGTCTTCAGTATAAGCCTATTTTTTTTTACCGTAACAAACTTTCTTCTACATGCGACCAATCAACACCTAATTCAATAAGTTATATTCAACAAATTTAAACAAAGACTTTACTCGGTACATCATTAAGAGCAGCTAAGAAGCTTATGATGGTTCCCGAGTCATCTCTAACACCTGCGGCCAGCATTAGGGGAGCATCCATAATCTCTGATATAGCGTGCAACAGCATTGGAACCACCTGTCAATATATAGTAACATGAGTAGTTGCTTCTAAAAATAATCCATGGTTAAACAAAATTTCTATCTTATACTGTCTGATAATATAACAATAGTGGATGATACCAGACTATATCCAGATTATGCTAGTCATGCTAATTTTCAAAATCTCTTATACATCAATGTTTGCATAGACATAATCACATCAGATACTACTTGCTAACACAGTACTAAATGATTATTACCATAGGGTTGGAATCTGACAGAAGGTCTTTGAGAAGATCCAAGAATCCCTGATCCTCCACAAGCTGTGCATTTATATCATGAAGTTTAGCTACACATACAGCTGCTGTCTTCCTCACATACGGATCTTCATCCTTCAAGGTATTAAATAAAGCATAGTTTATTACATACATGTAATATATTTTCCTAAAGTATTAGTATCCAATTTCTCTAGTTTGTAGTAGATTTATTAATGTACACAGAATCATATCCCATTGCGAACTCTTTACAAAGCAATAAAATATTTTGTTTAAAAGTCTAAGTTTAATAGAAGTTTTTCGATCAATAACGGCCTTATGTTTCAAGAAACTCCTATAAAAAATACCATAAACATTTAAATTTCAGAACATCTTAACACTACTTCAGGTACACTTTTCATAGTCTGTTTTTTGTATGGCTAATTTTCATTTTATTAACCCTATTCAACAGTTAAATATCTATAGGACTTGTCCGTCTTTCAACCTTACGACAAAACCATTGAAAAATTTGAAGTATACAATGCTATACACGACTGAAATTAGTGAACAATTTAGATCATCATCAGACAGCACAGATGTAACAACATATCTTGTCTCAAACTGGTCGCCAAGGTGTTGCCATTTATAGGCTGCTTACATTCTTATAACTAAACAAAGCCAATTTAAGCTTTTAATTTATTGCCATAACATTCTAGATGCTTTCAAAAGTAGATCCATGTACAACAAAAAAGAAATAATTAAATAAGCGATAAACCTACCTTCAAGCCATTTCTCAGGGCTTCACACAAAAATACTCTGTGATCTTGTCTACTCTATACAGCCCAGTTCTGACAGCTAAAGCCCGGATCAGCAGGCGAGTTAAATCCTCACAGTCCTTCAAAATAGTAAACCATAATCTGAACTTTTCGTTTCTTGCGCTCTATTTTTACACTTCATTCTAAAGATTTATTCAAGTTGAGAACCTCACTTAATTGTATGCAAAATTGGTCATTTACACAAACAGCCAGGTGAAGTAATTGAAAATTTGCCATTTACATGTGAAATACATTGTTATTCTAAAATATATTTGATTTTATGCTGTTTCTTAAATATGGGACTTAGGTATTGATGGAATTGATGAATACCCTTAGCCATTTTTCTCCTTAGATATTTGCAAAATATTTCAGTAATATACATTATCATACAGCATAGATATTTCACCTATAAAAGTGCTATAAGTCTTTCAATATTGTGACTCAGCTAACAAACCTTGACAAATGTGTTAAACAGCCATAATGCGCCATATCAGCAATCTGCATATAATAGTTATACACCGTTTGATTTTAGCCATAGTTCTCAGATATTAGCGTAAACCAGTTTCTTCAACTCCAGATTGTCTGTCTGCATACAATTTACAACATCTGGGAACAGTGCACTGAAAACACACACAAAAATTTATGTAAAATTTATGTATGTCCATGCTGAAAGATTGTTTTATATACTCATACTCTGTACTTTGTACCGCCAAAATGTTACTTGGCGATGAACATGTATATGTTTTTGCCAATAAATTATTTGACTTGACTTGACTTGACTCATTCATATTTTATTTTGGAAAATATGCCAGTTCTTTTAATTCATGGCTGATTTTAATGTAGAAAATACCACATTTAAATCAAACGTTATCCCTCAAAACTTATGATTACGGTTTCCAGCAAGACAACAAACTGTATGACATCAAATGCCATTCTTAGTTAGAACCCTCTCAAGTACTACCTTTGCATACAGTGCCCACAGGGGCTATTCAACAGATATAATCACTTTATATACATGTATGAAGATTTAAATGCTCTTAGTTTTATCTTTAAAAAGCACAAAGACTTTTTCAAAGGAATAACATTCTGTCTTTTCTAAATGTATATATAAGATATAAGCAAATTTTGTATATTTTTCTGCTTACCTCACATCTTTTCCAACTGTCATGCTAGCAATGACTTTCTTAACAGCCTCCTTTTTCTTTTCCTTCTTATCACTGTTTAACTCCGCCTTCAACTCAAATATCTCACCTGAAAAATAAAGAAATAACTTCAGAGTGCAAATTTACAATAAATTGCCTCAACGACGATATGCACATCTCCTCTTGGTATTGAAGGTTCCCATGAAGATTTGTTGAATTCCAGTCAGTAGTTGCAGAGAAGTAGCGCGGAAACTAAATTCGGACTGACAGAAGGACAACGCCAAAACAATATCCCCCCTCCGGATTCCATCAGCGGGAATAATAACTGCACATCTGAATCATGTATTATTCTACAAAAATGCATTTAAAATTTATATCTCTTTTCATTAATTTAAATAAGGTAAAAAAGGTGTATATGCAGTTACTTTGTCACTTATAATGGACAAATAACTATTTTTAAGCCTTACCTTTCTTGGTGGTGGTGAAGTACTTTGAGTCAGTCATCTTTAGTGTCTGTAACAGAAAACAGAATTTGTAGAACTGTATATTATTATATGTTTAGTTTAAAGTTTTTTATGTTTAAAGTTTACATCAATATATGATAAACAACTATATAATAAGGACCAGAGTATAAGCAAGATCAAAAACATGTTAGGCTGATACATGTATAATGCAAACTCTGGTTACCCTTCTTGACCAGTGTCTCTACCAGTCAGGATTTTTTAGATAATTTGTGACCCACTACTCTGAAAAGAATGGGTCATCAGCTATTTTTAGTGTTGTTTCACAATTTTTGTCATAGGGAAAGCAGTTCCAGTTTTCCAGTCTTATTTTTTTACAAACAACACTAAAAAAGCTGATTTCAATAAATTTTATTGTCAATTGTTAATTTTTTTAGGTCATAATTATTTTCTCATAAATTACTAAAAAAACTTATTACAATTTTTATGATAATCGTGAAATAAGTTTAGATGTTGGCAAATTTCAATCTGTTTTAAAGATTCTCTTTTCATCAAACCAAAGCACTAAAGACAACAAATACTCTACTGCTGTAATTTCTTATTTATTTATTACGTCGTCAAGTTCAAATTATTGAAATATTTTTGTTATTCATTTCTAGATTTGATTCATTCTTACATAAAAGAGCACTTAGAACTGACAAAACTGACATGATGACTTATTTAAATGTGATCTTGACATTTGGATGACCTTGACCATTAAGGTCAAATATGAATTTTTAATTTTATTTGTTTCAAATTTTATTTTTTTAGAAATACTCTTTACTATAATATAGTTCTGTCAGCATTATGACTTAAAAAATAAGAAAAAGTCCAGCGTGATACTGTTCATTATATCAAATTAACGGAAACAGAAAAGTGCGGTACCCAAGAATACCAACCTAATTAGCATTTAATGTTAACTGTTAAAAGACCCTGTATAATTAAATTCATTTCACATTGATAACTTTACAGCATGTCACAGTTCAGTTAACTAATTTGGGGAGATAGTGTGTAAGTGGCCAGACAGCTTAGTCAGTAGAGATCCGTAACTTCATAATCATATAGCTCAGACAGAGTTTAATTCACATTGCTCTGTAACCCTGAGAATTTTGAGACAATTGCAGTTGCGTAGCAAGCAAGGGGGTTTATAACCATTTTTCTTTTATAATGAAATTAAATAAAAAAGGTTATTTTTTCGTTTTTCGTGAAATATGGTATATATTTTCACTCAACATGATAAAATGCCATGTGAAAATATATTCCATATTTCACTCAAATGAAAGAATATTCTCTTATTATTTTCATAGACCAGATCTTATTTTCGCTTTACACGGCAATTTGAGCTATTTTCTTACGATGGTATTTTCGGCTTAAAATTCACTTTTAAAAATATTTTTTGGTTCTGAAATTTATTATTTCATTCACACAAATCAATTATTAACAACAAAAATACGTTTTTAATGCATAATATCAAAAATAAATCTTAATTATTTTCGTAGACCCGTCTTATTTTCGCTATACACGGCAATTTGAGCTATTTTCATATGATGTTATTTTCGGCTCAAAATTCACTTTTTAAAATATTTTTTGGTTCTGAAATTTATGATTTCATTCACACAAATCAATTATCAATACGTTTTTAATACATAATATCAAAAATAAATTTTATTTTCGTAGACCTGATCTTATTTTCACTATACAAGGCAATTTTAGCTATTTTCGTATGATAGTATTTTCGGCTCAAACTGCACTTTTTTAGATATTTATTTGGGTTCTGAAATTTTATTTCATATTTGCTGTAAAATCATTCAAAGAATGCATGAATACATAACTAACATAATTATTTAAACAGATAAATGCACTATTTTAAAAATAAATCTAATTTTCGTAGTGCGATCTTATTTTCGCGAAAATAGCTTATTTTCGGTATCTATCTATACCGCAGTTTGTTGGAAAAGAGTCAACTCGGCCCTACACCAACTAGGCACAGTTCAACTCGGCACGGGTCAACTCGGCCCACTTTACAAAAATATATATAACGTATTAACTTTGCTTTGCATGTTGTTCAGGTAAATGAATAATAAGAAATATCTTTATTAAATTCTTCTTTGAATTTATTAAGATTAACATTATATATTGTGTTACATAGTTACATTTTTTCTCTTTCTTACATCTATTTTATTCACATAATATCGTTTTCTTATTTAGTGATATTTTTTGTTACCAAATTTAACGTTAACGTTTGGCGCGGCTTAAGACGCCGCGTTACGTCATATTTTATCTGGGCGGAAATGCAATGATCATAACAAATTTAAACACGTTCATACAGTTTATAAGCATCACGACGATACATTTAAAACGCCGCAATAGTTGGTATGTTTATTTATTTGTTTAAAAATGATAATTTATATTAGGATTTTACTGAATGTATCTTAAATAAGATTATTTAAGTGTACTGTAATTAGAGCTCTATTTAAGTAAAATATGTTTAGTTTATTTGAGAGGTAAATACAAATGTTTTGATTGATGATCGTACGTTTATTTTTATGTTTTGATATACATGTAATTATCTTTGTATTTTATGTAATGATTTATTTTTATTCTCTTTTGTACAGAGAATCGTTCCACGTTTGACGTTTCACGTTTCCCGTTAATAAACGCATTCTCACTAACACTGGCGTCGTGTGTTTATAATTCTCAACTAGAGTTTAACAACTGTCAAGTCGAAGGTTAAAGACCTACTGAGCAGAAGGTGGAAATGGATTCTAAAAGGTTTCCTGACGCGATGAAGTCGCGAACTGCACACCTTAGTCAGCTGACGAAAACATTTAATGAACTGGAACGTTTAATGTTATCATCAGAAAATTACGACAAAGTACATGAAATGTACAATAAACTTTGTGAGAAATATGAACATTTCAAGGCAGCACATATTCTATGTATTGATATGTGTGAGGATACAGAAAAGTTGAACTTAATGGAAAGTAATTTTACCAGTCAAGTTAAGAACTTTGCTGAGTTTAGTGAACGCTACTCAGAGTGGAAAAAATCTGTGAACAATACAGAAGATTGTATTTCAGTGAACAGTCGTGTTACGAATAATTCGTCAGTGCGTTCGTCACGATCTGAAATGCTTAGTGCTAAAGCAAGGAAATTGGTTGCTGAACAGAAATTAAAGACTTTGATAGAAAAGCAGCGCATTGACAAACAGCAACGAAAGTTGCAACGTGAACGGGAGGAGCTTGAAGAACGTAAACAATTACTTGATGTGCAAAGTGAAATTGATCAAGCTCAGGTTGAAGAGGCAGTATGGCAGCAAGACGCAATGTTTCCGGCTCCGGTGGTAACAACTGACATACCACAAACCAACACCGCTACACACATAAACAGCGGAAGTCGTGCAGACGACATTCATATGACGACAGTCGTTCATTCACAAATACCGGATGTGATGTTAAATAAAGACGTTAGCAGTACTGCGCGTAGTATCGGATACAACGAAGAAAGACTTAATGCAGACAATGATCATCTATATAACAGGAGGGAGGTTTCCGGAAACCAAGTAACGGTATGCGACGTTTCCATGGATACTTCTGATACAGCAGTAAGCTATAGAACCAACACCAAAGGTAAGGTGACTAGCGATATCAGTAGCATCGACATGGCATTCAACAGACTAGCGTCTACATTACAGGAAGGGTTTAATTTGCCTAAACCTGAATTATTAACATTTACCGGAAGTGCCATAGATTATTGTAAATTCATTAAGAATTTTGAAACAAACATTGAATCGAAGATTCTTGATAACAGACTTAGGTTAAGTTATCTTATACAATATTGTACAGGCGAGGCAAAGTCTTGTATAGAAGATTGTGTGTTGTTAGAGTCCGATGTAGGTTACGCACGTGCACGAGAAATATTGAAAACTCGTTATGGTAAACCTCATGTTATTGCTAGATCTTATATTGAAAAATTAGTTTATGGACAACAAATTAAGTCTGGTGATAGTGATAGCCTTTCAAAACTTGCTTTAGATATGCAAAAATGTGAGATAACTCTTTCACAGTTAGGGTTTGTTTCAGATGTTGATAATACTGAAAATCTTAGGCGTATAGTTAAAAGGCTACCTTTACACTTAAGAACAAAATGGGTTGATGTAGCACACAACATTAATATTGCTGGCAGGGAACCAAATTTCTCTGACTTAGTAAAATTTGTAAATGAGAAATCTCAAGTTGCTTGTTCTATATATGCCTTAGATCTTGTTAAAGAAAATACACAACCCAAAGCTATTAAAGCATCCAATTCAATGTCTGAAAACAATAACAAGGCTAGATTAACGACATTTGCTACTCATACTGATACGCACAAAGTCCGAATTGAACGAAAATGTTATTGTTGCTTAGGAACATGTTCTGATTTGTCAAAATGTCAAAAGTTTAGCTTATTAACTTTGGCTGATAGGCGCAAACTGATTAATAAATTCAAACTTTGTTACAATTGTCTTAAAGGAAAACATATGACTGATACATGTTATAGGCAAAATATGTGTAATGTTCCCGACTGTAATGGAAAGCATAATACGTTGTTGCATAGTTGGGCGAAGTTTAAGTCTGACCACACAGTTACACATCCGTCAGTAAATTGTGCTGCTACAAGCGGCTCCTGTGTCAAGGCATGCTTAGGTATCATACCCGTAGTGGTCACTAGCGAGAACGGAAGCACGTGCAAGACATATGCTCTTCTCGACGACGGTGCAGATAAGACTTTATGCGATGAGCGTTTGTTACAAACATTAAATCAACCTGGAAAACCAGTGTCATTCAATATTGCTACCGTAAGTTCTACCGGAAGTACAATATCTGGACAGGAAGTAAATTTGCACGTGCGAGCTGTAGCCGGTGTCAATGATGTTCATCTTAAGAGTGTTTGGACAGTAAAGAGACTTCCAATTACAACTAAATCTGCCGCTAGAAGAGATCAGGTTCGTAAAATACCCCACCTGTCGGACATTGAAATTCCTAACGTTGACGTAAGTGACGTCATGCTTCTTATTGGGACGGATACTCCGGACGCGCATGTTCCGTTAGAGGTGCGAGCGGGGGCAAGTGGTCAACCATATGCTGTCCGCACTTGTCTTGGATGGGCAGTTCGTGGACCAATTAGTGACGTTATTGACAAAGGCAGCGCAGTTAATATCCACTATGTCCAATCTGATGACGTCACACTTCAAAATCAACTTGAAAAAATGTGGTCTACAGACTTTGTTGATGCGATTCATTGTGAAGAAAAGGCTATGTCGGTTGAAGATAGAAAGGCTATGACAATTATGGAATCAACTTTGGTTCACGAGCCTGATGGACATTATAAAATGGGCCTACCATGGCGAGATGAACATACAGTGTTACAAAATAACCTACCTCTTGCACACATACGATTGCAGCACTTAAAACGAAGACTGTCACGTGACCCAGATCTTCATGAAAAGTACACTACGACAGTAACAGAATACATTGAGAAAGGCTATGCAAAATTGGTCAACAATAGAAACAACCCAGGTCGTGTTTGGTATCTCCCACATCACCCTGTAGTTAATGAAAACAAACCAGGCAAAGTAAGAGTAGTATTCGATTGCGCGGCAAAATATAAAAAGACATCTTTGAATAAGCAACTACTTCAGGGACCCGATTTAATGAATAGTTTAGTTGGTGTACTAACGCGCTTTAGACAAGATAATATTGCACTTATGGCTGATATCGAAGCGATGTTTCACCAAGTGCGAGTAATTGAACGTGATTGCGATGCTCTGCGATTTCTATGGTTGCCAAATGGGGACATGACGATAATTCCAAATACATATTGTATGCAAGTTCACCTTTTCGGTGCAACATCATCTCCAAGTTGCTCAGCTTATGCGTTGAAAAGGACCGCTGAAGATCATGCGCACTTGTTCGAACCGGAAGTCGTGACAACAATTAAACGAAACTTCTACGTTGATGATGATGATGATGATGTAGACAATGAACAGAAGGCAATTAATTTAGTTCGTGATTTGCAGTCAAACATGAGTAAAGGTGGTTTTCGACTTACTAAGTGGATCACTAATAGCAGAGCCGTTCTTGACACTATTCCTGACTTTGACAAAGCGCAATCCGTAGTTAACCTTGCGCCAGGTGTATTCCGAAAAGAAGACCAGTATGCTAAACGTTGGTGGCGCCAAGTTCAGTATATGGCCGATGTGTTTTGGAGGCGTTGGACACGCGAGTATTTGCCATCTCTCCAATGCCGCCAGAAGTGGCAGAAATCAACCAGAGACGTTGTCGAAGGTGATCTCGTGCTGGTAGCAGACGAAAACATGCCAAGAGGACAGTGGCCTCTGGGCAAAGTAATGAAAGTAATAAAAAGCCGAGATGGTCATGTACGTAGCTGTGTGGTTAGGGCACGGGGTTCAGAATTAGTAAAACCAGTAACAAAGCTGTGTTTGCTAGAAGGTTCAGAATGATAAAAAAGAACAATATAAATTTAATGTGAGCACGTATCTTTACGTAGAAAAGAATATGGCAATAATTAGCCAATGTTTTGTTAAAAGTAAATCTCGTTTAAGTGCAAAAAAGTTAAACGTTAATTTACGTTTATAGAGTAAGATAAAAGCTAGATTTATATACATGTAATATCTAACACATATTTGTGTTGTTAATTGGAAATTAATTGAATTTTGATTGAAAATGCTTGTAATTAAGTTTATATCAATAAGTGATACTTTGCCTAAAATAAATTTGTTAGTTGATTTATTGAAATTATAGTAATTCATACAATATCATTAACAAAAGTGTATTTGTATGTTTGTTTATAAATTATTTATTGTTACGAAATAGTAATTATTTCATGGAGGGGAGTATTAAATTCTTCTTTGAATTTATTAAGATTAACATTATATATTGTGTTACATAGTTACATTTTTTCTCTTTCTTACATCTATTTTATTCACATAATATCGTTTTCTTATTTAGTGATATTTTTTGTTACCAAATTTAACGTTAACGTTTGGCGCGGCTTAAGACGCCGCGTTACGTCATATTTTATCTGGGCGGAAATGCAATGATCATAACAAATTTAAACACGTTCATACAGTTTATAAGCATCACGACGATACATTTAAAACGCCGCAATAGTTGGTATGTTTATTTATTTGTTTCAAAATGATAATTTATATTAGGATTTTACTGAATGTATCTTAAATAAGATTATTTAAGTGTACTGTAATTAGAGCTCTATTTAAGTAAAATATGTTTAGTTTATTTGAGAGTTAAATGCAAATGTTTTGATTGATGATCGTACGTTTATTTTTATGTTTTGATATACATGTAATTATCTTTGTATTTTATGTAATGATTTATTTTTATTCTCTTTTGTACAGAGAATCGTTCCACGTTTGACGTTTGACGTTTCACGTTTCCCGTTAATAAACGCATTCTCACTAATACTGGCGTCGTGTGTTTATAATCTTATTATTATATAATTATACATTGTACTTCTGCCGAAATAAAGTATATTTACAAAAAAAGTTAATATAGATCTAATAAAAATGTGTTTCCTTACATGCATTTTGTTTGTAAAGTAATATTCAAACAAATATGAAACAAAAACGTGTTTTCTTAATAACATAAGCTATATAAGCACTGTTTGCTCTTTGTTATATTTATAAACTCTTTTTGTCTCCACCAATTGACAGTCTCTTTTTGAACTACGTAATAACCGAGGTAAATCGAGTGAAGAAAGACAAGAATTGTTTCCCTTAGTTTCCCTTCGCTCACAAAAGAATGCAAATTTAGCAGTGTTCATCGCTAGTGCGATTTAATGTCCAATTTTAAAATTTATTACACCAATTAAAAGCTGGTGATCTTACTCTTGGCTTCCTCTCAGTATATATTCAACACATTGTTTGACACTGAAGGTATTTAAATTTACAGTTAAACCTACCACGAGTCAGAAATATCTTTATTGGCAATTCTACTGATAAGAAAAGCCTGTCTGCTGCTAGTTCGGAAACTGTCAATCCGTGTTTTATAAAATAATTACAATTATTACAATAAATACAGATAACACAAACCTAAATATTAATAATTGAAAAGTGGGCCGAGTTGACAGACCCGTGCCGAGTTGGAAAAGGGCCGAGCTGACTCGGCGGCCGAGTACGTTTTAGGGCCGAGCTGACCCGGATTCCAGTTTGTTGGGCTATGTGATAACGGCCGGTTCGCCGAGTTGGGACATCTAAGGTATGCATATTCCAAAGGTTCTGGGTTCGAGTCCCAGACACTTTAAGGCTGCACATAATTTTTCTTACTCTGTAACTCAGAATTAAATACGGAAACCTTGACAAGGTTCAAAAATTTTAAGCCAAACTAAAATTTATCGATATTGACATGACTATTTCTTCACTTCCGGTAGTCTTTCGGCATAATTTATCTTTAAATTAACGACAAAAGCACTTATTTATACCCGTAACCGGATACAGTTAGCAAAAGTTGAAAAAGATAATTGTATTTCAGGCAATATGTATTCCTAATAAACGTTAAAACGGTGAAAACATACTTACTTTTATGCCCTTATTCCAAAATATATAGGAGGTGGGCTGGAACTTCCGGTTGCTTATTAATTTGATCGGACACCGCTAAAACTTTCTTCTCCAAGGTTAAACAACACTAAATAATTTTAGGCTTTAAAGTACTACATATATCAATTAACATGTCGGCTTCAATTAATTATCCCACTTTTAACACAGATTAGTATTGCATTTATCATAAATAACATACAAACAGGATACCCTGTTTGGTGACATTGAAAAATGCTGCAGTTGAAAAAACAGTACTGTAGTTTCAGGACAATATGGGGCCGTTTTTATAACCATTTAATACCTAAATGCAGCATTCAGGAAATTACAATGTGTATGTCATCATGGACATTTCAGTACTCATCGAAGTTTATTTACGAACATCTATTATATTTATCATGAGACAAAAAAGGAAGCCATGAATTTTTTTCTTGCAAATGAATTTGTTTAAAAAAAAGTCTCATATCAATTTTTTTTAATAAATCAGAGATGTAGATAAAAATAGACATTTGTAACAGAAGGTGTCTAGGAAGTTGCATATCTCTGTTATCTATGTCTCTTAATAAATTAATAAATAAATGGGTAGGCAGGCAGGCGGGCAGTCCTGAAGGCGAGCGAGCAAGGGAACGAATGAACGAACAAGGAATGAATGAATGAATGAATGAATGAAAAACCACTAAACTACATTTTGTGTCCAATTTTTTTATTCCATTCATTGTGATTCATACAATTTTTTATTGTGTAAACCATATGAGTTTCATATCTTGTTTTAAGTAAGGTTTATTTATTAATATTTTCTCTTACTTTATTCGGGGAAATATATATAAACACATACATTGCCAACATGTATTTAAAACATTAAAAAATACAACAGAAATATAATTATATAAATTAAGTTGTATGTATTATGCTTCCATATGATTGGCCATAAAGCTAAAGGCTTACATCCTATGGGATACAACTATATGAACAGTAAAAATAACACACTAAATTAAATAAATCATAAATAAATTATAAACAGATTTGCTTTTTTTTTGTTTGATGTGCCTCGATCTTTGTATTCTAGCATTTATCTAGTAAATGTTTCTCTTAATTAAAACAACATGAAGTGCTTCAAGCTAAACCTTAAGTACGCCTGACATTTAAAGAAGCATATATTTGGAGTTAGATTTTTCAAATATGCAGAATCACAGGCAGTCGGTGTCTTGGATAGTATATACATGTACATGATCACGCCTACTTATTTTTATAAATAAATTATTTTTGCACTAATAAAATATTTCTTCATTCAAAATGTTTTCAAAACATCTTATTTTTAATAAAACAACCAAGAAAAGTTGTTTTTTAAAATTTCATCCATATATATAGGGCCTACTATAAATATATTTAGGTTCCAATCATTTCATATACATTTTCCTTAGATTTGTTTATATTGTGTCAATTGTAATTTGTTTGTTAACTTATATGTACATTTGTTTTAATTATAACCTGAAGTTATTTCTATTTGTTGACAACATGAAATTTGAAAAATAGTAATTAAAATATTCTGGATGGTGCGCTTGGGTACTTGCAGCACCACAGTATTTATTCCCTATGCACACTTAAATTCACATATATTATATATGATTGGTTATTTTGTCATAAATCTTTTTTCTTTTTTTTTTGTAAAATATTATTAATTAAACTTCATAAAACCCATGTTTACCTTTTCTAAAGATTTTTTTTGAAGCATGATGTGCCTTTAATTTTTTCGAACGCGTTAAAATTCCTTTCGCTTCCTTTCGTTCCTTTCGTCAAATTTTAGTCATTTCCTAACTAAACAAACATGGCTGTAGCCGCAAATTATGCCTGTGCGGATCGAGAAAAATTCAAGTATTGCTATTCAAAATTGATACAATTTACATATAATGATGGAGAGGCAGGAAAGACTGACCTAAATTTACTGCTCGATCAGTTAAATTCGCTTGAATATTCCACTGTCATCGTGAGTGAACAGGTAAATACGTTAAAAGCTGAAATTTCGTACCCAAATAATATCGTACCAAATGATTAAAAACGAGATATAAGTCGGAACCTCATATCTCCTCTCTGTGAAACTTCTGTAAAAATTGAATTAACAATTTTGAATGTCAGGCGATATATAAATTCACCTCTTTTTGGCAATTTTGATAATTTTCATAAATTTAAAACTATTAAAATTTAGAGTGGTTGCACTGATTTCGAGACATTTTGGCCCCAAGACATATCGGCCCCAAATTACCCCAGACGTTTCGGGCCCGGACGTTTTGGCCTTTTACCAAATCGGCCCCATATTTAGTTAAGAATAAGTCTTACCTTTAGGTGTTTATACCGGCATTTCAATAAATGAATAAAAAGAATGAGAGAACTGAGACTCATGGATCCCAGAAAGTATTGTCAGTACCCACAAATGAATAACATCATCATCAGTAGGGCAGGTGTACTAAAGCTCCTCGCCAACCTCAATGCCAACAAAGCTGCCGGCCCTGACAACATTAGACCAATTGTCCTGAAGGAGCTGAGAGAAGAGATTGTTGACATCGTTGCAGTTCTTTTCCAAAAATCCCTGACCACCGGTAATATTCCCAATGACTGGACCCGTGCAAACCTATGCCCTGTCTACAAAAAAGGTGATACAAGTGATCCAGCAAACTATCGCCCAATTTCCCTTACATGCATCCTCTGTAAAACACTTGAACACATAGTTGCCTCTCAACTATCCTCTCACTTTACCACCCACAACATACTCTTTGATCTTCAGCATGGATTCAGAGAAAGACGATAATGTGAGACACAACTCATTGAACTTACTGATTACCTTGTGTACAACCTTTCAAATGGCAAACAAACAGATCTCATACTTCTTGACTTCTCCAAAGCTTTCGATAAAGTAAACCATCTTAAACTCTTAGATACCCTTCAAGAACATGGTGTTTGTCCTCAGATTATAAACTGGATACAGTCCTTCCTTATTGGCCGTAGACAGACAGTAGTTGTGGATAGTGACTGCTCATCTGAAGTCCCAGTTTCCTCTGGAGTGCCCCAAGGCTCTGTCCTAGGGTCCCTTTGTTTCCTTCTATATATCAACAAGCTACCATCTTCTGTCCTTAAATCCCAAGTCAGATTATTTGCAGACGACACCGCTGTATACCTAACCATCAATTCCTCCTCAGACCCCCCAACTCTCCAACATGATCTAGACAATATGGTTCTGTGGGAGAAGCAGTGGGACATGGAGTTTAACCCTTCAAAATGCCAAGTCATCCATATCACCAAAAATAAAACCATAATTAAACACAAATATATGCTCCATGGCCAAGTCCTAGAGTCTGTTACAAATGCTAAATATCTCGGACTAGATCTATCTGCTGACCTTAAATTTAATACACATATATCTCGAATAACTTCCAATGCAAACAGATCCCTTGGCTTTATTAAAAGAAATGTCATTACTAAAAATGAGAAAGTGAAAGAACTAGCATACAAGTCCCTGGTCCGCCCACAGGTTGAATATGCCTCAACTATTTGGTCTCCTTACACTAAAACCAATATTGACAAAGTTGAGATGATCCAGAGACGTGCAATAAGATGGGTTAAAAGGGATTACTCCCCTCACTCTAGTGTCACAGCCATGCAGGAAGAACTGGGCTGGCGATCCCTTGAACATCGCAGATTGGACTGTAGACTGATAATGTTTTATAAGATATACCATAACCTAGTTGCAATTAATCTCCCAACTTATGTTCAAACCCCACATAGATTAACCAGACATATGCATCCCTTATCCCTACGCCAAATACAGGTATCCTCTGACTACCATAAGTACTCTTTCTTCCCTCATAGCATTATACTATGGAATAAACTTCCTAGTAACATTGCCACCCTGCCCAACCTGAGTCAGTTCAAACAGGCAGTGGTGGGTTTGCAGTACTAGTCTTACTCCCAGTGTTTTTAAACTTTTTTATCTCTTATCATCTTGTTTCACTATTAACATTTTAACCATGACTAGAATACATTTTCAGTCTCACCTTCCAAGCATGTCAATGTTTTTACTTTTCTTTTTTAGTTTTTCTTTTCACCTTTTACTAACAATCCGACATGCACTAAATTCCTGCCTTTAACACTCGTAAGAGGGGTAGGCAGTATCCAGAGATAGAGAATTAATTGAATAATTAAATTATGATTTTGTAATTGAATGAGGCTTAAATAGTAGTTATCTAAACAAACAGAACAGAACATAAACTTTATTAAACAGAACATAGTACATGAACACTGAAACAGATTTGTATCTGCTTATTATCAACAAGCATTTTTTAAAAATTTGAACAATTTAAAAGCAAGACACAAAACAATACATGAAACAAACATTTATTATCAACAACTTTTAAATGAATTGTAAGTGCCGAGTTTCAGCAATGCAAAACAACGCATAACAGTTAAAAAAAATTATACTTGTACTAACAAACAATACATTGTAAACAGAATTTTTTTACACATGACATTCATTTTTACAATAAAAGTGACAGATTTTTAATCAACTTTACAATAATAATTTGATATATTAACAAAAAAAATTATAAAAAATCATAAGTTAAAAATCTTTGATCTTACTAGCCACTAATTAGCAATTAGCAATAAGCTATAAATAATTATTTTGTTACACCTTGAAAACAACAACAACAACATATATATCTAAAAAGTTAAAAAGCTGTAAAATGATAAATAGTGATCAAAAGATAATGATTTGGGGGTATAATAATAAATGTAATTAACTTTGTTAATTAAAAAGTTTTTGCAGTTTGTCTACTGTCTTATATAGATAAAATTGAAAAAAAAGCATTTATCTAAATACAATGTAGATAAATTAAGAGATCGATAGATCTATAATGGATTATTAATTAAGGATTAAAGTGTCTTCATTCAAACAATATACTACAATTTTTAACGATTTTAAGTATAAAAATTCCTTTAATAAAACTGTAATAAAAAAAGGGCCGAAATGTCTTGCAAAAAAGGGCCGAAACGTCTAGGGGCCGATTTTTGCAAAGGGGCCGATTGTTTTGGGGCCGAAACGTCCTGTTTGCGTTGCACTATGCACTGACACATGGTAAGGGATAAACTCGACCCTACAATAAAAACCTGTTAAGATATAGATTTTTGGTTAATCAACCCTATAAGGCAACAATTATTAAGAGTTAAGTTTGATAACAGTAACAAATAGAAATTTAAAAATTGTAAAATAATTAATACTTGTTTGAAATCATCTTTGCTTAGAACACATATATTATGTTATGTTATATCAGACACTTGATGTTTTTATGATTGATCCATAAATAAAGTTTTTGATGGAATTTTGCAAAAATAAATGCAGGCCTTTCCCCAGGCGCTTTAAGCATCGCACTCCCACTGTGCCTTAATTTTCAAATCAATCTTGCTGCTATGCCATAAAATTCATCATGGTGCTCACTTTATTTTTTTGATTTCAAGAGTTCAGTTGTTTACTGTACACTTTCGTAAAGCGCTTGCAGAATCTGTCAATAATTTAAGCACAGCACTACTTATCACAGCCTCTTGATATTTGGTATGCAGCATTACCAAGTGGTCCCATACCATGGAATTTGATTTCAGATATATCACTCATCCACTTCCTGTTTACAGACTTAGCTAAATTTTCATCATTAATTGTCAATGGTAGAAAATTTTTGCAACATTTTTCTCAGCAACAACTTATTACAGTCTCTTGATATTTTCTATAAGTTGTATTGCTTTAGTGGACCTCTACAAAGTAACGTAGGTCAAGCAGCTAAGGTAAAAAATCATAAGGTCACTTTATAGTTTGCATAAATTTATGAACTAAAATCTCTTTAAACTACAAAAGTTATATAAATCATGCACCTGGAGTCAAAATTGTTTTTTGCCACAGGGTTCATTTAGTTTATAAAGAGTAAGTTACATAGCAAAGTGCATTTGATTAAGTCTTCTTTTGTGAAACTTCTTTGCCAAGGGCTTAGATATTTGTTATAAAGTGTTTCGTAGCAGGCATCAACGAGTATTTTAAAATTATGCAGCTTGAGTAAGAAATGTCCTCATTGACTTTTATATTAAAAAATAAATTTGTGACCTTTTCCAGCAAAGCATCTCAGGTGAGCGATACAGGGACATCATGGCCTTCTTATTGAGATTGACAAATGGTTATGAGAAATTATTATGTGATAAAGTGAAATTGAGACCAATGCCATATACATACAAATTGTGTACATGTATGTTTAATACTAACTTCTAAGCCTTTTTGTTGGATGACATTGTTTTGATCTCTGTTACAGAATGGAAATACTTTATTAAAGAAGCTATGTTCAACAATACCACTGCATGAAGACAGGCTGGTAGTTAAACTTTGTCAGATCACCAACAACTGGAAGAGAAAACAGATGGTATATGTTATGATTTTGGAAGTCTATGAAAATAAAAATAATTACCTTGTCCAGTTAACTCCTGATACAATATATATACAAGTACTGCAAGACAAGACTTATATGTTTACACGATCAATATTATTATATAATTATATTTTAAATAATATATAATTATTTACTTGATTTTAACCATCCATTTTCACATTTTCTTGATTTTTATAATTTTAATCATATATTTTCACACTTTGTTGATTTTAATCATCTATTTTCACACTTTGTTGATTTTAATCATCTATTTTCACATTCTCTTTATTTTAGCTATCTATTTTCACATTTTCTTGATTTTGATAATCTTTTTCACATTTTATTGATTTTATTCATATATTTTCACATTTTCTTGATTTTAATCATCTATTTTCACATTTTCTTGATATTAATCTATTTTCACATTTTCTATATTTTTTAACTATCTATTTTCAGTTACAGTTGAGTGATGAATGTATAGGAACTGTAACAGATTATTTTATCAAGGCTGTAGAGAGATGTCAGAGCTGGGCAGTACCAGAAATATTGAGAGCTTTAGCTTCTGTCTTTTATGAAAATGTAGATAAAGTTGATAAGGTAAACTTTTGTCTTTATAAGTGTCAATTTGATTCAGTACTATGATTTCACAGTTGTCTTTTAGTGAGTAGTGGCGACATATAGGGATCACTTCTCCGTTGTCTGTCTGTCCGTCTGTCTGTCCGTCTGTCACAAAACTGGCTACTCCTCATAAACTACTAATGCAATTTCATCCAAACTTTACAGGAATGATCAGTACCAAGTCTATTTGTGCATATTGTCAGCATTTTCTTGTTCAATGATTTTTGTCAGAGTTATGGCCCTTTAATAATATTTATTTTTAAAGTTTGTCCGGACTACTTCTCTTATACCACTAATGCAATTTCAATGAAACTTTACAGGATTGATCTGTAGCTCAAGTCCTTGGGCATATTGCATCGGTTTTCCGGTTGAATGATTTTTGGCAGAGTTATGGCCCTTTGATAAAAAGGTGTTTTTTAGCTCGACTTTTCTATGAAAAGGGGAGCTATCCTACTCGCCCCGGCGTCGGCGTCGGCGTTAGCGTTGGCGTCACACCTTGGTTAAGTTTTTCGTACCACCCCACTTTATTTCAGAAGTATTACAAGTATGGCTTTGAAACTTACCATACTTGTTCACCATCATAACCTCCATCTACAGACAAGAGTACATAACTCTGTCAAGGTTTTTGACAGAATTATGGCCCTTTTTTGACTTAGAAAGTGTATTGAGCTTGGTTAAGTTTTTTGTACCACCTCACTTTATTTCAAAACCATTGGAGGTATTGCTTTGAAACTGACCATACTTGTTTACCATCACGACCTTCATCAACAGACAAGAGGACATAACTCTGTCAAGGTTTTTGACAGAATTATGCCCCTTTTTGACTTAGAAAATACATTGAATATGGGTAAAATCCACTTATTGCCTTAACCCTTTGAGATATTGCTTTGAAACTTTTAATGCTATTTCACATCATTACCCCCATCTGTACGCAAGAGAAGGTAACTCTGTCAAGGATTTGTTTTAAAAATTAAGCCTTTTATCGACTTAGAATCTTGGTTAAGTTTTTTGTACCACCTCACTTTATTTCAAAACCATTGGAGGTATTGCTTTGAAACTGACCATACTTGTTTACCATCACGACCTTCATCAACAGACAAGAGGACATAACTCTGTCAAGGTTTTTGACAGAATTATGCCCCTTTTTGACTTAGAAAATACATTGAATATGGGTAAAATCCACTTATTGCCTTAACCCTTTGAGATATTGCTTTGAAACTTTTAATGCTATTTCACATCATTACCCCCATCTGTACGCAAGAGAAGGTAACTCTGTCAAGGATTTGTTTTAAAAATTAAGGCCTTTTATCGACTTAGAATCTTGGTTAAGTTTTTAGTACCAGTCCACTTTTTGACTGAACTGTTTGAGATATTAATTTGAAAGTTGGAATACTTGTTTACAATCATGATTCCCAAACATGTCCAGGAGAAGGTAATTCTGTCAAAGATTTTATTTGAATTATGGCCCTTAACTGTCAATGTTTTGTATTATAGGCAAGCACTAAAAAAGTCGAGCGCGCTGTCTTACGGACAGCTCTTGTTTCTGTGTGTTTGCCAGATACACAAAAGCTTGTCTGGACTACTCCTCATAAACTACTGGTGCAATTTTATCCAAACTTTACAGGAATGATCAGTACCAAGTCTAGTTGTGTTACTGTCCGTCTGTCACAAAACTTGTCCCAACATGAAATTGGCCATCATGAGGCGACACATGTGATCACTGATCGCTCTTGTTTTAGATGTATGCCGGCATAATTTTGTTATGTCGGCCTATTTTCAGAAAAAAATTATGTTAATAAAAAATGTGATATCACAGGGTGATAATACAAATTATTACATAATGCAAACATGTATATATGGCCATTAATGGAAATGGACATAGTCATGTTTGGGCTTAAAATAATCTAAAAAGTTCAAGTTAATTAACCATATATTTGTAGTCAAGCTCTGAAACGGTTACCACTGCACTATTTGCCTGTCTTACAACTTCACATTTTCACATTAAAATTTTGAAATTCCATTCACACTTACATGTATTTCTTCATGTTTGATTCTTAATGTAAAATTTTTATCTTAAAATAATTCATCATCCTCATTTTGTTTCACCAGTTCCATGACAGGTTGCTAGGGAAACAAGGTATACTTGTTCAGTTGATTAAAAACAAAGTTTCAGACCCCGAACACTAAGGGGCTTTTCTCGTTGGGGAAGTCTAAAAATAAATAGAAATTCTCTAAGTTAATACTTGTGATAAAGGGGGGTCATTAAGAGCCACGGAGCAAAAAATGCTGTCTCAAAAGAATTTTGTAGGTTTCAAACTTAAATAAATACTTTTTGTTGTATGATGTAAAATCCAAAATGACTGCCTCATATTTAAAATGGAATTTATGAGAAAAATGTTAATGTCAACTCTATAACCTGGGTTTCTAACTAAATGTAGAATTAATTTATACTCAAAACCCTTCAAAAAAATCTTAAAAGTATGAATAAAAGGGGAAAGATTTTTTAAATTTTCAATATCTTGTTTTCAAATTTTTCTCTTAAGGCAGATTTTAACTTGCAAAGGGAGTTTGGGTTAAAAATCCTTTCCTTTCCCCAAAAAGATGATCACAAAAGTGTGAAAACAATATTTTATACTGTATCTGCAATATTCCTACTTTACTGACAGTAGACAGATATGATACAGTTAGAATATTGCACAAGTGTGCTATTTTGATGAGTTAACAAAATTGATTTTTTCAGACCAACAGGTACAGGATACCTGTCAGCAGAACATGTGGATGTTTGTTTTGATTTATTTTGTATGCTGTTACATAAGATGCCAACTACAAACCTAGAACCAACTTTACAATGCAAGGTACAAGACTGTCATTCAAAATACATGTTGTTATATGTATAATGAATAAAATCAATACTTATATGTAAAAAGAATACACAGTTTTTTGTACAAATATTTCTGCTCATTTTAAAACTTTTGTATCACATAATCAACATTAAAGCAGCATTCCTTCAATGTGACATGAGCCATGTGACATCTTGGTTTAAATTTGTGAGTGTCTAGATACCTGTAGAGTATAATGAAATGACAATTTTTTTTGTTAATGTTTCAGATACTGATAAACTGTTTTAGAGGTATCCAGAATATGATTCAGATGACAAAAGTAGTTCCCTTTGAGAAGTTAGGCATTATATTGGCGGCAATAAGGGTATGTAAAACATTACAACTCCAGATGTTGGTCTTTATTTAATGCAGTACTTTCCTACTGATCTTTGTAATTCTATATAAAATTGTTCAATATGTCATAGTGTCATAGGAAGAAAAAATTGCCAGTCAAGTCACCTTGTTAAGGCTTTTAAAATTAAGCACATTTGCAAACTTGACAAAATGGGTTCTAAAGCATGAACAAATGTAAGAAGAGTGTTGTAAAACTTGTCAACTATGGCTGATGCAAAAACTTTAAATATCTATTAATAAGTTTTTTTGTGGGTTTTTTTTTGTGTTAAGAAAGTCAAATTGTACACATATTTATTAATGAAAATAGACAAAATATATACTCAGAAGCTTTATTGGCAGAAGGAGACTTCAGGTGCTAGATATAGAGCACCTCACCTGAAAGAATACAAAGTCTCTAGGGGATGAACAGTAAAAGAGTAAATTAGAGAATACGACTAGTATAGGAAAAAAACACAAAGGTTTTTATATACATGTTATATTTCAGGCATACATGTTTTTTGGTTTGTACACTCAGCCATTGATTATACCTGATTGTTTGTACCCATCTCCGTTGATCAAGATAGATATACCAGTAAGTGGTAAATTATTGGAAACACAAAACAAGAAAACAGCTGATAACCAGGATGATTCAGGTTTGTAGCACAAATAGTCTTTTATTAGTTCTATAAGTTTTGTTAACAACATTTAAAAAGAGTTTAAATGTCATTTCCTATTATTAAATTTATCATGTGCTTACAATAATTGTACAAATAAATTTCACTTATAAAAACAACAGAACAAATCAACAAAAAGAAACAAAATAACACATTTTGATAATATTAATTTCAAATTCAGAAAATAGAAGCTTTTTTTTTTCTTGACTTGTTTTTTGAATATTTCAGTGAATGTTTTCACCTGACTCGTTTTAGATGTTATAGTTGTGTAATCTGGTATTTTTCAGTAACTGAAATTCATATTCCACATTGTCTAACTAGTTTGAATTCCATGTTTCAGGTGCAAAGAAATCCAAAAGAAAAACAAAGAAAAGGGGAGATAAGCAGGGAGGTAAACCAAACAGACAATCAGATGAGGGTTGCCATGGTGATGATCATGATGTCACGAGGGCGTTTGGTGCAGGTGCTGGGGTCCTTAATATGGAGGCTGACATGTCTGGGTATACACCATGGTCAAAGATTAGCAGTTCTGAATCTGAGTGGTCAGATACTGAAGGAGGTCAAAGTTCAAGGTTAAGGTCAAACTGTTCAAAGGTCAGACAATGGGCCCTCAGCTGTTTCTACTGGATAATAAAGGTATGAGATACTGTTAAACATTTTGAGCTGTTTGAATTAGAAATATATTTTTAACAAAGACATTACAGGTTGTGAAAACTGGACTATTACTTGCTATTGAAATATTTTGATTTCAAATGGGCAGGCAATATATATCTATCAAGGATAGAAATAGTTCAAGCTTTGTAATAAATTATAAAGAACAAGAAGAAATAATCATATAATTGTAGATTTTTATGATATGATGAAATATACTTTAAATCAAAATCCTATTTCTATTTAAGTATTTTTTTTCCACATAGAATTTGTAGTTGTATAAACATATCACTTATTTATTCATTTTATCGGCCCTGGTGCATGGGGGTTTCTTTCATTTTGTACACTCTCAACATTTTGAATATAAAAATTAATTGGTTTTATTATTTTTCAGCATCTCCTATATTTTCATTAAGTTGTTAAATAATTTTATCAAAAATCTGCATTTCAGATGTCAGATAAGAAGATAATGTTCAGTTTTTGGTCATCATTTATACCAGACTCTCAGTCAGCCACAAACATGTCTAATTCTCAGTCTCTATTTACTGTCATACTGAAAGATCCCTCTTCAAAGGTTTGTCTTTTATTTTCAATATTTCATACTAAAAAGTTAACTCTTTTTATTATCTATGAGTTTTCTAGAGAATTTCTTTTATAAATGGTTTTCTTAAAATGGCATAAGCAACAAGTCTAAAGTGAATTCTACAAGTTTATGAAATTTAACTGTTAAATTTGGACTATATAGGAATAGGCTTAAGTTGTGCTTATGTTTCAATAGCATTTCGTTTGGAACAATCCATCATGAGTTTGAGGGTTTGCAATATCAAAACAATGAAACTATTCTAATCGAGTGCCTGGAATAACTGTTTTGATGATCAGTCTCACCCCTAGTTTAAACAAATTTATTTAATCTTGACTGGGAAACAAGTTCTCGCAACTTATGTTAATCACTTTCGAGTCTGCTTTCTGGAACCAACCAATACTGGTGTCAGATGAAGAAACATAGTTGTGACCCCAAGTAGGGCTGGAACCAATGATCCCTGGCTTGAGAGGCAGACACCATAACCACTAGGCCCCAACCCTGGCTTTATACTGACAAAGCGACTTTTTTGCTAGCACTTGTCGAGTTATTAATGACCCAAATAATTATAAATGTATAAGTGATTCTAAATGTTTTCAGTGGATTTAGTGTAAATGTTAACTATTTCAGTGTAGGATGGGTGCATTAGCTGCTCTTTGTGTACTAGTAGATGGTACTAAACATTTACTGACTGCAGCAGAAGATAGGTAAGTTGTTATACAAGTATTTGCAGTGATTTTTTCCTATATTTTACATTCTAACACTATCGGATTTTTTTCTATATAAACAAAGAAGGCCCGAAGCGTGCATTATTCTACAACAATGCACTCGCCGTTCTTATTACCTCCCTGTGTATTTTCACATTGAGGGCGCCATTTTGTTTAAAAAATCTGATAAATAAAAACAATTTTTGTCGAATTTTGTTGTGAAAGCTATCTAGAATGAAAGAAAATGGTCTAACTAAGAAAATGAATCCGAACACCAATATCTTTAATTCAGTCGTTAACGCTGTACAGACTTTTAAAGTGTTGTTTACGTGACGTCACAATGTAGCGCCAAACAGCACATGCAAAACAATCAAATCAAGTACGCTATTTTAATGTCGCAAACGAGTTAAGTTTTACATTTATTTCACTTTTAATAATTTGTATTTCGCTTGAAAAATTATAGAGTGAAATAAAATAAACAAACAAAGTTTTACCAACGTTTTCAAAATTCGTTATTCTCAAAATGTTTCTACACACGGTAGATTTAACGACAGTTTTTTTCAACCCACTGGAACAGCCTTTAAAGAACGTTTCTATGGGAAACTCTCAGGCGAAAACAAATTTAACCACCAAACATAAAGTCCAACTTTATAATAATAATTATATTTTTTCTTGACGTGTTAGAATGGAAATAGATATTAATTCTTCGTGCATTATTGTATAATAATGCACGTTTTTCGTTCAAATGCTTTGTAATTAATCACTCAGGCCTATCGGCCTTCGTGATTATATTACTACGCATTTGAACTCAAACCGTGCATTATTCTACAACAATGCACTCAGAATTGATATCTATTTCCTAAGTCAAATGAAGACTTTTTCCCCAAGACCAAAATAGGTTAATTTAAATTATCCCCTGAAAATGCTATACTGACTGCAGCAGAACATAGGCTAGTTGTTATTAAAGTATTTATTTGTCATGCAGCGTTTAATTTTTTGAATGCTCAGTGCTGTTAAGATTATGACTTAGTTATGACACCAGTTTATAGCATGCGCACTCATACATTTATTCTGTATGACAAACCTTTATACTATCGGCAGCTCGATGGTAGTAGTTTGACATAAAGATCCAGTTTAAAGTTCAAAGCTTGGCAAGGCAGTGATACAAAGTTAACAGTAAAAGAGTCAAAGCTATACACTCATAAGTTGGAGTGAATAGCATCCCTTATGTTCAGTTCTATATTTGTTTTACATTTAGCAGTATAAATGATAAAGCTATACACTCATAGCTGGAGTAAATATCTTTCCTTATGTTCAGATCTACTATATTGATTTTGTTCTATTTGTCATATTCTGACAACTGTAGTTAAAGGGGTTACAGTATCAAAATATTTAAACTGGGTAGCCAATAGGATAGGTCTCTATGCTTTTTAAGCAATCATAATTTTGACTATGTGGTATTTAAGTTTTTGAAGGTGAAATAAGGTAGCAATCAATATATGATATTCAATAACAACATAAAAGATGCCTTCTTATTTAAGATTATTAAGAAATGATGAAAAATTTTGGTAGTAGCAGTTCTGATAGTCAATGTCTTGTTTTCTGATAGTTTGTATTTTCTATATTCTGTATTTTCTATCTAACATAGGGATGATTCTAAAGTATCAACCTTCACACCATTCTCTGTGATATTAGGAACAACAATAAAAGAAATGCACAGATGTTTGTTACAAGCCTTGATTTCTGAAGAATATCCAATGACTCTGACACAGCTGATTAAGGTAAAAAAAAATATTTTTTTTCTAGAATGATATTGTGATTTTGATAAGGAAGTGGTATTTAACTCGACTTTTTTAAAAAAGGGAGAGCTATTGTACTTTCCACGGCGTCAATGTTGTTTTAAATTTTTTGTGTGCAAGTTGGTATATCTAAAACTACTGAAAGGAATGGATTGAAACTTCACACACTTAGTTTGAGAGCAGGAGGTCACTGTCCATGGCCCATAACTTTCACATTGATTTTGACAGAATTATGACCCTATGACATTATCAAGGCTCATGTTTTACTATCTAGTACTGAGAATAGTCAAACACACTGGTTTAGGCAGAATACTAGTACTAAATTATGATGACAGTATGGGTTATGTTTTTGGAACTGTCCATTATCAACTTTAGGTAAAGCAAGATGAATATTAAAAGATGGTCAGCCAACAGTATAGAACCTGGCCAGACTGTCAGGAGAAATGTCTGCCTTGATGTTATTTAATCTTAGGAAAGATTTAGCAATAAATACTAGAACCAATTTCCAAGATATGGGGGCTGGGCAGCACCGCCTGACATAAAATTGAAATATTCTCAGTTGGAAAACTAGCATGTAATTGTTTAGTTAACACTATTTTTTTTTGTTGGTATTTTTATCTTTTTCTATCTCAAATCAATACATACATTTAAACAACAAACTCCGACTATTATTTACACCCAAAACAAAGAACTATGATCATTATTTACACCCAAAACAAAACCACATCATTTATCAGCCACTTATACGAAATATCTTTTCACGTATACGTCTTTTATACGAAACAATACTAGACACCTGGCGAGCCCAAGCTCTAAACAACTTATGATCAAACAAAACAATAAAATCACCACAAAATGAAGAACACCGAAATGACTATTTTTACAACTCTAAGATACCGTATAAACCACAAACATTCATCCAACAATATTAACTTCACAAAATCTAATCAGCATCAGAAAAGCAAACTAAAGCACCCAATATTTACATATATCCTCAAAACAAAGCAGCAACTAATATAATCTTGACAATACCAAACATTCAACCAATATCAACCAATTATATCTTCACAAATAGATATAACTCAATAACCAAAACAACTAATTACAACCAATAAACCCTGATCAATTAAGATCACCACAATTATATTCAACCACTTCAACAAACCAACAAAACTGACTTCAAAACAACAAAATTCTCTTCAAAACAACAAAATTCTCTTCCCAATAAAAAAATAACCGCTACACACTATCAGCGTGTCTCTCCTAACTGATGTAAAATCTCTCTCAAAACGCGCATATTTGCTAGCTTAAACGATTTGACCTTTAAACATGTATACATATTTTATACTCCCAGCAACAGGTTTATAAATGAAACTGTACATTGAAATCTGATACACTTCAGTGTATCGCTGACTCGTTGTAAAAAAAAAACTATCTACAGTGAAACCGTATGATTATTCTGACACAGACTTCACAGATATGCAGGCCTGCTTGGCTGTATACTGGTGAAAAAGGCCTATTAAAGTCCTTAATTGTACATTCTACAAATCTAAATTAAGAGGGGTATAATAATTATGTATGAAGTTATACCAGTTCTGTTTCTGCAGTAATTTATTACAGTTTTCAGCCAATATAACATTTTATTGTGTATTATTTACAGTGTTTTGGAACAATCATAGCAAATGTACCATATCACAGGATGAGGCCTGGCCTGCTCAGTAGAATAATTAAACAAGTGAAACATTTTATAAATCATAGAGGTAAGTTAAATTTTTTATCTTATGTGAAAACAAATCAGTTGGTATGTTACAGCAATTTTACCTGTTGCTATCAATTAACACTATTCAGAGAAAATTTAATCCTTGAAAGCTGTCTGTTTCTAAATGCTTAATTGACTTTTGACGGGAATGTAGTAGTTAAAGTAAGGGAACTTTGCAGAAATACATGTACTTTGTATTGAGCTAAAAGTAAAATTTCTAATAAGTTTAATTTTACCATTCCACTGATAACTTTGTAGGACAGACTTGCCATGTTTTGAATTTAAAACATTTATTGCTAAAATAAAATTCAGTGATAATCTTAAGTAGAGAACCAATCAGTTGAAAACATAGTCAGTATAGAAGATGTGCCAGCTATTGTGACTATACAGTTGATGTTGGCTAGTTTTATTGCAGCAATCATTAAAAGTGTTTTAAACAAAACAGTTACTTGCAAATATTGATAGATTTGATGATAGATTTATTTTTTTTCAGAGATAAGCTGTCATGAAAGTTATATTTATGTATTTCAGATCCAAATGTTAGAGTTGCTTGTTTAACCTGTCTGGGATCTATGGCTGGAATTCAGCCACCGTTGATGGAAGTGTGCCATATAATACAACCTTCACGACCCCCAGTCTCAGCCGTGCAACCAGTTGTTGTAGAAACTGATTCTAGTAACCCTTTAGCTGGTTTACATATACCAAATACACCTGTAAAAGACACTGAATCTGGTTATAGCAGCAGTCCTGTTATTAACTCCCCTAGCGGAGCTCTTCCTTCAGGAGGTACTACAGGAGAATATTCAGGGGGAACAACTCCTAAGAGAGACACAGCTGGGTCATCAGGAATACAGACACCAGTGTTTTCTGATCAACTGTTACAGGCTCATTCTCATGAGATATCATGGGTTGTAAAGTTGTGTATTAAGAATATATTACCTCGCAACACTCCGGATACAGTATTTGGAGCGGAGGAGTCCCTCACTGAGCCAATACCTGTACGACTTGAATCCTTGCAGGTCCTCGCAAACTTGACAAAAGGATATTTTCCAATTATAAGGTAGTTTCTTGTTTTGATATTCATACTTTAGAAATAGTAGACAAACTTAAGTCTCAATAATTCATAATCATAGTTGAATTCAAACAGCTCAGGGTTTGGTTTTAAACCTCAGAGGTCCAAAATGCAAAAGTTTTCAACATAAATTTTTCAACATAAAACTTACTTTTCTTACATAGGTCTTTCAAACGTTTCTTATATTTGAGAATGAATTAAGATCTCTCAAACAATTTTTTGTTTAACTTGTTGAATTATATATATTAAGATTTATTTTTCTATTGAGGAAACATAGACTTTAGGTATAGAAATGTCTAATTCAAGATTAAGATGCAGACATACAATCCTCTTTTGCCCTCTGAAAACATATAATGAAATTTATTTTTTCCCCATAAACAAAGTTTGAAGGGGGTAGGGATATATTAGAGTCAGCTTGTCCACTTGCCATTCTGAATGTTACTCTCACTGCAATACAAGATACAGTGAAAGTTGAGAAAACCGGACGGCTTTCGGACCGAGGGTTTTGTCCGGTTTTCTCAGCGGTCCGGTATTCTCAATGTCCCCTTCAGCTGTTCAAGATCATATAAACCGAGCAATGACTTTCAAAGGATGCTGAACGTATATTTGCATTTTCATGATTATGAGTATGTATACTGCAGTATTGCTAAATAAAGAAATGTTTTAATTGTTTTTGTCCCATTATTGCATATAAATACAATAAAATTTTGGATTTAAACAAACAGCAGTTACCTCATAACGATAAAGTCCGATAACACCCGCATATGTTGGGTAATGGATAATGATTTAACAAACATACATGTAGTTTACTTTGTTTATAATAATTCCCCAATTGTAAATACTGCCTATACCATATTTGTCAGATAAAGATTTTTAAAGTAGGTCTCGGCAAAGTTTCACTGTTTTTAATTAATTTAAATTTGTCACTTATAGACAGCTCTCGTCAACTGATTTTTACTTATCAATTCCTCGTGCATTTTGGCATTTATATAAAACGGTAACATCTATGTTATACCTTAGAATAAACCAAACTGTGAAATGAGACATAATTAACAAATCAAGACAATCATTGTTCCGTTACCGCTCAGTTAGCGTATTAGACACAACCAATTGATAAGTACACAAGGTTATTCACACCTGTGTCGTCCGGTATTGTCAGGGTAATTGTCTATATAATTGACTTTGTAGTCCCCTATCAACCGTCCGATATTCGGTTTTTACAGATTCCGGTATTGTCAATGTTTAATACAATAGTTTAAAGAAGGGAAAATTTGGGACTGAATTATTCGTCCGGTATTTAGAGAGTTCCGATTTTCTCAGCGTCCGGTTTTCTCAAATTTCACTGTACATGTAGCCATTAAAACTTATATAAACTGTGGCAGTTCTAGTTTTGCTTGTTATTTTGTCACTATGCAATACAATTTTAATTTGTTTATATAAATATATTAAATTTGTAGAAACTTGTACATTAATATAAATTATATTTGTAGAAATTGTGTTCCCATGTTGCAAGAACTTGTACATAAATGTTTCTGTGATAATGACCCTGTGATAAAACTACATACAGCAAAGGTAAGAAGCTTTCAGTACTATTATTTCATTATTATATTCTTAATATATCAGTTTGATGTATTCTTTTTTCCACACATCAAAGTCAAACCCCATTAAAGAACCTAGACATTGGCTTGATGTCACACCAGTTGACTGTTTTCTGAGTTTCCTATACAGCAATCACATGAGTATGGAGTTGTGGAATTCAAAAATTGAACTCTAACCACTTGTGGGATTAGAACCTATGACCTCCGGGTTAGGAGTCCAATGCTATACTCTATCACCACTCTCCCTCCACATGAGTAAAGAAACACAGTACCTGTTTGCCTTTGTGTTGAATAAATCAGCCAATCTTCACATTGCTAAATTTATCTAATGCATTTACCTTGTTTTAAATTTGGATATGTCTTTGCAATGTGCTGAAGAATTTGGATATCAAAGTAAAAATGTACCAAGAATAAGTGAGAAAGAGTACATAGTCTGTTTGAAGGATATTCAGTTTAAGTTAGAAGGCGGTATACTGATGACACACTCGAGAAATTATCTTTGCCAGCAGTCAAGAACTTAAGAGTTAACACAGCTTTATAAAAATGAACATATTATTTTTGATTTATGAATAAATAGTAACTATTATTTTAAAGGAAAAATAATCAGGAATTATAAAAGTCATTATTAATCACATCATGTGAAATCTATTATTGGATATGTTCTCTCTAAAAATAAAAATCTCCCTATAAATTTTGTATAATATGTTATGATAGTAAAATTCTAATTGAAACAAATATAAATAAATGAACAATTGTTGTTAATTATTTTAGCTGCTAGATGAGTTTACTCAAGTTTTACTTCAAGATGTGATAAAAACTGAGTCAGAGCAACAAACAAGAGACCATTTAGATAAACAACAGGTTTGATACATTGTTTTTATGTATACTAAAATTCTAAAAAGACCAAAAAGGTAATTGATTGTGTCACAGGGTGTGAAAAATGTGCAGCGTAACCTGGACCCTCAAAATACCAAACCCCTGTTCTACCGACGGCTCTGTCTGGCCACTTGCACATTATCTCCCCTAAATAGTGAATGGTTCTAAACTGTGACAATTGCTTAGAAGTTTATTTCCTTTATTTAGGCCCTCTTCACTAATTGTTAAATTGCTTACTTTTAATCAACAGTCCATCATTAATTGGGCATTAATTATGCCCGATTGTTCTTTTAACTTATACAGTCGAACTTCGTTCGCTCGAACTCGAAGGGCCTGTGCAAATTTGTTCGAGAGATCGGTAGTTCGAGCCAACCGAGGTTGAACTATTATTACGTTGATCATATGTCTAAAGGGTTTCCTAGGTTACATCGGTCGAATGATAAATGCGTCAATACAATTGTTTGTTAGTATATCTGTTCGTCGAATATTTCATATTCAGAATTATTATCCCAGTGTTTTAATTAAGTATTAACGGTACGCTGTGTAAATCTATATTCATGCATATTGTAATTGGTTGAGTTCGATTGGGCAATCACACCAAACTTGTTGAACAATGTTCAAAATATATTTATATGTTTATAATGGGATGAATTTAATTTAAAAAATAAATTAATGAAATATTTATTAAAAACATTTACAGCAGCATCTATTTGTATTCATTTACTAAAATAAACACACATGCAAGAATCATTCTATAAATAGATAACACTTTTATGATTCACTTTATATGAACCACGGTTGTAATTAAATCCGTCCGTGTAAACGTCATTCTTTATTGTCATGCATATTTCACTTATTTCACAAGTTATTTTATTTTTATCGTTACCATAAACGGCAAATCAACAATGTTATCATACAAATAAATCGGTTACAACACCTCTTATTTTGTATCAATTAACCTTAATTACCTTTGTCACGATCACGAGGTGTTAAAAACATGTGTCGCCGACTGTCATGTATTTAGGACATACTGACTTGTCTTTTTGTGTTCGACCGAAAAGGTGTGATTTTCTCTATATTTCTGCCGAAGGGACCAGAGATCAGGTTCGAGAGTTCGAGCGATCGGTGTTCGAGCGATCCGAGGTAGAACAATATATATTATATAGGAATTTTGCCGGGACTGGGCGATGAGTTCGAGGGAAGGGAGGTATTCGAGCGATCCGAGTTCGAGCGAACGAAGTTTAACTGTATATCTTATAAATCTTAGTTGTTTCACCCTCACTAAATATCTTAAATGGATATGTCCATGTATCAATCAGGACAAAAACATTTATCATTGTCAGGGGAAATTTTCAAAATAAATACTGACTGAATAGCAAATAGTGTCTTCTCTGATCCCTTGGGTCCAAAAGGCTGAGAGTTTAGTTCCACTAGAAATTTAAGAAAAATGAAAGGCATTTCTTTATGTGACTTTTACCTATGTGTTAATTGTTACAGATGACATTCTTAATATCCCCATACTTACACCTTAAAGGGTTTAAAGCTGTATCTTAAAAATATTTTTTAAAAATTATTCATCAGTAAAATCATTTTTTTTCCATAATCTTATGGTTGATTCTCGAAAGAGTTTTAACATAGAATATCTCTAGTATTTAACAATTAACACACATGAAAATTGTACGCAAACAGAATAAAATTTTCCAGAACAAAATTTTATTCTTCTATTTTAAGTAGGGTTTAGTCTATTTAGCAATGATTATATGCACCATCCACTTTTAAGGCAATTTACTACCATATTTCTTTCATACAAGTATTTTTGAAATATTCTTTTATAAAATTCAACCAATATTTTTGCAGCAGATATATAGCTTTATACACTTTAATGTCTCTATATTTTATATAAAATCTGTGGTATGTTATGACATGTGTAGACTTTGAATTATATTTATTAATGTTACAAGTTTGATTCCTTTCTCAATATAGGTATTAGATTTTTGGATGTCATTATTGAATGGACCGATACAGGAGATTTTACAGAATCCGGTGCACGGAGCAGTACGTGCTACAATATGTGATTGTATTGCCAACATTGGTGATCCTATATTTATCATGCTTCCAGTAAGTGCTTGATTAAATAATCTCTCTCCTTAGAACTTTTTTTAAGTCATTAACTCATATGAGAGATGTAATGATCTGTAATGTGTATTGTACCACAGCAGGATAACTTTTTACACGATTTTGTACATGTTTATATGCCTGAATAGCTCCACTCAATACCTTTTGAATGTTTGAAACACAAGCCTTCAGCTTTAAAATAGTCACAAATTTTAATAGAGCCAGTCGAGGGGAGCACTTGCCTAGTATTTAAGGTGTCTGCCACTCAACCCAGGGATCATTGGTTTGAGCCCTAATTGGGTCACGATCATGTTTCTTCATATGACACCAGCAGAAAGCAGATTCAAAAGTTATTAATATGTTGAAAGAACTTGTTTTTCGCAATAGAGCTTCAATAAATATGTTTAAACTAATAAAGCCAGTCATTGACCACTGTTGTAAAAGTGGTTGGGAAACAGGTTGAGAATAATAAAGAATTTAGAGCTTAAAAAAATTCCACACAAAATTCAGTCATTCAGTAAAGCAAATTAAAAAGTAAATTTTTACTTGCTTGGGAAAGTTAATGTGTCTGATAAGGTATCTTATGAGACAGTTCATAGGTGGAGAAAGAAATTCTGACTGGCACAGAGTCCGTCAAAGATGCAACAGAATCTGGCCAACCTGTGACCGTGCTTAACTATAGTTTAAGCCTTATTCCTTTCCAGGTAGACAAGCGTATAATGTGTCTTACTGTCGTATTGGGTTTGACCAATGACGAGGACAGGTTTATTAGGGCATCTGCTGTAAGAACGTTAGGTGTCTATGTTCTGTATAAAAGTCATAGAGAAGTAAGTATCCTAACATTGTTCTGTTATACAAACTTTGTTATTAATACATAATATATGTTGTATTGAAAATTGATTAGTGATTTATTTATAGACATTGGTAAGCTCACTCATTGTTAATGGAGGCATTTGTGAGAAGTGATTAAGGTCACTGATTTCAAATCACCTGTCCTTTACCAATGTGGGTTCGAATCACGTATTCTTTCATGACTGGAAGTTATCCAGTTACCTTGCTGAAGGTTGGTAGTTCTACTTGACTGCCAGGCTGTGCCTGTTATAATACACCAAAGGGAGCACCTTAGGTCTTCTGCCACCAGTGAAGCTTGAAAGGTCTCTGTATGACCTTTACAGAGTCTGTGTGACTTAAAATCCAACAAAAACAAATCAGTATTATTTTAGTTTTGAATTATGAGAGGTTTAAACTTTGTTACTATGGAAACTTTACTTATATGGGTACAGATTAAGAAATATCAAGTTTGTAACCAATAGTTTTCAGTTGATATGTCATTTGATTTAATTTTTAACCAGGTTTTTGTAGATCTTGAATATTTTATGTCATTTGTTATGAACTTTAGGATGTATTATTTGTTATAAATATTCGAATGCATCATTTGTTATAAATATTAGTATGCATCATTTGTTATTAAATATTAGTATGCATCATTTGTTATAAATATTTGGATGTATCTTTTGAATATTTGGATGTATCTTTTGTTATAAATATTAGAATGTATCATTTGTTATAAATATTAGGACATATCATTTGTTATAATTTTTAGGATGTATCATTTGTGGCTGATGCTACCAGTGCAATATTGGGTGGTATGGACGACAAGAACATAGCTGTAAGGGTAAAGGCTGCTTGGTCTCTAGCAAACCTCGGAGATGCCCTCGCCATGAACAGGTATATTTTGCATATCACAAAGAAGAGGTTTAAAATTGTTTCCTTTTAAAAAAATGGCTACTGAGATTTTGGTATTCTATCTGTAATGCTCCATGAAAAACCATTCTGATGGAGACAGTATTTCTGTATGGGGAAATTATTTGCCTAACCTATGGATAGTGTTTAAGTTGTCATATGACCTGAAATGTTTCAGTACAACATACAGCCTTATCAATATGACATATCATTATGAAAATCCATGGACTGACAACATTTTGTATAACAACCATGAGATATTACATTGGCTTCACCCTGTCTTATTTACCCAATTGCTTAGCTCAATATGTACAGCATCAGATTTGTAAACCAGGGGTCGCTTGTACACTCCTCAGGTGACCATTGATCTTTGTCTATCACTGCTGATTCAGAAATCATGTTTAATTAGTAATTGGTGTTTTACTGACAAATTGGTTAGCTATCTAGGATAGACGTTATATACTTTCGAGATATGATCAAAAACATTGTTAAAAAGTGCGTAGATCTGATTGACAAACAAAAGCTGATTGAACAAATGGAATGAATAATATTGCATAAAGGAGGAATTAAGGAAAATTAAAGTCTGTACTCACCTTGTTAAAACACCTTTAAATGATTAACTGCTATATTTTCTTTGCAGAGAGGAGGGTGATGAAGATTTTATCACAGATTTTTCAGATGTCCTCGTATTGAATGTGATAAACGTGGCAACGAAAGCATGTCAGGATAGTGACAAAGTTAAACCAAATGGTGTTCGGGCTCTAGGCAGTATTCTAAGATACATCTCCAAGAAACAACTGTGTATGTATTAACATTTGTAATGTGGCAATTAAGTAACAATAAGTAAATAAAAACTTCAGTTTCAAGACTAGAAAATTGAATAAACACTGAATCAACAAGGAAAGGTAATGGAAATACCATTGATTTTTGTACAGTACAGTACAGTACAGTACAGTATATGTATATTTCACAAGGCAAAGTGAGATATATATATATCTATATCTCACATATCCCTTTCATCATTGTTGTTTATATTTATAACTTATTTTCTTTGTCTATACAAACTGCCATTCACAAATATTTTAATTTATGTTTAATAAGTTTAGTTTTACGGCTTATTTAGATAAAACTGTTGTTTTACAGGTAAGGAAGCGTTTAATCAGGCAGTTACATCAGGTGTGAAGGCCCTCGTGAAATGTGTGTCATCAGGTGCTATGAAGGTATGTATCACAGGGTATAAGAAATGTGCGGACTTGATTTAATTGTCACGGCTCAGAACTTTTCACTATTTAGGGGAGAATATGTGTATGTGGCCGGATAGCTCAGTTTGGTAGAGTCACAGTACGGTATTCCTAGGGTCCTGGGTTCGAGTCCCGGTCAGGCTGCACATTTTTCTAACCCTGTGACATAATGTTGATCTGGGATTACTGTCATTATTGTCAATGATAGTGTTAAAGAAATTAGAATATAGCTTCTATACCTGTGTTCATCAGAACTGTTACTCTGCCAATGTGACAGTGACTGTAAGCTTATAGCTTACTTCATAATTGAAATAAATCCTTCATGAATTAAATACAATAGTGGTAAGCCTTTTGATGAAACTGTGCAAATATTTCAATGTTATGTCAAATTTAATTTTGAAAACAAAAATCTCCAGTAAATTTAAAGAATGTTGTTTTGTTTTACCCATATGTCAAATTGTTTATGATATATGATAACTAGAATGGTGACATTGTAGCTTTGAAACTAAAAATAGTAAAAGAATTGATTTTTTTGCAAACTTTATTTTGTTTCAGGTTCGCTGGAATGCCTGCTATGCCATTAGTAACATGTACAAAAATCAAGATCTTTCTCAAGGAACTTCACCATGGAATGTAAGAAGTATTTTATTATACTTAAACATAGCAAAACTCTTATCTGAAAATAATAAGAGAATATAATTTGTTTACTTATGAAAATTTTCCAGAATATTTGAAAGAATATCAAACATTAAAATTGTTTTGAGATGAACATTCTTTGTATATATCCTAGCCTGGAATTAACAGATTTATATCACACTTTGAAATGAATTGAAATATGTAAATATGTCAATTGAATGATTATTAAGTTTGAAAGTCCTCAGTATACACGTAGTTATGCATTTGAGTCATGGTCAAAAGGTGAAGAGCTTTAATGTTACTATTTTATTTTGAGTTTGCTTTAAAAAAGGGTTTTGTTCTGAATTATATGTAATACATGTGAATACTACATGTAATTAATTAATGTAAATCTAATATTGTATGAATTATGCATAATGTATACTATGTAAATACTGAATTTAAAATTCTAATATATTATCAAAAAATTGTTTTGATGGTCAAATATTCCTATTACTGTTATGGTTTGCCTATAAGGTGAGCTGTATGACACTATAACCCTCTAGATTAAAGGGTAGGAATTTTGTTGTGTCATCAGGTAAATACAATTAAGACATACATGTATATTATATTTCCACCTGTAGGCAGATGTTCTTAACGTGCTATGTACGGTAGTTAAAGAATGTAAGAACTTCAAGGTGCGTATAAATGCAGCTATCGCCCTGTCAGCTCCAGCAGATAGGTCACAGTTTGGTGAAGCCAATCTATTCTCCGAAGTCTGGGATGGTGTTATTGAAGCATTTAATACTGCAGAAAATATATCAGATTATATAGACTTCAGATACAGGGATAATCTCATTGAACAGGTCAGATTTTTACATCCATTATGTATGATTTTTTTTAATGTTCATGCCCTTAAATTGTTGGTTAATGCAGCATTGTATCATTTATATTCAAGTGCACTTTACTGGTTTCCTAGCAGTTTCCGTCCCCTAGCAGTTTCCGTCCCCTAGCAGTTTTCCGGCCGTTTATCATTTTTGGCCAGTACAGTCTATTTTTACCAGTAAGGCATCCACATTACTTCATCAATCAGAGAAACATTTGTTTTCTATGCTAAACAGCATTTAAAATAGTACATCGATTTATATGTTTTGAAGTTTTGCCTGTTATTAAAAGTTACATAAGAGAACTTGCGACATTCAAAAATAAGCAACACCTTGAATATCCATGCGCAATAGCTAAGACCCCATTTTAGGTAAATCAATACTTTGGAAAATATTTTTGCAGATGACACGGAAAAGGTTGGGAAGTTCTGTTTGTCTGATAAAATCATCTTAATATTGCTATATGGTACTGAATTATATTCAAAATAAAAGAGGTCCGGAAAACTGCTATGAATTTTTTAATAAAGGTGAAAAAAGGCATTACATTTCAGGTCTATATTCAAATAAAAGCAACATAAAACACATGGCAATGCTGGACAGGTACCTAACTTTGTCCTGTCAAAGTTTTGTACTCCTCTGTAGACTGATTTTTATTTTATTTGTTAAAATGTGCGATTTGTGGCCGGAAACTGCTAGGAAACCAGTATGCATATACACAGATATTTACAGAATGAAATTTTCTTGATTGGTTTTTGTTTTATCTTTGAAAAACATTTACATAGAGGAGGGTGGCTTATGGAATTGCCCTTGTCTGTCCATCCCTCTGAAACACTGTTTGACTGTAGACAAATAAAACAGTGCGATGTGTGGGGGCATTTTTGACTTTGAACACATTTTAAGCTGTAAAAGCGTGAAATGGTAAAGGTTATATTTGTGACACTTAAACTTAAAAGTTAAAGTAATGAAAACGTAGATTGAAGTATTTAATCATCAAAAGAAAATGAGAATATTTACGTCACAAAAAAATGACAATGTTTTATCAGTTGCTTAAATATAATGCATTCATTTTCATTCCCACAGATATGTATAGCTGCCTTACATTTACTGTGCTTGGTAAAATGTGATGATCTAGAGGAGTTGTCCCCCTTGTTACACAAGAAAGGAGAGTCTCTGGCAGCATTTCTGGATAAATATTACATGGCAAGACAGAAAACCTCCCAGATGGGTAAGACCTTAATATTTCTGTCATATAAGACTGGATTTTCTAGTGTTTTAACCAGCACTGTAAAAATGGGGTGTAAGATGCATTGCATGCTTTAAATGATGTGCTGCCATCATAGATCAAGTTTAAAATTCATATGTTATGACAAGAAAACTGTATTAAATCAAAATGTTAGTTTTTAATATTTCTGTTCAAAGTATGAACTAAAATGTAAGAAAGAGAATCACACATTCCCTGCTGGTGAAGAATGGAATATCTGGCTCTCTGATATCTGTTTAGGGGAAACAGTTTATCAGTTTCTGGATATTCTATTATTCTGTATTGGCAGCCATTTTGCAGCAATCTTATGTTACTATTACATTATTGATGATGCACATGTAGTTTGCCCTTGTCAGCCTCTCCATTTCCCTGACTGACAAAACAGTGGATTGTGGGTGTCATCCATGTTCTATGGACATATTTCTAATTGCATTCTGATTCAGTATTGAAATAATCTAATTATGAACAGTTTCAAATTCAAAACCCAGTCATATGCATGACACATACATGTAATAGCTTAAAGTATGATAAGGGGTTGAATTGAATCATACATGTATTTATAATATTTTATACTAAAATTATAGGGTATTCAAATTAACTGGTTTTATTTCAGATGTACATTTAGAAAAGGCCAAGGTAAGACTAGAAAGCCTGGATAAAGAGGTAAAATCAGAGGCACAGACAGACATATTACACATACTTCACATGTGTACACAACTTACAGAAGGTAATAGTTTCTCCAATAGTTCTATTAGTTTGACTATTTGTAACACAACTGAAAGGGATTGGTTGAAATATCACACATTTGTTCTATGTGATTATCATGATGGGCACAGATCCCATAACTCTGCGTTACCTTTATACAGAGTTATGCCCCTTTTCTTACTGTCTAGCTCTGAGATAAGTCAAGGGCACTTTATTATGGCCAGCTCTTGTTATAATTATTTCTCAAACATTCTACTTCATAGGTTTTCAAACTTCCTGTTACTAGATGCCATAGACATGAAAGAAAAGTCGTTCTATTTAAACTTTTATTATGCCCCCACAATGTGGGAGCATATAGCGTTGCACTTGTCCGTGGACCGTCGTTCAGTCCGGTCCGTTCCGTGACGTCCCCGAAATTTCTTGTGAAGCGCAACTCCCTCTTAAACCGGATGGCAGATTTTGTCTTAAAACTAACAGGGATGAACAACCTTAATGTGTAGATGGTAGTAAAGGAAGGAATTTTCGCTGCGACCAATTTAACAGAATTATGGCCCTTTGTTGATTTTTTCACTAGATACTATGTAGAAATTTTTGTGAACGCAACTCCTCTTCAAATCCGGATGGCAGATTTTGCTTAAACTTACAGGAATGAACAACCTTAAGGTGTAGATGGTAGTAAAGGAAGGAATTTTCACTGCGACCAAATTTTACAGAATTATGGCCCTTTGTTGATTTTTTCACTATATACTATGAAGAAATTTTTTGTGAATGCAACTCCTCTTAAAACCGGATGGCAGATTTTGCTTAAACTTCCAGGGATGAACAACCTTAATGTGTAGATGGCAGTAAAGGAAGGAATTTTTGCTGCAACCAAATTTAACAGAATTATGGCCCTTTGTTGATTTTTTTCAAATTATATACTATGTAGAAATTTTTTGAATGCAACTCCTCTTAAACCTGATGGCAGATTTTGCTTAAACTTCCAGGGATTAACAACCTTAATGTGTAGATGGTAGTAAAGGAAGGAATTTTTGCTGCGACCAAATTTAAGAAAATTATGGCCCTTTGTTGATTTTTAGTTTTCAACTTGTGGCACATGTAGTCCAAAAAATATTTGACCTAGAGTCATAAGATTGACAGAACAGTGGCGTGTGGGGGCATCCGTGTCCTATGGACACATTTCTAGTTTTTAAAGTGACATTATGCACATTTTTTTGTTGTCAAGTTAAGCTGCTTTAACTGTATATTTAAAAAGATTTTCTATTATAATGGGGATGGACCAGTAATTGATAATGACAAATAATTAGGATAAAATTAAGTAACTGCCTAAAGTATAAAGACTGTCCCACTGTTTATCAAGTGACTATTACAGATAAATTATGATGGATATTTCTAGAAATGTCTCTGAGTCTCATATTTATTATTTTTGCAATGCGGAATTGATGGGAATATAAAATTAAAAACAATGATGGAGAAATGAGAAGATATTTTAGCTTATAAAAAATGGGGAACTGCTTTGGTTTCAAATACACTTTTATCTTATGTTGATTTAAATTCTAATTGCAGCGGTTGAAGAGGATATAGAGAAGTCACATATAACAGCGTTTAAACAGACTTATGATTGAGTGTACAACTATTATGACATCTGTAGGGGCTTGATTACACGTTTATCATGATGAACAACTTACTCTTTTTATCACTTTGGACTAGAGTGGGAGCAGGGTTGCAGGATTCTTTTAATAGAAAAACTACACCTGTCAAAAAATCACTTTAGACTGGACTTGAGAAAAAGTGCAAGACTTATATAACATTTATAGAAAATTTGTTTATTGAGAATGTTTCTGCAAAATTAATTGATCATTTTTTACATGTTAATTATTAAGTATTTTTGTATGCACATAATTATTTTTTGAAAAAAGTGTTTTCTTCAAAAGAAAATCAAATGTATTTGTTTTCTGTATGCTAATTTATAAAGATTTATCAATTTTTCACAATTGACATTTATTGTACAGTAATATACAAATGTATATGAACAATCTATTTTATTTTAACTTTTTTATTATACATTATATCAAATTATATTATTGTCAATGATTTGTGTAGATAAGCTTTTCAAGTTTTGTTTTATTTTAAATTTATCCTTTATGCTTATTTGCACAATGCAATATTACCTGTTTTGTGGCCACCTGTCAAAAAGGTCCATGTCTTATATTTTTAGATAGAAGTCTTTGTTACTGTATGATATATTGCAGTTTGAGTTCTAATGTGAACAAGATAGATAAATCTGGTATTAATTGACCTCAACGCTCAAGGAGTTTCCTCCCTTTGATTGGAAAAAAAGTCCAGTATATATAGCAGAATCATTGAAATAGATTACAAATAAAACGTTAATGAAATAAATTCTTATCTTAAATGTTTAATATTATAATAACAGTGTTTTATAGAAGAAAGGAAGGCTTTATCCTCTGTCAGTTACATGTGTTTTTGTATTTTAGTTTTATCTGAAACCTGCTTAAAGGCCCATTATGCCTCAGAAGTGCTATCAAATTTATTTCTCAAAAACTTCTTATGTTTGGTATCTCTTTAAAGTACCTAAAATACACTTTTGCCATATAAATGACCTACCTTTTACTTCTTTTGCTCGGTGGTAATTTGTAGAATTATAGTGATTTAGTATTTTGTATGGAAGTCAATATACTACTTTGTTTACATTTTGCTACCTTTATGATACATCAATGCACATTTTCCGCTCCTTTCTTCAGTTTTAAACAACAAACATGCTCTAAATATATTAATAAAAGATTTTTAAACACACATGTATTTCACATTTCTAGAAAATTAAAAAGGTACGGATTTCTGAGGCCTTCTTGCAAAATACAAACTGTAAGCAACAAACAGTATGGAACTCTGCATGTTTGGTTTTGTGATGCCTTCTTGTATTTCGCCTTATAGTTTGGCAGTGACTGTAGCTGATGAAGATGTTACCAAATACTTGTTATTGTCAGCATTTTAGTCAGCACCAGCGTTATTGTCAGCGAAAGTTTTTTTTTTATTATATTCTCTTTTGTTGGTGCTTCTTCTATTTTATTGTTATGATTCAGAATGTTAGTTGTTCTTTGCTTTGACCAACATGCATATTGCTAAATAAAGTAAATAGAAATCAGAGGTTTCTTGTGGGTTTTTTTTAATTCCCTAGTGGAGAGCAACTAAAGTCTGCATATTTCATATAGTAATGTATACCTTGTTTTCGATGTTTGAAGAGAAATTCGACTTCAAAGCAGCAATCATACAGCTGAAAGTTCTCTTAATAAAGACTAACAATAATGGGTACAAATTGCTAGTAAGTGTAAGTTTAATCTTCCTTACCAAATACATTACCTGTAATTTGTCTAAATATGCAGACTCTTACTTCAATACTTAATAACGTGATTAAAATGGTTGATTCGAATATAATTTAGTTTAATAATATTTTATTGCTCTTTGAATACAATTTATAACATTATTTCCACAAAACAACATTTTTAACAAAGGGCAAAAGGGTTGAACAACAAGTTCTAGCAACATTAGTAACTGTCCTTCCCTTAAGCATTATAAGATATAGAAACGAAAACATGTTTAAACACTATACACATGAGCAATTACAAATATTAAGGCGGAAACAAAGTAGCGAATAGAATTCGACATCAAATTTAAGAGAAAAAAAAAACAACAAAAAAAAAAACATTTGCTTATTAATTTTTTAAATAAAAAAAAAAATAGTAGTAATTTTCCTGCACTTGCAGTATGTGATGGTTTGTATGGCTGTCAAAATATGTCATTTATAAGGGGAATATAATTTGCATCAAACAAAAAAATTCACTTGGATTGTGATTTTTTTTTTTGCATTTCATTGAAGCTACATTAAATAAATTTCATAAAAACAGAAATGGCGACATTTTATAAATAAATTTGGTTTCATATCGACTCCAGATTTTATTTTGGTGTCAAGACAACCAAAATAAGTTTTATAAGCATAAAAAATGGGCGAAATCGGAAGTACAATAATAATTATTTCTGCTTGCATGAGAAACTCCGCCCTCGGTTCATCCGTACATCAATATTAAAACAACAAATATGACTATGTGCAGCAGTTCTAATCTAACGGTATATTTCTGCATTGTAACGGATATTTTCATACAAATTTAATCCTTTTTATGAGATGATTATTTTTTTCTGAACCACAGGCCTAGTTCACCGTGAAGCTAAAACGGTAAAAGTGTGTTTGCACAAGAAAATCTCATATTTACTGTGTTCCAGACAGCATCTATAACACTGTGAAGAAGTGATTATTGTCTTCATTTGCATGCTAAAATTCGTATACGAACTTTAGTGTTACCGTGGGGTTTTCCGTTTAAAATCCTAATTTATGAACAATATTTGATGAGATTTACAACATAACTGTTAAAAAGGTTTATTATAATGCTTGTTTTTTAGGCCGACGGCAAAATATTTTTACATATTTATTTAATGTAACTATTAATATATTTTTCCTAAGCTTTGTTATTTCAGTTTACTCATTCACGGGCATGCTGCTTAGAATGTTTTTTTCCCCAAATAAATGGGTCAGTGAGTTTTAATTGCCTGATTAATCCAATTTTGAAACCTATATCATAATTTCATGTCATAAAACGAAATTTGCTTATTTTAGATTGTAAGCATATCTCAAAGAGGGTCGCCTTGTACAATCAGCTTGTATTCCAGTGCTGTTTTTTATGCCCCCACAGAGTGGGAGCATATAGCGTAGTACTTGTCCGTCTGTCCGTCCGTACGTCCGTCCGTCTGTCCGTACGTCCCGAAATCTTGTGAACGCAACTCCTCTTAAACCGGATGGCAGATTTTGCTTAAACTTCCAGGGATGAACAACCCAAATGTGTAGATGGAAGTAAAGGGAGAAATTTTTGCTGTGACCAAATTTAACAGAATTATGGCCCTTTGTTGATTTTTTTCACTATACATGTATACCATATAGGAATTTTGTGAACGCAACTCCTCTTAAACCGGATGGCAGATTTTGCTTAAACTTCCAGGGATGAACAACCCTAATGTGTAGATGGTAGTAAAGGAAGGAATTTTTGCTGTGACCAAATTTAACAGAATTATGGCCCTTTGTTGATTTTTTCACTATATACCATATAGAAATTTTGTGAACGCAACTCCTCTTAAACCGGATGGCAGATTTAGCTTAAACTTCCAGGGATGAACAACCTTAATGTGTAGATGGTAGTAAAGGAAGGAATTTTTGCTGCGACCAAATTTAACAGAATTATGGCCCTTTGTTGATTTTTTCACTATATACTATGTAGAAATTTTGTGAACGCAACTCCTCTTAAACCGGATGGCAGATTTTGCTTAAACTTCCAGGGATGAACAACCTTAATGTGTAGATGGTAGTAAAGGAAGGAATTTTTGCTGCGACCAAATTTAACAGAATTATGACCTTTGTTGATTTTTTCACTATATACCATATATATGTTGTCAGTGGGGGCATCCGTGTCCTTTGGACACAGTTCTAGTTTGTTGTTGTTTTTGGATTTAAGTTTTAAGGGAAATGAAAAATATCTTCTTTTTTTCAGTTGGTTGCCACTGATTCGATATATTTTGAAAACAGTTCACTCAGGTAGTGACAGTCCGGTCAACCATTACAAATTATCGGCCCTGACCTTGATATTTGTCGAACAGATGGTAAACACTGCCGTGTTTGTTATTTTCATCCTCGCAAACTAAACAACTTCAAATGGCGAATATAAAAACGTCAATTTCAGATCGCAGCATGAAGGTTCATGTCACCTGTATTTTGCAATTTAAATTTTCTAAGTTTAATTAAGGTAAGCTATTGCGCGTGAAATTGATCTCGTGTTGAATGTTGTTTTGCATCTTCACGTCATTTAACACTACACCCCTTAATGATGTTTATTGTGCAATGTGCCTAGGTCGTTTGTTAATATGAAGTGATTTCGTAATGTAGGTACAAATGTTTATAAATTAAGTGAAGATAAAATTTCACTTCTCCGAAAAAGTCGGTAATTGCGAGAATTTCGTTTTCTTCACTTTGTACTTTTGATACTACTATGGTACTTGACACGCACTGGTAAATTACAAAATCCGCATTGCTGTTGGTCTAAACATAGCTGGAAACAAAGTTTTTTAAACGTGCGTTATATTCACTTTAGAACAAGAAAAGCTAGTTTCATTTAAAGAAACTATGCCATCACAAGGCTCGGACGATCGATTTCTTGGTTAAAGCGAAAACAATTGCCATCCCCAGAAATTGACATATTTATTCATTTTATTCACAAAATAGTTTGTCAATAATTTTAGCGTTTTATATCAAATACCGATTGACTCAATAATCATTCAAAGGGTAGCTGTGACCTATTGGTTATGATGTCCGACTCTCAGGCTAGGTTCTAGTCCTACAAGGGTCAAGAACATGTTTTCTTACGTGGCATCAGTACTTGTTAGTTCCAAGGAGCGGATTCGAGAGTGGTTTCATATAAGTTTTGTTACGCCGTATATAGCCCTCAACGGATATAGCTTCTATCTTTCATCACGGTCGAGATTAAATAAGTACTGCAAAGAATTATGGCGCAAAAAATCTTGGTCGAAGCGTCCGAACACGTAAACAATAATGTGGATCAGTGGATTCTTAGCAATATCTCAGTATTTGCCCTGTATATGAATATTTATTTTCTTTCTTTCTTTCTTTCTTTCTTTCTTTCTTTCTTTCTTTCTTTCTTTCTTTCTTTCTTTCACAGGTACTCTATATACTAATTACAAAGTTAAGTTTAACTGAACATATGGAAAAAAAGATAAGATATATTACTGGGAAATACTCGGTCAATCAATCTTCTTCACCACATCCACTGACAATTTTGCTATATCACTAGAAGGCGTAGTAAAAATCGTGATTAAGTTGAAAGAAACTCCCCTTCCTCGAAATCATAGATACACCCTTGACGTAAAAACTACAATTACAACTACAATTAGCATACTTGTTCCTGCAAAGTCTTTCTTAGTAAAATTATGGCTAATTTGTTGCAAATACCTCGCCACCTTGCATATTTACGACTATGTGCGTACGTCAAGGAAATTAAATAAAAAATTGACTTTCTTTAAAATCTAACTCATACAAGTCTGTACGAACCCTACGAGGCATGTAATTTTAGTTCGTATATCAAATATGTAAATTATGTACACTTTGTTAGTAACTCTCTTTGTTGCCTCGATTGTTTTTTTTAACCTCTTGCATTACAGCCAATAAAATACTTATATTAAATTACCACACACATATACCACTTAAAAACATGATATACATATGTATAAAGTAAAATCTATTACATGATAGCTGTTTTATAACATGAAAGTTAAACGTTTGGCGGGGCGAAGGGGTGAAAGGATGAAAAGGCGATATAGAAAGTTGGTGTTTCGCCTTTTTCAAGATAAAAACAAAGAAGTGCATATGTCACTTGTATGACATCATATTTTGCACGTTATTTTGATGAAGATCTAACTATATCAGCATGCAGTATTTATCAGTTTAAAACAGGCGCAGGCGAACAATAATTAAAAGTAAATGCAATTTCTCTTATTAATAAGCAAGATCCTTCATGCATGATGATATTTCCTTTAAAACGGAAGTAGCATTTTTGCGCATGCGCATTCTGTATTCTGTGAGACCCAACACATTTGGCTAATTATCTTGTTAAACATTTGAAATAAATTGCATTCTTAAAATATTTGAATAAGGTGTTGTTTTCATTCAAGTTTCTTGTTTAATGGAGTGTTTTGTTGTTTTACAATTAAAATTAATGTAGGTGAATCATTTATCACATGGTAATGATAATAAACTAATTAGCATGTTTACCTAGGAAGTTGTTGTTCGATATTAAATCGATACATCTTGTTTTACAATCATGGTGAATAAACTTTAATCTATTAAATCATTTCCTTTCAATTGTTTGTTTGTGCTATAACTTCTGGCTTTCTCTGACAACATTTTGACATTATAGGAAATACATTTTCGAGATTATTGTTCCATTTAATGTAGGTCTAGACTTGAATACAAAATTCGAGATCATTCGCTCACTCTGTTGTTGTTTTTGTTTTTGTGTTTTGGTGTTTTTTGT